TTTTCCCCTCAAAGGTTATTTTAAACATCCTTTTCAATCCATTATATATCATTTCCCAGTAAGCTTTAACCTTACTACAAGGCCACCACATATGATAAAAAGAACCTTCTCTCTCTTTACATTTCCAACACATGTTTGATTTAGATTTATACATTTTTGCCAATTTACTCGGTGTTAGATACCAATGATATATCATTTTCATATAATTTTCTCTTAAACCATGTTGTTGTTTAGTTGTTTAGTTGTGTCCGACTCTTCGTGACCCTATGGACCAGAGCACGCCAGGCACTCCTGCCTTCCACTGTCTCCCGCAGTTTGGTCAAACTCATGTTTGTAGCTTCAAGAATACTGTCCAACCATGTCATCCTCTGTCGTCCCCTTCTCCTTGTGCCCTCCATCTTTCCCAACATCAGGGTCTTTTCCAGGGAGTCTTCTCTTCTCATGAGGTGGCCAAAGTATTGGAACCTCAGCTTCACGATCTGTCCTTCTAGTGAGCACTCAGGGCTGATTTCCTTAAGAATGGAGAGGTTTTGATCTTCCTTAAGAATGGAGAGGTTTGATCTTCTTCCAGTCCATGGGACTCTCTTTTTTTTTATATAAGATATTTATTAAGGTTTTTTGAAATATTACAGTAAAAATGAAAAAGAAAAGAGAAAAATACAAAATAAAAACAGTTAAAAACACACATATTTTCTATTACTTATTTTCCTTTAGCTTGTTTCCCGGACCTCCTCGTACCTCCCTTTTTTGTATTCCACTTCAATTTATTGGTTCAGCAAATCCTTACCATTAGATGCAGTCCATGGGACTCTCAAGAGTCTCCTCCAGCACCATAATTCAAAAGCATCCATTCTTCGGCGATCAGCCTTCTATATGGTCCAGCTCTCACTTCCATACATCACTACTGGGAAAACCATAGCTTGAACTATACAGACCTTTGTTGGCAAGGTGATGTCTCTGCTTTTTAGGATGCTGTCTAGGTTTGTCATTGCTTTTCTCCCAAGAAGCAGGCGTCTTTTAATTTCGTGACTGCTGTCACCATCTTAAACCATAACATGCTGTAAATTTTATATCTGTATTCCACAATCGCTCCCATGCTTCCCTCTCTATATTATGACTGATATCTATTGCCCAGTGTGAGTGACGATGCACTCCTAAGGCTTTCCCCCAACATCTTTGGGGACACAGGAGCTTTCACTTATTCATAGCAGAGAGTGCCTTCTCTGAGCCACTACTTTAAAAGGGAGCCTTGTGCTCAGCCGCCCGTCCCCAAACTGCTGTGGAAATGTATTATTCAGTCACTCTGTCTCTTTGTCTGTACAGAGGACTCCTGCGCAAGCTTGTTCTGAAATGTTCCTTCTTCAGACACCCTGTTTCAGCTTCCTGCAGTCGTGTCGGTAGCACTGACAAAAGGAGTCATATTGTTTCATGCAGCCCAAACTCTTGAGCAGTGAGAGGTTTCGGGCTATGCATAGGGTGCTAGTCCTTTGGAACGAAGCTCACTGTGGGGTCTTTAGGATATATGGTTTTGTTTTGTCACAGAAATACAGTCTGCGCGGAGGATGTGAAATATGCTCAGAGTCGAGAGTGGATTTCATGCTCTTTATTCAGCTCATAGTGGTGAGGAAGAATGGAATTTCCCCCAGAATGTCTGCCTTATGTACATTATTTACACAATGGGCCCCACGTGATTGGCTAATTCCGGGATTCTCCTGTAGGCCAATGAGGTTGCAGATTCCCTTCCACCTGGAGCTGGATTGGGTGGCTCCTGTGGACCAATCAGACTGCTGCATTCTGGATCCTATTGTTCTAGGACCAATCAGACTGCTGCATTCTGGATCCTATTGTTCTAGGACCAATCAGACTGCTGCCTTTTGTATCCTATTCAGCTCAGTACATAACAGGATGGAAGGGCTCACAGCAGTAACATTCCAGCAGATCTTGCTTGCCCATTGTAGGTTCCTAGGAGGACCCCAAAACCATGGCTTTGGGTCCAGCACAGAGCAGGAAAAGACTCTGTGTCTCTTCCCAGCTAAGAGCCCCAGACTCTGGCAAAAGGCTGTTCTTCTTGTTTTTCTTTCCACCTCTAGGATGATGCTGCATTTGGCGAAGGGAGGAGATGGGCAAGGCCCACCCAGTGGTCTGTATCGCAACAGCACACCTGTTTTTTGCCAACTCACTGTGTGTCCAAATGTGGGTGCTTGCAGGCCCAGCTACAACAATATTTTCACTAACTTTCAGACAGACAGTGGCATGGTCTGCCTTCTTCAGAAAAGAATACATAAGGCAGACCCCTCTGCCCAGAGAGATGCATTGATAAAATGCGGACAATTTGATCCCCCGCACTGGCGCCATCGGGGGGGGGCTGGGGGCCTGGGCCCCCACAAAATTTCCCCTGTGGGTGCCCGGCCATCCCGTTGCGCATGGACACAGGATCCCAAATGTGGTTGCATCATGTAATCTACCCTGAGCTGCTGGGTGAATAGCCACCTTATCTAGGAGACCAAAACATATTAGGGTTGGCAGCCCCATCTTTCTGGAAGGGTGGTGTTATAAGGGGGGGGGAACTGCTCTTTTCCCTCTTATGGGGTATCCAAGAGCCCATATAGAGTCCTTTTGTAGGTTCTCTATCTGTAGGAGAAAACAACAGAGGCCAACCAGAAAATACTGAGAAGCAAAGCAGCTAGTAAGCCTGATCTTTATTAAACTGTTGCAACAGGGTCCCCCGCTCACCCCACGCAGGGAGGGAGGAGAGGAACCCAGAACATTGGTGTGCAAGCTCTTATATAGACTTTTGAAATTGCCTATCCTATAGCGCCACACAAGTGACGCTGTGGTCTAAACCAGAGAGCCTAGGGCTTGCTGATCAGAAGGTTGGCAGTTCGAATCCCCACGATGGGGTGAGCTCCCGTTGCTCAGTCCCTGCTCCTGCCCACCTAGCAATTCAAAAGCACGTCAAAGTGCAAGTAGATAAATAGGTACTCTGGCGGGAAGGTAAACGGTATTTCCATGCGCTGCTCTGAGGTCAATTTGGGAGAGACAAAATGGCTTCAGGATTGCTCTCCTGTACTGTTTCAGACACAATACTTATGCCTGTGTGTTGCCTTGTACATTTATGAACATTTATTTATATATATTGTAAGGATATCAGGGGGTTACTCGAGAGCAATCAAGCAAATGCCTCCCTGGTCGGCTGTAAAGCCTCGTTATTGGTGCCAAAACTTCACCATGCAGAGTGCCACTATTCCGTGGCTCGCTCCTTCACTGGCAGAATCCGTGAGTGGGCGGTCCTTAAACCTTCCCCAGCAGAGTAGCTTCTTGACGCCCAGTCTGCGCCTCCCCTCTCGACGCGGAAGCCTACTGTGCAGGGAGGGCGTGGGTAACAGAGGACCTCTCTCCTCCCCGCTTTGCTCAGGCAAGGTATCCTGGCACCACCTCGCCTCCTCCAAGCCCTGAAGCTCCTCTCCACTGGAGACGTGGTTACTCTCCTCCGCTGTGGAGGTGCTGCTTCCCACGACCTTTGGGGGCTCTCTGTAATCCATCCGGCTTTCCCCCTCTTGCCCCTGAGCCGATGGCAGTTCCCTGACATATATATATATAAGACCTTAGAATTCCTATAACAGTGGGATATTCCTCTATTCCATCAGCACTTTGTATGAGGTTAACTGTGGGTGAGCTGAAGCAAGGATAAGCATTCCGTGTCATCAATAATGCCTTTGCCCTACCTTTCTCCTTTGTCCGCAGCGCTAAGTGAACCTTCCCTGTGTATTGGCAGAGCTCTGCTGTTATGACAGCAGCAGAGATGTACTGCTAAACCATTTAGTATGTGTTCATAGGAAAGATCTCACGCGATCTTCCAAATGGCAGCTGTTCTGTTTTAGGCCAGAATTGTAGGTGGAACCTGGATGCTTTGAAAGACTGGAAATAGCTGTCTTGACTGTTCCCTCTTATCTGAGCAGTTTCCTAAATCGTGGAGAGGAGAAGCCAATCTATTGACTGTGGGCCACAGTCTGTCCATGTTAGCAAGCGATTCTTGCACTAAGATTGTTAATCTATGGAACTCACTCCCACAGAAAGCAGCGATAGCCACAAACTTGGGTGGCTAGTAGCCACCAATAGTCCTTTCCTCCATGAATTTGTCCAGTCAAATTGGTGGCTGTCACTGCCCCCTGTCATAGTGTGATAAGAATTTTAAGGTCTTAGATATGTAATAAATGTTCATAAATGTACCAAGCAAACACATACATAAAAATATAAACCGCATGTCTGAAAACCCCACAGAAAAAGGGTTCTTAACAAATTGACCTCAATTATTTCTCTGCAATGTCAAAGTGGGAAACATCCCCATTGCCTTTTTCCTTCGTAAATCCTGTCTTAAGGGCACATTTAAGATATGAATAGGGTGTGAGCCTGTGACCTGGCCCAGGAACTAAATATTTATCATTACAAAAGACTGGCCAGGCTCCCCCAGGCAATCCAATCAAGTGACCATTAAACAGGTAACCTGTCAGACAAGATAAACATGTCATTCAGATTTCTGTTGTAGACCACCTTTTCTGTGATGTAGGTATGATGTATCTGGGGGCTGGTCTTAGGTAACACCCCTTCTGTGATGTATGTATGATGTATGGAGGGGTGGTCTTGAGCTCCAGAGCAGGGAATTTAAAATGTCTATATAAGGCCTTGCACGCCATTTTTCTGGGTTCCTCCTCCCTCCTGCGTGTTGGGAGCGAGGACCCTGTTGCAACAGATCAATAAAGATCAGGCTTACTAGCTGCTTTGCTTCTCAATATTCTCTGGTTGGCCTCTGTTATTTTCTCCTACCAATAGGGAACCTACGTAAGGACTCTGTATGGGCTCTTGGATACCCCATAAGGGGAAAAGGGCAGATTTTTTGTCTACAACACTAGTAGCCACCAATAGCCCTTTCCTCCATGAATTTGTCCAGTCAAATTAGTGGCTATCACTTCCCCCTGCCATAGTTCAACTATATGCTGCATAAAGAAATACTTATTTTTATATGTACTGGATCTTCCAGCAAACTCATAGCAAACTCAAGGCCAGATCTTTTCTGGCATTATTAAGACACCCCCCCAACAGCTCAAATTTTGCCTTCCTGCACTTTATTGATGATTATAGATTTGACAAGCAGCGTTAAGAAAAAGGGAACATAACCAGCAGACGACCAGTACAAAGCATACAATAAAAAGATGTGCATGGTTGATATCAGCAGCTAGAGATGTTCAAGCAGAATTATTCTTATAACAATAGATTTTTCAAAAAAAAAGTTTAGGACATAAAATCTGTTTCCTTGCCTTGTCTTGAATTCCCATCTGCTTAGGGCCAGGATACATGATGATAACATGGCTGGGCTAAGTGCTTTCCCTCAAATTGCAGCTAGTGGATTAAATGTCTGGATGTCCTGTCTCATCCCCATCTGAAAGCAAACTCTCTCTCTCTCTCTGTACATGTTGGACTAGCATCCTGCACATACTAAGCTGGCATGGAGAGAGTTATTACCGGCAAGATTGCCTTGCCCGCTGGACCACTTTGATTGGCAGAAGTGGCACTGCTACAGGTGCCACATTTGTATGAACTCTGTCTTTTAGTACTTTGGAACTCCCTGCCTATTGATACCAGGAGCACACATTCACTGTTCTCTTTTCAGCACCTATTAAAAATATTTAAGTTTTAGGCCAGCCTAACTCAGATATTTAGAAGGTTGATATGAGTTTTAATCTGTTTTTTAGCCTGTTGTTATTTTAACTTTTCGTGGGGTTGCCATATTTCAAAAAGTGAAAAGCTGGACACAAAAGTTGTTGAGTTCCCCCCCCCCCCCGGCAATGTTGTTGAGATGGTTTGTTTTGGTTTGGGGTTTTTTGCCCAAAGTTCTTGCCCAAAAGTACGTTTTCCAGCAATTTTTAAGGAAAATAGGCAAAAATGACACTGCTGATATGGTTGCCATACGTCTGGATTTTCGCAGACTTTTGTTTTTTGCCCAATTTCCACCCGGACACTGCTTCTGACTGTGGTATTCCATGTATGTCTGCGAAAGTCCGGATATATGGCAACCCTACTTTTGTAGGTCTTAAATTATTGTTGTTAATGTGTCTAATTGGTAATTTTTTGGTTTTATCTTTTTTTGTAAACTGCTTTGAGGTTGTTGCTTTTTTTTACGATCAAGCTGAGTACAAATTTTGTGAAATAAAACAATTATGAAATACCATGCCAGAAGTGTGTGCAGATATGAGAACATGCACTCCAGCTTCTATCTGTAGTCTGAGCCCAGATGGGTCCAGCTAGCTCAGCACGTTCTCCACCATCTGATTCCTCGACTCCAAGATTTCAGGCAAGAGCCTTTCACCTTGGAGATACCAGGGCTTGAACATGGGACTTTCTGCATGGGCTCTGCCTTTGAGGAATGGCTCCCCTTCCCATGAAACGGCTTAGTCTAGCAATGCTTCAATCCATGTATTTGCTGCATGTGGCTCTCTATTCTGATGAAGTCGTGGCAATTGACCAAGAATGGACTTTATCCCCTGAGGCCAAGAGATTAGCAAAGGGGTGTTGTTTGCAGTTCTATCTATCTATCTATCTATCTATCTATCTATCTATCTATCCATCTATCTATCTGTTGTGATTCCTGCATTTCAGGGGGTTGGACTCCATGAGACTTTGGGTCCCTTCCAATTCTGCAATTCTATGATCTCTACATAAAGGCTGAGGGCTCCCACAGGGCCATTTCAGGGATCTCTCTTGCACAGCATCCCTGTTGCAGGAAGTTTGACTTTCGTTGCTGGTGTGCATGTTCTGTTGGGTCTTTGGTCTTCACTTCTCTCACCCATCTCTCCTTCTCTAAGCCCAGTAGATGGGGACACTGCTACAGAGGATGTTGATGGTGGTACCCAGGATAGAACGGTCAGCCAGTGGCACGTCTGTTCCCTCCTCATTCTCTTTGAGGGATGACGCCGGAGGCTTGGGCTGCAAAAACAGATCTCTTTGTTAATGGTACGACCCTGAGGAACCCCATCCAATTCTATAATTGTATGTTTACAATACAGTGATCCACGCGACGGGCACCTCCAGGCTTGACTACTGTAATTCGCTCTACGCGGGGCTGCCCTTGAAGCTGTCCCAGAAACTCCAGCGGGTGCAGAATGCTGCAGTGAGGCTCCTCACAGGGTCTCTGCCATGGGAGCATATTCACCCAGTGCTTTTCCAGCTGCACTGGCTCCCAGTGGAGTACAGGGTCAGATTTAAGGTGCTGGTTTTGACCTTTAAAGCCCTTCACGGTTTTGACCTTTAAAGCCCTTCACGGCCTTGGACCCTCGTACCTACTGGACCGCCTCTCCCGGTATGTCCCATGGAGGACCTTATGGTCCATAAATAGCAACACCCTAGAGGTCCTGGGCCCCAAGGAAGTTAGATTGGCTTCAACCATAGCCAGGGCCTTTTCAACTCTGGCTCCAGCCTGGTGGAACGCTTTGTCTCATGAGACCAGGGCCCTGCAGGATCTGATTTCTTTCCGCAGGGCCTGTAAGACAGAATTGTTCCACCTGGCCTTTGGCTTGGAGCCAATTTGATTCCCTCCCTCCCTCTCTTTCTTTTTCCTTTCCTTCTCCTCCTGCGATGAGGCTACTTTTTAATATTTTAATGTTGTGTTTTAATTTTGTTTTTAAGTTGTAATCATTCAACTTGTTTTTTATTATTGCTTGTAAGCCGCCCTGAGCCCGGCCTTGGCTGGGGAGGGCGGGGTAGAAATAAAAATAATTATTATTATTATTATTATTATTATTATGTTTCTCTGAAATATAAAATTGCCCTGCAAACTTTGACACAGCCTGACCGCTTCACACAGTCCCTCCAAATCCCTCTGGGAAAGGTTCTGCATAGTTTTCTAAGCGGCTTTAAAGACGTTCCGACAATCAGCAGGTGGGTGTGGATGGATTCCCTTCAGCTCTTGGGACTTGTTCACACATCCACCTGTCCTGTGTGCCTAGAAAGCACGGGTCCAAGTGGTTTTCCCCTTGGCCCACTCCTTTCTGGGGAAAAACCTGTGATAGAGCAGAACAAATGGCAACCTATGGAAAAACGGAATTGCCATTTGTTCTGATTGAGCACTAAAGAGCAGTTTTCCCGAATGGAGAAATGGGACATGAGAAAGCACTGGTCTGTTTTCATTCTGCCCTCATGTCCTGTCTGCAAACCAGTGGCAGCCAGCCTTAAGGACAGGGATCCCCGTCTAGCCACTCTCAAAAGATAACTGCTACCCCAAACAGCCCAAACAGCAAATCGCAATGTCCTTGCATTACTGCAGGCCAGGGTGTTATGTGTCCCAGGACTGGGTTTGTGGTTGTTTTAGAGAATGGTGGGACATTCAGCCACCTGCAATGTGTGAAGTGGTACAGTCCAGAAGCAATCTTCCCACATGATTTGCTCTTTCCATGCCTTGGAAACTCTGAATGTAGAGTTAGGGCAATTATTCTAACCTGGATGTTCTGGAACACCTTGACAGCAGCATCCAGGCTCTGAATGTTTTCCTTCTTCATTCTGGTGATGTAGCAGGACTGTCCCGGCCAAGATCTGTAGCCAATCAGGAGCTGTTCAAAGGCAAAGGCTGTCAATTTAGCTGTGGTTCCTGTACTGCAGGAAGTATTTTATTGTGGGTATACTGTACATAGTTTGGATCTCAACAAGGTATATGTGCAAGGGCAGCCCCACTTTCTCAGGGCTCTACCTCATATCCCAGACCCCATGCCCCCCCCCAAAGCTTCTCTCCCTGTGCCTTCCTCTGCTGCATCTCCTGTTCACACACACCAGGTAAGCTAAGACTATGGTTGACTCAAATGCCAAGGGTTTTGGTTTTCAGAGCAGAATGAGCCCTTTTGACGACACCTTTTATTCTTCCTCCACCCACCAAATAAATAGGTAAAGGTAAAGGGACCCCTGACCATTAGGTCCAGTTGTGACTGACTCTGGGGTTGCAGCACTCATCTCGCTTTATTGGCCGAGGGAGCCGGCGTTTGTCTGCAGACAGCTTCTGGGTCATGTGGCCAGCATGACTAAGCCGCTTCTGGCGAACCAGAGCAGCGCACAGAAACGCCGTTTACCTTCCCGCTGGAGCGGTACCTATTTATCTACTTGCACTTTGACGTGCTTTTGAACTGCTAGGTTGGCAGGAGCAGGGACTGAGGAACGGGAGCTCACCCTGTCGTGGGGATTCGAACCTCCGACCTTCTGATCGACAAGCCCTAGGCTCTGTAGTTTAACCCACAGCGCCACCCGCGTCCCCTTACCAAATAAATAAGAACATATAAAAACATCAGAAGAGGCTGCTGGATCAGGCCAATGACCCATCTAGTCCAGCACTCTGTTCTCATGGCGGCCGACCAGATGTCCATAATGGGAAACCCAGAAGCAGGATCTGAGCACAAAAACACTCTCCCCTCCAAGCAGCTGCTATTCAGAAGGATGCAGAGCATAGTCACCAAGACTAGTAGCCACCTCTCCTCCATGTATTTGTCTAATCCTCTTTTAAAAGCCCATCCAAGTTGGTGGCCCTCACTGCCTCTTGTGGCAGTGAGTTCCACAGTTTAACTATGTGGCGCATGAAGCAGTGCTTTCTTTTTTCTGTCCTGATGCTTCCAAGGCTGAGCTTCAGTCGATGCCCAGGAGTTCTAGTGTTAGGAGAGAGGGAGGGGAAACTTTTCTCCATTCGCTTTTTCCATGCCAGGCAAAATTTTATAAACTTCTATCCTGTCAATAAGAAGCATGTGTGGCTTTGATATGATGCTTCAGACTTTTTGAAGGGAGAGGGAGGGCTTTTCTCTTGGGATTAACCTGCCCTGCCCTGCTCTCAATTCTCTTCTGGTCCTAATCCACTACTGGGCTCAGCTACACTTCCCCTTGTGCCATGCCTAGACAGCATGAGTCTGAGCAGTTTTTTGCTTGATTTGCATGTTCTAGGCATGCATCACAGAGGCTTCCCCCTTGCCCTGCTCCTTTCCAAAGGAAAACCTGCGATCAATCAGAAGAAACAGCAATCCAGAGAAAACCTGAATTGCCATTTGTGCAGAAGAGCAGTTTTCCACGGGGGAAGCAGCGACACAAGAGGAAGCGTGGATAAGCCCCAAGGGCACATCCAAACCAGAAGAAAATGTGCAGCCCATCCCAATGTTGTCCCAGACCTTTCCCACTTTTACGCAGGGTTTTTCTTTCTGATTTGGACTTTTCAAGGATGAAAATCCCCGCAGTTCAGCAGGGGGAAGTTCGGGACATAAACTTTCATAGTCTCAAATTAGCTTTTAAAAGGTAAAGGGTAAAGGGACCCCTGACCATTAGTTCCAGTCGTGACCGACTCTGGGGTTGCGGCGCTCATCTCACATTATTGGACGAGGGAGCTGGCGTACAGCTTCTGGGTCATGTGGCTAGCATGACTAAGCCGCTTCTGGCGAACCAGAGCAGTGCACGGAAACGCCGTTTACCTTCCCACCGGAGTGATACCTATTTATCTACTTGCACTTGACGTGCTTTCGAACTGCTAGGTTGGCAGGAGCAGGGACCGAGCAACGGGAGCTCACCCCGTCGCGGGGATTCGAACCTCCGATCTTCTGATCGGCAAGTCCTAGGTTTAACCCACAGCGCCACCCACGTCCCATCAAGTTAGCTTTTAAGGTGACACATTATTTGTCCTTTGTGCTTAAGGAAACCAGCAGATCCAGCCAGTCCCACCAGGACTTGCAACCGACCTTCTCCCTTGTCAGGATGGATGTTATGAGTTCTAAAAGGGACCTGCTAGGTGGACAAGCAGGCCTTGGGCAAAGCTGCATGACTCCTTTGGAAACTAAGAACCCGTTTCAACAAATCTTACGTTGCTGTAGTCATACACCACGGTGGCCGAAGAGTTGACCCTGCTGACGTGGAAGGTGGCCAGTCTCTCCTTCCTGCTCATGGAAAGATGCTGTGGGGAGCCCTCCCCATCCAGGCCTTGGATGGTCATTTGCAGGACCTAGACATTGAAAAGGAGACCATGTTGAGTGTTGAAGAGCAAAGGGAACGAGACGTATGAACTGGAGCATTTAACTTGGGTACATTCAGCTTTACATGCTTTGGAAATATAAATGAATATAATATAAATATAATATAACATAAATATAAATGAATAAATATAGGAGGTGGAAAGGGGATGGGAGTCCAGGAAAAAAGACATGGGCAATCCCACCCGGTTTTGGCTTTATCCCTAGAACTGCTTCTTAGCCCTCAGTCGGAGCAAACAGGAATTCCGTCTTTTCCCGGATTGACATTTGCTCCAGTTTAGAGCTAAAGTGTGGGTTTTCCCTGGGAAAGGAGTGGAGCAAGGGGAGGACTGCTTGGACCCCTACCTAGAAAGTGTGGGTCAAGTGGAAAACCACTGAGACCCAAGCTTTCCAGGCACAATGCAAGTGGAAGAAGAGAAGAAGAGTTTGGATTTGATATCCCGCTTTATCACTACCCGAAGGAGTCTCAAAGTGGCTAACATTCTCCTTTCCCTTCCTCCCCCACAACAAACACTCTGTGAGGTGAGTGAGGCTGAGAGACTTCAGAGAAGTGTGACTGGCCCAAGGTCACCCAGAAGCTGCATGTGGAGGAGCGAGGACGCGAACCCGGTTCACCAGATTACGAGTCCACCGCTCTTAACCACTACACCACACTGGTGGAAGTGTGTACGGGCCTTGAGAGTTGTCAGTACTATGAAAACAAACAACTACCATCATTTTGGGAAGAAGACAGAGGAGTGGGAACCTTTGACCCTCCAGGTATGGTGGGACTGCTCACCCAGCAGGTCTGGGAACAAGTAGCCAAGGGTGGTGGAAGTGGGAGTCCAGCAAGATCTGGAGCTCTAAAGGTTAGCCCGCTGTTTAGCGGAGTCTTCCCCCTTGGAATTTGCTTCTGCTTAGGGAAACCACAGTACTCAACAAGGTTCAGTGCACAGGTGTTTAAGCCAGTTGTCTTCAGCCTTCGCAGGTGAAGGACCCACCTTTAGCCCCAACAGGCATTTGAGGAATTACTAGCTGTGGCATTTCTTGAGGTGACCCACAGCAGACCTCATTCACTTCAGGTTTTTAAGCAGAAGTTGGGTGGCCATCTGTCTTGGATGCTGTAGCTGTGATTCATGCATTGCAGGGGGTTGGACTAGATGACCCGTGAGGTCCCATCCAACTCCGCAATTCTGTGATATATCATGCTGTACTTACTGTCTCTGTGTGCTTCTCCGTGATGCGCAGCCCCATCAGCCCAAAAGCCAGGACAACCAAAACGATCACCACCACCACCACCACCACGATCAAGAGCTTCTTGCAAGGTAGTCCGGGGAGCCGGGGGGAGGCCGTGTAACCCTGCAGAACCAGAAAAGATGCTCATGAGAACGTTGTGGTGCATTTTGACCCAGACAGAATGATTGGACAGAGGCACATACAAGTTCTCATGGAAGGAGCAAACGTAAGCACATAAAAAGAACCAACTGGATCAGGCCAATGGCCCATCTAATCCAGCAAACTCTTCTCACAGTGGACAACCAGATGCGTGTGGGAAAGCAGCAAGCAGGATTCCAGCAGAAGACCAACACTCTCCCCTCCTGTGGTTTCCAGTCACTGGTATTCAGAAGCATTGCTGCCTCTGACTGTGAAGGCAGAGCATAGCCATCATGGCAAGTAGCCATGGATAGCCTTTTCCTCTTCCATGAATTTGTCTCATCCTCTTCCAAAGCCATCCATGTTGTTTTCTGTGGTGATCACACAGGGTCACACAGGACATTTCACCGTCTATTGATCCCTGTGCCACCACTTTATTTCTTGCTGCCACCACCCAGGCCCTACCTGGTACAATACTGAGTCCAGTCAGGGTTAAGTTGGAACATAAACTTCTGTTTATTTATTGCAGTTTAACAAGCGTGTGGTTTCATAAACGGTATCGGTCAATTACAATCATGGGGTGCCTATCCAGACCTATAACTTCCGCTACCTGCTCTCACTCACTAAACCACCTCTCAGATACAGTGGTACCTCGGGTTACATACGCTTCAGGTTACAGACTCCACTAATCCAGAAATAGTGCTTCAGGTTAAGAACTTTGCTTCAGGATGAGAACAGAAATCGTGCTCCGGCGGAGCAGCGGCAGCAGCAGGAGGTCCCATTAGCTAAAGTGGTGCTTCAGGTTAAGAACAGTTTCAGGTTAAGAACAGACCTCTGGAACGAATTAAGTACTTAACCTGAGGTACCACTGTATTTACTTGTCTTCCTAGCCCCTAACTCTTCCTGACTCAGCTTATTTCACTACACTAACTCAACCTACCCCCAGACTCTATCCCAATTCACTCCCACTCCAACCAACCACCCAACTCCCAACGAACTCCTCCCTTTGCCCCTCCCAGAGCTGGTTTTATAGTCCCTCTGACTCCACCCCCCTGGACTCTGATTGGGTAACCTGTTTAACTATTTCACCTCCAGCACTCTCATATGTTACATCACAGTGGCCATCACTGCTTCCTGTGGGAGTGAGTTCCATAGTTTAACTCTGCACTGCCTCTGGACTGCACCACTTCAGATTACAGGTAGGGGCTCATATGATGGAGTATTCCTCCATACAGCAAAAATCCCTGTGCATAAAAAACCCAGCCTGTTAGAGTAAAGGATAGACTTTGACCCTTGCAGGCTAGCTTTCTATGTGCAGGAGTTCCTGTATAGAGGAAGGTTCCCTCATGTGACACTCCCGCACCCTGCAGCTTAAAGTGGGGCATGCAATTAAAAAAGGTCAACATCTTCCAAATTTTAATTATTAATTTTACAGCCTCCCATAGTTTTTATATTTTTATTGGATTATGATTTGATATATTAATTGGATGTTTTATTGGAAAATTAATAAAAACGATCTAACATGAAAGTTGGGCACGCAGACACAGGTTTACCACCTTAGTAAGAACTGAGGCACTGAGGAAATAGGAACCAAAATGTATATACTGTATAGTTAGAGGGAAGCACAGAAGGACAAAGCCATTTGAGGCAACCACAGCTCCTATTCATCCATCCATCCATTCATAATCCAATGTGTGGGTGGTTTTAGTGTTAGGCCTGCCATCTCGCGGGGCAGATTTTGGGCACCATGAATGGCAGCAGAGTGGGAGACAGGCAGCCCAGTCTGGCCCACTGAATCATATAACTGTAGAGATGGAAAGGACCCCAAGTGCCTTTGAGTCCAACCCCCGGCAGAGCAGAATCTATAGGGCAGAGTCCAGTGGGACGTTCTCCATCACAAGCCCCTTGGAGTGGAGAGCAGGGAGGAGAACATCCCAGAGGACCACCTTGCCCCAGTTCCAAATGCTATGGGCCATCCCTGGGCATCCCTCTCTCTCCAGTTCAGCCCTCCTTGCCCAGGCTGGACTCCACACCATACCTGCAGGAGCAGGAACTCAGTCCCAAGTGGAGAACGACTCACCGGGGGTGCCTCTATCATCAGGACATCCTTGCTACTTTTGCTGTTATTCTCCATCTCGAGTCTTCTGGCTAGCTTTCAGCTGTCCCCACCGATCCTGGTTGTTTCCAGGCACGAGAGAGGAGGACTCCGTTTATATAGGGTTCCTGGCACCAAAGCACCGAAGGTGATTTGCTGTGTGTCCTCTACCTGTTCTCACCAAGTTCTTTCAAAAGAAATAAAGTACAGCTAAGTGGCCCTTGGCATCACTTGTCAGTCAAGAGACCCTCTCTGGAGATTTGTCCACAGGCACAGAGGCCTCTTAGCTGCCTCTTGTCCTTCAGAAAGCCAGCTTGTTCTGACGCCAGGAGCGTCAAAGTGTGGCTTATTAAGGACCCTCTTTGCCTCTCCAACACTTGTGTCAGAAGGTTCTCGGGTCTTTCAAAGCAAGAACACGGAAACTTCCTTCTTTCTTTGATGGTGCGACTACATTTGGGAATACTGTGTACCGTTCTGGCCACCACACCTCAAAGAGGGTATTGTTGAGCTGGGAAAGGTTCAGAAAAGGGCAACCAAAATATTGAGTGGGGGCAGCGACTCCCAGTGGAGGACTTGGGGCTTTCAAATTTCAGTAGTGCCCTGTGCTAGGACATAATTTGTCCATCCATCCCCTGCCCTCACCTTCTGTTCTAAGTCATTGTTGTGGTGCTCCCTGTGGTGTCCTCTGCAACTACCCTAGGAAAAAAAGATTGCAGCATTTGCGACTTTTCAGTCTTCACGGAATCATAGAGTTGGAAGGGACCCAACTCTATTCAGGACAAATGTAGGAAAGTCACCCATGCAGCATGTACAGTAATTCAACTGTGGAACTTGCTCCACAGGAGGCAGTGATATCCACCAACCAATATTGCTTTAGAAGAGCATTAAGCAAATTCATGGAGACATGGCTACTAACCAGGATGTAATAATAATAATAATAATAATAATAATAATAATAATAATATACCTGGCCCATCTGGCTGGATTTCCCCAGCCACTCTGGGCAGCTCCCAACAAAATATTTAAAACACAATCAAACATCAAACATTAAAAACTTCTCTATACAGGGCTACCTTCAGATGTCTTGTAAAAGTCAGATAGTTGTTTATTTCCTTGACATCTGATGGGTGGGTGTTCCACAGGGAGGGCGCCACCACCAAGAAGGCCTTCTACCTGGTTCCCAGTACGTTTCTGAGCAGAATTCAAAGTGTTGGTGCTGACCATATATACCACACCAATGTTTTTGCTACTTGCAGGTCTCTCTGGCCAAAGGGCCTGTTCATGCAGTGGGGATGACTATGAAACTATTGTCTGGTCCGGACAGACTGGTGAGCTCCATGCCCCAACCAACTTGAGGCCTGACGCATGCTGAGCCTCTCTGCCAAAGAGGATGCTCCAAGCGGTCACTTTTCTTCTGTGTGGGCCTTGTACCCCCCCCAAGTGGGGGGAGACCCGTGGATGTCTCGACCCTGCTCCCAGCTGCTCAGAAGGCCTCGCAAACATCAGGCCATCTTCTGCACTCACACTTTGCCCTTTGTTGTCTGGGACAGAGCTGTGCCTGGAACGAGAGATGTTTGTGAACCTCCAGCTGCACACGGGCAGCTCGTGTGCCATCAATGAGCTGACAGCAACTTTAATGACCGGCAGGATGGAGGGGGGGGGATGAAAGAGATGAGCCAGCACTCAGGGTTGCAGATGGCGAGGGAGGGGGGCAGTTCAGAGAGATGCAGAGCGGATAAATATCCCTTGTGGTGTTGATGCCTGCCAAGTTATTATTATTATTATTATTATTATTTATTTGTCATTCAATGGTAATACGGTGGTACCTCTGGTTGCTAACGGGATCAGTTCCGGAGCCCGTTCGCAACCTGAGCAGAACGCAACCTGTGTCTGCGCATGTGCGGGTTGCGATTCGCCGCTTCTGCGCATTTGCGTGACATCATTTTGAACATCTGTGCATGCATGAGCGGCGAAACCCGGAAGTAACCCTTTCCGGTACTTCCGGGTCACCGCGGGACGCAACCTGGAAAGATTTACCGTATTTTTCACCCCATAAGACGCACAGGCCCATAGGACGCACCTAGTTTTTTTTGGGGGGGGGGGGAAATAAAGAAAAAAAAATTCCCCCCCAGGTGCGGGGCTGGGGCGGGGGAAGCCCGAAGCTTGGGGCGTGCTGAGCTCAGCGCGCCCCAAGCTTCTGGGTGCCGGCAAGCTCTCCGCTAGCCGTGGGAGAACCGCGTCTCCCAAGGCTAGCGGATAGCTTCCTGAAGCCTGGAGAGCGAGAGGGGTCAGTGCGCACCGACCCCCCTCACTCTCCAGGCTTCAGCAAAAGCCTGCATTCGCCCCATAGGACGCACACACGTTTCCCCTTCATTTTTGGAGGGGAAAAAGTGTGGCCTATAGGGCGAAAAATACGGTAACCCGAAGCGCCTTTAACCTGAGGTATGACTGTAATAGGGACAGTGGTGGCGCTGTGGGTTAAACCACAGAGCCCAGGACTTGCCGATCAGAAGGTCAGCGGTTCAAATCCCCGTGACGGGGTGAGCTCCCATTGCCCAGTCCCTGCTCCTGCCAAACTTGCAGTTCAAAAGCACGTCAAAGTGCAAGTAGATAAATAGGTACCTCTCTGGCGGGAAGGTAAACGGCGTTTCCGTGCGCTACTCTGGTTTGCCAGAAGAGGCTTAGTCATGCTGGCCACATGGCCTGGAAGCTGTATGCCGGCTCCCTCCGCCAATAAAGCGAGATGAACGCCGCAACCCCAGAGTCGTCTGCGATTGGACCTAATGGTCAGTGGTCCCTTATGACTATAATAAAAATGCCATCACCAAAAAAGAGGACAGAATAGGCAACAAATTTGCATATCTTTTTACATTGTAAAACTTGTACACCCTCAAAGCAGTCTACAGAAAAGATAAAACATCATCGATTAGAAGAAAAAAAGATTAAAAAATCATCCATAAGAAGAACTGGCAGCAATAATTTAGGACTTTTGAACAGTTAAAATAGCAATAGACTAAAAACAGATTTAAACTCGCATCAACCTTCTAAATACCCGGGCAGGCTTGTCTAAACAAAAATGTTTTTAGCAGGTTCTGAAAAGAGTGCAGTGAAGGTGACTGCCTGATAGTGGCCACACTAAAAGATTGTGTTATTACAGGTTTTATGTGGCACCTGTAACTTAGATTGCATTGTAAATATAGTAAACATTAATAGCCAACATCTGTGAACCACCCTGAGACCCCTAGGTATAGGGCGGTATATTATTATTATTATTATTATTATTATTATTATTATTATTATTAGGTTAGTATGTTATTTTTGTATGTTTGCAATCGAAATTATACACACACTACATGATAGACTCTCATAAGCTCCAGCCTGCTTGACCGATGGGTCAGGGATGAGGACTGAGGGGTCCAGCAATATACAGAGGGCCAGAGGTTTCCCTTTCTCTCTGCCCTGGATGTTTTGAGTTCGCTTGCAGCAGTAAGTACAGCCCAGACTGTTGGAAATGCAAATATGAAATAGGAGCCTTTTCATATATACGGTAGTGGACATGTCCAGTAGCAAGTGCATTCTGGTGTTCAGCTGAACTATGTAGACAAATTGTTTATCTCTTATTCTTAGACATAGTTTTACTAGAAGTGAAATCGTATGCATGTCAGCTTGGAAGTAAGTTCTACTGACTCGCAAGTAAATTTGTATTTATAGAAAAACCTACCCGTGACCCATTGTGAAATGACAGCACATCTGCTGATTTCTATAGCGAGAGTTTTGTGTACCGAAGTAAAGAGGGCATCAAGTGTGAAAGAGTGAGAAAACAAGTTATGTGAATACGTACGTAGTTCTTGCTCAATGAATGTGTTCTATTTGAGCTATCCAGAAAGACCAAATATCTCTCTGTTTTTTTTAAGTGGCTCAGTAGTACTCAGGCAACTGCCTTCTGTCTTGAGTTCAAATCCAGAATCAACGATTGACAGGGTTGCACTAAACCACAATTCAAAGAGATGTAGCTCACGCTCCCCTCCTTGCAATGGGACCCAAAATCCCACTGCTCAACTATAGGCAGTGTGGCATAGTGGTTAAAGCATTGGACTAGGATCTGGGAACCCAGAGATCAAATCTCCCCAGCTGACCATGAAAACCATTGGGTGACCTTGGGGGTCAGGAAGAACTTTGACAGTAAGAGCTGTTCAGCAGTGGAATGGACTCCCTTTAGACTCTCCCCAGATGTTATTGGACTACAACTCCCATCATCCCTGAGCTCTGGCCTTGCTAGCTAGGGGTGATGGGAGTTGTAGTTCAACAACATCTGGGGACCCACAGGTTGAGAAAGGCTGCTTTAGAGGATGTGGGTTCTCTTCGCTGGTGGTATAAAAGCAGAGGACAACCTCAGATATGCAGATGACACAACCTTGATGGCAGAAAGTGAGGAGGAATTAAACAGCCTTTTAATGAGGGTGAAAGAGGAGAGCGCAAAATATGGTCTGAAGCTCAACATCAAAAAAACGAAGATGATGGCCACTGGTCCCATCACCTCCTGGCAAATAGAAGGGGAAGAAATGGAAGCAGTGAGAGATTTTACTTTCTTGGGCTCCATTATCACTGCAGATGGTGACAGCAGTCACGAAATTAAAAGACGCCTGCTTCTTGGGAGAAAAGCAATGACAAACCTGGACAGCATCTTAAAAAGCAGAGACGTCACCTTGCCAACAAAGGTCCGTATAGTTAAAGCTATGGTTTTCCCAGTAGTGATGTATGGAAGTGAGAGCTGGACCATAAAGAAGGCTGATTGCAGAAGAATTGATGCTTTTGAATTCTGGTGCTGGAGGAGACTCTTGAGAGTCCCATGGACTGCAAGAAGATCAAACCTCTCCATTCTTAAGGAAATCAGCCCTGAGTGCTCACTGGAAGGACAGATCATGAAGCTAAGGCTCCAAGACTTTGACCACCTCATGAGAAGAGAAGACTCCCTGGGAAAAGACCTTGATGTTGGGAAAGATGGAGGGCACAAGGAGAAGGGGACGACAGAGGACGAGATGGTTGGACAGTGTTCTCGAAGCTACCAGCATGAGTTTGACCAAACTGCGGGAGGCAGCGGAAGACAGGAGTGCCTGGCGTGCTCTGGTCCAGGGGGTCACGAAGAGGCGGACACGACTAAACGACTAAACAACAAAATTTTAATATGAGTAGGAAAACGAGAGTACCCCTAAACTTCCCCCCCCCAGGAAAAAAAAGCATTGATTCTATGAAATGCAACCAATGCAACAAAGCTCCTGAGCTCTCTGTCAGCAACCCAGGTCCGCAGCTCCAACCCCACTCTGCTGCACCCCGAAAAGCACCCCAACCAAGTGCCGGCTTAACAGCTTGCACGGCCAGGCGTGCCGAGACGCTGGCCACCTTTCTTCAGCCTCTTTCTCCCTCTCTCTCCTGGACTGGGGAGGCTTCCCCGGCTGCGGAAGATGGACAGCTCCTTCCAGCAGCTGCTGCTGTTGCTGCTGCGCTCTATTCCCACGTGCAGCCGACCTTTTGTTCCACGACCCGCCCCCGCCCCCCGCGGGCGCCGCGACAACCCCCAGGCTGAGGCTGCATCCAGTGAGCTCATTCATCCACCCTCCCCATCAGTGATCAGTCCAGAACTTGGTGCTTTCGTGCTGTGCGCGTCTCTCCATCACGCCTGGCGGAGGAGCGCAGCTTCCTGCAGGGATGAGATAGCTCACAGCAGCTTGCAGCAGCCTGCAGACACAGAGAAGAGGAACCAGAAGCTGTAGAGGAGGCGAGCGGAGAGTTCGGTTTGCTCCTGCATCATCTTCCTCAGCTGCTGCTGCTGCTGCAAACGCCCGCTTCTCCCTGGGGACACCTTCCCCAGCCTTGGAAGGCTGGTTCTCCCCCAGGAAAAGGCCATGGCAGAGCTGCAGAGGCTGGGGCAGCTTCTCCTCCTCTTCCTCCTGGGCCTGGCCTGCCTCTGGCTGCCCGCCACCTGCCGGAAAGCCCCCAGGCCTCCCCCCTGCCCGCCCAGCTGCTCTTGCACCAGAGACACAGCCTTCTGCGTCGACTCCAAGGCCATCCCCAAGAGCCTGCCGCGGGATGTCATTTCGCTGTAAGTGGATGAGGACTGGGGAGGGCGCACATCTGTCTCTTGGTGGGTGGGTGGGTGGGTGACGGGCTGCTATGCAGTCGGGGTTGAGGAGCATGTGGAGATGGTGTCCCCGGGTGGAACAGGGCTGGTTGGTGTCCAAGAGAGAGATGACAGGGATGAGGGGTAGTAAGTGAGGGGTTAGATTGCCAGGGGGAGCACAGACAGCATTGGGAGCAAAGGTCTGCATCTTCAGCATCTTCAGACTGGTCTCCTGTGAAAGTCCATTTCCAGATGTTGCATCCCAGCTGGGGAACGGCTCGTTTGCTCCTCGAGAAAGAGGGGGGATCTATAGATGATGATGATGAATTACATGCACGTCCCATTTCTGCTAAAGGAGCTGAAGGTGGCATACATAAATCTCATCATCCTCATGTTAGCCTCACAGCAACCCTGTAAGGTAGGCTAGGCTGAGAGTGAGTGAGTGGCCCGAGGGCTCCGTGACCTGGTCAATTCGAATCCTGGTCTCCCAGGTCCTAGTCCAACACTCTAACCACTATGCCGCACTGCCTATAGATGGCTTCTTGCGGGTGAAAAGACCAGCCGGGCTACATGATCCTTAATGGCAGCTCTACATGCAAATGCAAGTGTTGGTTTATAGAGCCAAACCTCTTGGTTGCTTCTTGACACTTGCTTGAAGCTGAACTGGTTATATCATAAACCTTGAGGTGATATAGAAGTTCTCTCTGTGGTGTGAGATCCATGAAAGCTCAGCCAGGCTTTTCGTTGCAGTGATCGAGTGGGGATTACGAATAATTTTATCCATCATAGCCATATTCCAGAGCGAGTGGAAAGTGTAAGATTTTAGGCTGTTTGCCACCGAGTTGCAATTACTATTTGAGCTGCCAAGATGATGCAAAAGACCAATTCTTTTGACAACATATCTACACTGGTATCATCAAAAATATCCAGTAACATTCATTTTGGACAGCAAATGAGTTTCTTTAGTAATAATTATCATTTCTGTCAAAATTAAATTACAATTCCACCACAAAATCATTTCTTAGCAGTGTGCAATAACATAATGCATGTGCAGTGAAAAGTTGGAGCCATGTGAGCTTGCAGCATGCTTATTAAGCACTGGCATAAATAAACGAAATTCAGCATCCCACAAATCTTGATTATCCTTTCCTTTTTTAAAGAAAGTAAGTTTCCAGCCAACATGATTGTGTATGTGGGAAGCTCGGGGGGGGGGAGTGTTCACAGCCACTCCATGGTGCAATCTGAGCATGTGGGATGCTTGCATGCCATAAATACAACTGAATATCCATATTAAATGTCAGCCGGGTGGAACTGGTGCAGCGCTTGCTCTTACATTGCTCCTTTGTTGCACAGGGACAATTCAAGCATTAATGTGCATCACTGCATTGCTCTGTACCTTAAAGCAAAAATTCGGAAAACCAGATTGATTGGGGACACGAGAGGAGCATCTTCATCACCTTCCCATAGTTAAAACCTTGCTCCAGGCAGTTTACAACATCAAAAGATTTGCATAATTACAAAAATAAAACTGAGGTAGTTGCAAGCAATAAATGAAAATATGCTAAAATGTATGCAACAGAATTGAACAATCCCCACATGTCATAGGTACCAAAAAAAATTATTAAAAAAAATTAAAAATTGCCAACACCCCAGCAAAGCGGCATAGCTTCCCCCTTCCCCCAATGGCTCGGGGTACTTGGGAGTCGCAGGGGTGGGGGCGCAGAGGCGTAGGAAGGGTGCGGCCATTCGGCGCCCGCCCACGACTCCCAAGCCTACCCCGAGCTTTCAATGTGAGGAGAGGGGTGACAAAAAAAATTCCACACTGGGTACCACCGGGTACTACACCTCTGCTTGTGGGGGGCCGGACTATATTTTGAAAAAATAATGAACGAATTCCTATGCCTCACAAATAACCCAGAGAAGCATTTTAAATAAAAGCACACATTCTACTCATGTAAAAACATGCTGATTCCAGGACCGCCTGCAGGCCGGATTTAGAAGGCAAATTGGGCTGGATCCGGCCCCCAGGCCTTAGTTTGCCTACCCATGTGATAGAATGTACCCTTTTTTTTTCTTTACTTTTCCAGCATGTGTCTGACTTCGAATTATATATTTTCGCCAGTTTACTAGGGGTTAGAGATTGCCTTCTTGAACAAACGGGATTTAGAAAAGATCTCCTAGGTTCTGTGTATATAGGTTCTGTGCAATATAACAAATAACGAAGGATGTGGTCGCCCACAAATACAGAGTCTATCTACATATGAAATCTTATAACGCCCTTCCAGCACAGCTGAGGGCATTGCTTAGAAACACAGTTCAATAAAGGCAGGTCTTAATGGACCAGGTAAGAGTTTTTTAGACAAATAGCTGGCTCTAAAATGCCCTGTTTAAAGAGTGGGAACCACAGAGAACATTTGGAAGAGTTAATCTCTTGTAGGTTCTGTTCGGATTCTGTCCAGTACAGCCTTAGTGGACTCTTGTCCATATTCAAAAACTTGTTCAATTCATGGACACAATAGTAATCCAGGATACACTGAACGTTTGATTTCCACCAGAGCTGTTCTGGGCACCACAGTTCAAGAAGGACACTGACAAACTGGAACGTGTCCAGAGGAGGGCAACCAAAATGGTCAAAGGCCTGGAAACGATGCCTTATGAGGAACAGCTAAGGGAGCTGGGCATGTTTAGCCTGGAGAAGAGGAGGTTAAGGGGTGATATGATAGCCATGTTCAAATATATAAAAGGATGTCACATAGAGGAGGGAGAAAGGTTGTTTTCTGCTGCTCCAGAGAAGCGGACACGGAGCAATGGATCCAAACTACAAGAAAGAAGATTCCACCTAAACATTAGGAAGAACTTCCTGACAGTAAGAGCTGTTCGACAGTGGAATTTGCTGCCAAGGAGTGTGGTGGAGTCTTCTTCTTTGGAGGTCTTTAAGCAGAGGCTTGACAACCATATGTCAGGAGGGCTCTGATGGTGTTTCCTGCTTGGCAGGGGGTTGGACTCGATGGCCCTTGTGGTCTCTTCCAACTCTATGATTCTATGTTCCCCATACAGCACAGGTCTGGAAAACCTCGCAGGGTCAGGAAGTACGGTAAATCTTTTCAGATAGTTGAATGGGATGCAGTCTTGCTCTGATCATCTGGCTTCCATACGTAGAAGTGAGGCTGTTGTTCTGCTGATTAAGGAGAATTATCTCCTAAGAAATTGATTTTGAACTGTTTCTAACCCTTTAATAGAGTTCACATTGTCACCCCAAATTTCAGCTCCATACAGCATTTGTGGGATCACTTTGCTTACCAAAAAGATTCAGTGCTGGAAGAAACAACTGTCCACGCTCCATGAAATAAAACTTCATCGGTTTCCCTATAGCTATCTGTGCTTTGTATATGCCACTTCAAAGACAATGATTCACTAAAAAGGACAAGATATCTGAAGGAGCGAGTTTGCTGTAAATCATGTTGATCCAAACACCATTTATATTGAGAGCTGCGTTTTCCAAAAATCATTATTTTAGTCTTGGAGTAGTGTGTTGAGAGAGGCGTTTCTGTTTACAGCATGAGCTAAAAGCCACCAATACATTTTTAAGACCCAGGTGAAAGAGTGAAAGGAACTCTTATGTTGTCTTCATAGACAAAACACCTTCCTGGACACCATTTCAAAGCCTGTTAATTGCTTTAAATCGATCTTTTCAGTAGTGCTAAAATTCTTTTCTGCCTATAGTACCACTGATATAGCACTATAAAACTATAGCACTGATTTAAATATTAAACGAACAACTCTTTCCATCAGCACCATTTTAGACATGATTTTCTGGTTTGATTTGGTTTTGTGCTAATTAAACACTTTTTAATCTGCACTGTGTTTTAACATTTCATGGGTAGCAATAGGCAACCACACTAGAATGCTTAGCTCTAAATAAATAATGGAGGTTTTGATTTACTTATTTATGTGAGGATCACTTAGAGCTCCCCACCCCCACCCTACTAACCCAGTTGCATCTTCCTCTCCTATCTACTGGTGTGGAAGTGCAAAATCCCCGAAGGTGTGGAAAGTCAATTGAAATTCCACTTACAGCTTGCAACAGGAGAGCAATAATTTATTACACTGGCAGCAGCCAGCTGTCTGGAAGAAACCTCAGAAGTACAGTATGAACGTGCAACCCTAGAGCCTGCCTGCCTCACGTGGTGAGCACACTCAGGTGTGTAAAACTGGTGGCGTGGATCTATGCACATGTGTGCACAAAATGGGGCTTGTGGGGCTGCCTGGTTCCCCACCAGAAGTTTTGCACCACAAATCCCATCAGCCCCAGCTTTCATGAGCCAGTTCCTATTGGTGCCAGCGTCATGCAGCTGGGCTGGTTGAGGCTGATGTGTACTGTAGTCCAAAACATCTGGAAGGCACCAGGCGAGGGAAGGCTGATATAAGAGACAGAACCAGGACTCATAGGGCCCTCTACTCCAACTCCAAGGCAGAAATCACAGCTAAAGGATCCCTGACAGGTGGCCATCCAACTTCTGTTTTATAAACCTCTCGTGAAGAAGTGTCCACCACCTTCAGAGGGAGTCTGTCCCACTGTCAAGTGGCTTTTACCGTCAGAGTATTATTCCTAATGTGGAGCCAGGATCTCTTTTATTGTCATACACCAGTGTGATGTAGTGGTTAAGAGCGGTGGACTCGTAATCTGGTGAACCGGGTTCGCGTCTCCTCTCCTCCACATGCAGCTGCTGGGTGATCTTGGGCTAGTCACACTTCTCTGAAGTCTCTCAGCCCCACTCGCCTCACAGAGTGTTTGTTGTGGGGGAGGAAGGGAAAGGAGATTGTTAGCCGCTTTGAGACTCCTTAAATGTAAAGGTAAAGGGACCCCTGACTATTAGGTCCAGTCATGGCCGACTCTGGGGTTGCAGTGCTCATCTCGCTTTATTGGCCAAGGGAGCCGGCGTACAGCTTCCGGGTCATGTGGCCAGCATGACTAAGCCGCTTCTGGTGAACCAGAGCAGTGCACAGAAATGCCATTTACCTTCCCGCCGGAGTGGTACCTATTTATCTACTTGCACTTTGACGTGCTTTCGAACTGCTAGGTTGGCAGGAGCAGGGACCGAGCAATGGGAGCTCACCCCATCGCAGGGATTTGAACTGCCGACCTTCTGATCGGCAAGTCCTAGGCTCTGTGGTTTAAACCACAGTGCCACCCGTGTCCCATGTTGAGACTCCTTAGGGTAGTGATAAAGCGGGATATCAAATCCAAACTCTTCTTCTTCTTCATTTAGATCTGTTGGTTGGGGTCCTCCCCTCTGGAGCAGCAGGAAACAAACTGGCTCCATCTTCCATGGGACAGCCCTTAGAATATTTGAAGATGGCTCTCGTGTCACCTGTCAGTCATCTGCTCTCCAGTCTAAGGAGATTTGTAGAAATCTCTGTAGCTGCCCAATATTTGTCAGAAAGCTGGCTGGGAGTGAATGCGGGAGGGTGTGATATCAGAGGGGAGAAAGCCAGGGAACTGTAGGTCTAAGAGAAATCAATTAATATTTGGCCTTTGCAGAATTTTAGAGCCTGGAAGGGAAGAAAAGAGTCTTGCCTTTCTCTCTTGGGGCTCCTGGAGCTCCAGGAGATTTCGCTCTCAAGAAGTACTATTAGCATATCAAGCCCTTAACAACTTTGGACCAGTTTACCTATGAGATTGCCTTACCCTGTGTGTGCCCACTTGAACTGTTTCTGGCAGCAAAATTGACACTGCTGCAGGTGCCTCCTGATACCCTTTCCACATTTTTAAGAACTTGACCTTTTAGGGTGGCAGCACCTGCACTTTAGAACTCCCCGCCTATTGATGTCAGGCAGGCGCCTTCACTGAACTCTTTTTGGTGCTTGCAAAAAACATTTGTGTTTAAGCAACACTGCTCTGGTTCGCCAGAAGCGGCTTAGTCATGTTGGCCACATGACCCAGAAAACCTGTCTGCGGACAAACGCTGGCTCCCTCGGCCAGTAAAGCGAGATGAGCGCTGCAACCCCAGAGTCATCCACGACTGGACTTAACGGTCAAGGGTCCTTTACCTTTACCCAGGTGTTTAGAAAGTTGGACCAAGTCTGATCTGCTTTTAGTCTAACTATAAACCAAACCAAACCAAACCAAACCAAACTGGTTTAAACTAAACTAAAAACTATTTTTTAACTTCTTCAGTGTATAGATTATTGTTAATTTTTCTTAATTCTTAATTGTGGTTTTTGTTTTTTTTTGGGTAAACTGCTGTGAAGTTAAATATATAAATATCAGAGACATTGGTGCACATCAGGCACAGTGAGGTGGCAGTATTTTGGGCCATAGGAGCCAACTCCTAGGGGCTGAGGGGTCTTCAGCCCCCCAATAAAATATTTGAGGGGGCCAGCTCCCCCATATCTTATTCAGGTTGGCACCCTTATTCTGGACTATGCCACTTCAGACTGTGGACAGGTAGAGAGCATTTAATTGTTGCTTCCCCCATGTTAAAAAACAAACTTGCATAGGGTACATCAGAAGGAGAGAGATAATTATCTTGTTGATAATGCCAGTTTCCTGCTTCTGGACAGGGCTTTCTGTGTGTGACTCTCTCACCATCACCTACAGCCTGAAGTGAGGGATTCAGACTGCATAATAAGATGAGATAATTCCAATTTATGCAGAATGAAGGTGTGATCAACTGAGATGGCAGAATTCCACTTCAAACTGCAAGTGTGTGTGAGAGAGAGAGAGATAGTTTCGAATCAACAGAAGTCCAGCGTCAAGATCAAGGGAAGCAATAGTGCGACTATTTTGGGCACCAAGGTTTCAGAAGGAACAGAGGAGGGTGACCAAGATGACCAAGGGTCTGGAAACCAAGCCTTAGGACTGCGAGTTGATTCAGCAGCCCCGCAACCCCATCCTATTCCCACTGGGAATTTCTGGCATTTCCTAACACTTTTCTCCCAGACTGCTGCGTCTGGCTCTGTCTTTGTGCCAGGGCTGATGCCTGCATTGATCTGTTTAAGTGTTTTTTCCAGCCTCTCTCCAACCACCCTTCATTAATCACAGCAAATGGAGAGATCTTTAAATGCATCCTCTCTGCCAAGGGACTATATTTCTTTGGCTGTGCTCAGTTTATGTATAAAAGAGAAGGGAAACTGCAAGAAGAGGAGGAGAAGGACAGAGAGAGAAGAGATCAGTCTCAGGGGTGCATGTGGAATGGAGCAAGATTGGGGGCCCCAGGCTCTGCCTACTGAGAGCTAAAGTCAGGAGACAACTTTTTAAAAACATAATAATTCAAAGATTTTCAAAATATGCAGGTAACAACCACAGTAAAGGCTAAACAAGTCCGCACGGTCCAGACACTTGCCATCAGGATTCTGATGGCTGTCGCCTACCAGCTAGAAAAATGTGCAGTTTAGCATTTGGCCTGTAGCCAGTCAGTGAGACGACGTGAAATCTGTGAATGTAGGACAGCCTGACAGTAATTGAGGAGGATGACATCGGACGCCCAGCCATACACTGCAAGCAAATCAGTTTTATCTTAACGTTTGCTGCCCTAGCTTTCCACAAAGGATTCCTGCACAAAGGGGGCCTCCCACCACAGATCTATAATTCCCAGGATTCCTAGGGTAACAGAGTGGCATTAAAAGCAAATAAAGTCAGTAGCGCAGACAGACCCTTAGGGTGCTTTTTAGGGTCTTAATTAGCTATAATAAATGTAAACCTTATTCCCTTATGGGGGACACAAGAGCCCTTATCGAGTCCTTTGTGGGTTCTCCATCGGTCGGAGTAAATAACAGAGGCCAACCAGAGAATATTGAGAAGCAAAGCAGCTCCTAAGCCTGATCTTTATTGAACTGTTGCAACTGGATGCTCCCCTCACACGCAGGAGAAGGAGGAGGATCCAGAACCCAGGTGTGCCCGCCCTTATGTAGACATTTAAAATTGCCCGCCTTGGAGTCCAAGACCACCTCCAGATACATCATACCTACATCACAGAAGAGGCGGTCTACAACAGAAATCTGAGTGCGTTGTTTACCTCCTGTCTGGCAGGTTACCTGTTAATGCTTACTTGATTGGATACCCTAGGGAGCCTGGCCAGTTTTTTGTAATGACAAATACTTAGTTCCTGAGCCACGTCACAGGCTCACCCCATTCATACACAGACATACCCTTAAAAGACAGGATTTGTGAACAAAAAGACAACGGGGAGGCTCCCCCACCTCCTCCCTCCTTGCAGAGAAAACATTTGGTCCGTTTGGGAGTGAAAATGGTTTCACGGCAGTCCTCCTGTGCTGCTCCAGACATGTGGTCCACACATCTATGTATGTGCTTGGTTGGTACATTTATGAACATTATATATATATATATATATATATATATATATATATATATATATATATATATATATATATACACACACACACACACACACACACACTGGGTGTGTGTGTATATAAAATATATATATATATATATATATATATATATATATATATATACCATTTCATAGCAAACTTTAGGTTGCAGGCAGCAGTTAACAACAGCGGATTTTTATTTATTTTTAAATAATTTGTTAGATTTGCCCCAGAAAGGATCATAAGCATTGGTGGGGTTTCACAGTTTGTTACCAGTATGGGAAAACAAAATGGGGTTGGGGGTGGAGATAGGTTGGCGTTCTGATGACAATGGCATTATCTGGACGCCTCAAATAAAAAAAGCTCACTGGGTGTGAACCGGGGACCACTCTCTGCCTCTCAGCCTGACTGACCTCATAGGGTTGTTGCGAGGATAAAATGGGGGGGAGGAGAACAATGTAAGCCCCCTTGAGATCCTCAGAGAAAAAGATGGAACATAAATGCCACAAAAAAAAGATAAACCGTACACACATCTGGAAGCAGGCGTGAGTGAGTTTGTGGCTGGGAGTGTGATTGGAAACAGCCAATTCGTCGCTCGTGCTTTGAACCACTAATGGAGAAGCCACCTACTTTGCAGATTGGAAACTGGTTTCACCACAATTATTCAGCCTAGGACCCTCGTACCCACGGGACCGCCTCTCCTGGTATGTCCCATGGAGGACCTTATGGTCTTCAAACAAAAACATCTTGGAGGTCCCGGGCCACAGGGAGGTTAGGCTGGCCTCAACCAGAGCCAGGGCTTTTTCGGCTGTGGCCCCGATCTGGTGAAACGCTCTGTCATGTCACAAGAGACTAGGGCCCTGCGGGACTTGACATCTTTCTGCAGGGCCTGCAAGACGGAGCTGTTCCACCTGGCCTTTGGCCAAGGCACAGTCTGACCCCCTCCTTCGGTAATCCTCACAGAACTCTAGCCTAATGGTTGCCATTAATTTGATTTTGAATTGATTTTAGAATGAATTGATTTTAGAATGCATTTCAATTAATTGATTGTGATTTTATGTAAACTGTGTTACTTTTATTGTTGTTAGCCGCTCTGAGCCCGGCTTCGGCTGGGGAGGGCGGGATATAAATAAAATATTATTATTATTATTATTATTATTATTATTATTATTATTATTCCCTCTTGAGATTGTTCACTCTCTGGTACTGCAGAATCCTGCACTCTCTCATCAAAGTACAGATCAATTACACAGGTGTGGAATCCACATATGTTTCTAGTGTGATGGTACACAAACTCTCAATGTATCATAAGAACATAAGAAGTTAAGAAGAGTCTTCTGAATCAGGCCAGTGGTCCATCTAGTCCAGCTTCCTGTTCTCACAGTGGCTGACCAGACGTCACCATGCAGCGGGCATGCAGTCCATACCCAAGCTGGTTTCCAGCAACTGGTATTCAGAAGCACTGTTGCTTCCAACTGTAGCGGCAAAGGACAGCCATTATGGCCGGTAGCCATCAATAGCCCTCTCCTCCTTCTTGACTTTGTCTGGTCCTCTAAAGCCATCAGTGTTGCTGGTCATCACTGCTTCCTCCAGGAGTTCCATGCTTTCACTGCACTGCACGAAGGATGTGGGTGGCGCTGTGGTCTAAACCACTGAGCCTCTTGGGCTTGCTGATCAGAAGGTTGGCGGTCCGAATCCCCGTGATGTGGTGAGCTCCTGTTGTTCTGTCCCGGCTCCTGCCAACCTAGCAGTTTAAAAGCACACCAGTGCAAGTAGATAAATAGGTACCACTGCGGTGGGAAGATTAAACAGTGTTTCTGTGTGCTCTGGCTTCCGTCACAGTGTTCTGTTGCACCAGAAGTGGTTTAGTCATGCTGGCCACATGATCCAGAAAGCTGTCTGCGGACAAACGCTGGCTCCCTCGCCCTGAAAGTGAGGGAGCCCCATAGTTGCCTTTGACTAGACTTAACCGTCCAAGGGTCCTTTACCTTTATCTTTTGCACAAAAGATACCTTTTATCTTTCCTGAATCTTCCAACATTCAGCTTCATTGTGTGTCCCCAAGTTCTAGTGCTGAGATAGAGAAAAACCTTTCTCTTATCCCGGTGTTTTGTGAGCTTCCCCAGGGGAAACTGCTCTTTAGTGCTCAATCAGAGCAAAGGGCAATTCTCCAGATTGACTTTCGCTCCCATTTAGAGTTAAAAGCATGGGTTTTCACAGGGAAAGGAGTGGGGCAAGGGAAATGCCACTCACTCCTGTGCTTTCCAGGCCCAGGACAAGTGGAAGTGTGGACAAGCTACCTTTTAACTGCTGCTCAGATCCTTTTGAGAGATTCAGTTGCCTCCTTCTGTTTCAGCAGACGTTTTAGCATTTCTCTCTCTTTCCCTCTCCTCTCCTGCAGGACCCTGATAAATGCAGACTTCAGCGAAATCAAAGAAGCCGCCTTTGCTCACCTCCCGTTCCTGCAGTTCCTGTATGTCTCTCTGCCTGTCTGTTTCCCCTGGTTTTGTCTTTGGGGAGGAGGGATCTTGTTACCCTGAGTTGTCACAGCACTGCTTAGCCAGCCAAAGAACTTTACCATTAGAGTGACTGCCTAGGCTAGTACAGTGGTACCTCAGGTTACGAACTTATCCCGAGTTAAGTTCTTAACCTGAGGCACGCTTTCACTAATGGGACCTCCCGCTGCTGCCGCCGCGCCGCCACTGTGCGATTTCCGTTCTCATCCTGGGGCAAAGTTCTCAACCCGAAGTACTACTTCCTGGTTAGCGGAGTTTGTAACCTGAGGCGTTTGTAACCCAAAGCGTTTGTAACCCGAAGTACCACTGTAATTGGGCAAAGGGCAGGAGTTTTCCATGGCAGCAGATGAGAGAGGACATCCTTTCTGCCTTGACACATTAACTTTTTCAGCTTAGAAACGGCAGTGGTTGGAATGTGGACTCTGCAATACAGTGGTACCTCGGGTTACATACGCTTCAGGTTACATACGCTTCAGGTTACAGACTCCGCTAACCCAGAAATAGTACCTCAGGTTAAGAACTTTGCTTCAGGATGAGAACAGAAATCGTGCACCAGCGGTGCGGTGGCAGCAGGAGGCCCCACTAGCTAAAGTGGTGCTTCAGGTTAAGAACAGTTTCAGGTTAAGAACGGACCTCCGGAACGAATTAAGTACTTAACCCGAGGTACCACTGTATAGTTAATGCCACAGGGCAAGGCACTAATAGAATTGCTTTTGCACCCAACTGGAGTGGGTTTTCCTTCTGTCCATTTCAACTAAACTGTCTGGAGTTCCTTTCACAGTCAAGATAACTTCCCATGAAATAAGTTTCCTAGGTCAAAGCAGAGCATAGCTCTTGTGGAACTGGAATTCCTTGCAAGTTCTTAGCTCCTTTACAAGTTGAGAGGAACTCTGCATCACCTGAGCTGCTAGTTGGCACCTTTCTTCTCTAGAATAGAGCCTCGTCCCCTACACGCCTACTCGGCTGCTTCAGTTGACAGAATTGGCACCATTACCCTTTGGAACTCCCTGCCTCTTGAGACCATGCAGGTGCCTTTGCTGTACTTTTTGGCACCTGCCAAAAACATTTTTTCTTTAGACAAGCCTACCCAGATATTTAGAAAGGTGGGGCAAGTTTAAATCAGTTTTTATTCTATTGTTATTTTAACTTTTTGAAAGTTTTAAAGTTGTTCATTTTTCTTACTGATAGTTTTATTGTTTTATCTTCTTTCCCTAAACCTCTTTGAGTGCGGGGGGTTTTTTGTGATCAAGTAGTATATACATTTTATTAAATGAATAAATAAATATTCTGCAATGTGCAGAGCAGGACATCAGTCCTGAAGGCACACCACCTGTGGGGTCACTGGAAAATCAGTTTAGAAAGAAAAATCCCCTTACCTTAAATATGTCAATCAGACCTTGAACGAGGTGGGGGGGGGGAGCATTTACTGATTTTTTAAAAGTATTTTTACCCAGCTTTTCAGAAAAAGCAAGGAGAAAAACCCTCCCAGAGAGGCTTATAAATATCAGTAATAAGAACACTCCTTACACCTTACATTCTAAAAGTCACAACACAAAAAGGAAAAGGATTGGGGGGGGACGACAAGCCCAGGCACTAGTTCCTATTTACAGAATTTATTTATTTTTTAGCTACACATTTATTTATTTAATTTAATTTTTATTCACTTTTATTAAACAAACATTTCATACAAAAAACAAAACAAAGAAAAAAAACACAACTTACATTGGATATTTCTAGCTTAAAGATAGTTATTACAGTATACATTATCAAATTATCAAACATCTAGAATAAATGTGTATTATATAAAAGAAATAAAGAGAGAGAGAGAAAAAAGAAAAAAAGAAAAAGAAACATGAACGGCAATGAAACCAAAAAATTTACAAGACCCAAAATACCTATCAAACGAAAGCATTGTTTTGTTAATTCAAACCAGTACCAGGGTATACTGCTCACAAAGTCCCTCCTACTAGACTGAATCCCATTTTTTAATTTGTTGGTTTGTTGACTTCTGTCTGCTCTCTGGTTTCAGTTCAGCCATTCCTATGTTTGATCTGTATTTAATTATTGGTTGGTCTCCATCTTCGGATACCTCTGTCTAAACACAGCCAAGTGTTATAGTTGGAACCATGTTTGTTCAAGTAATTTTTAAAACATCCCCATTCTTTCTTAAGCTTATCTATCAATTGATTTCTTATTAACTCTATCATTTTTGCGACTTCTAAATATTCGCAGAATTCATGTGATGAATTTGCAGAATTCATGTGATGAGCAACTGGGATGGAATAAAGGAGGAGGAGGGATGCTGGTGGCGCTGTGGGTTAAACCACAGAGCCTAGGGCTTGCCGATCAGAAGGTTGGCGGTTCGAATCCCCGCAACGGGGTGAGCTCCCATTGCTTGGTCCCTGTTCCTGCCAACCTAGCAGTTTGAAAGCACATCAAAGTGCAAGTAGATAAATAGGTACCACTCTGGCGGGAAGGTAAACAGCGTTTCCGTGTGCTGCTCTGGTTTGCCAGAAGTGGCTTAGTCATGCTGGCCACATGACCCAGAAGCTGTACGCCGGCTCCCTCAGCCTATAGAACGAGATGAGCACCGCAACCCCAGAGTTGTCTGCAACTGGACCTAACGGTCAGGAGTCCCTTTACCTTTTAAAGGAGGAGGAAAGCTTAAATCTGCTGGTCTCTCAACTAAGAGGCGCTGAGCTCCCATCTCTCCCTCTTCTGAAGCCATCTCCTTGTGATACTCAAAGCAAAATCCTAGAATTGTAGAGTTGGAAGGGGCCCAATGGTCATCTAGTCCAACCCCCACAACGTGACATGAAATGTTGAATGAATGAATTTTATTATTACGGTCACAGACCAGTTCCGGCTCACTTACAATATCAGAAAAATCATAAAACACAACAGGGATACATTGGATTGCAATTGGGTTTAACAGAGACAATTCAGATATAACAGCAGTTAAAAATATACATTAAATCTTGATCACTAAAATATAACCTAAAATTGTCATTTAAAACATTAATCATTTTGGTAGTACAGCTTGTTCCCTAAGTTTTATGGCAGTCGCACAGAATTTGACATGAAATGTTAAGCCAAGCATTGCTAGGGTTTACTGTCCCATTCTCACTGCCTTAACACCGTGTCTTTTCTCTTTGCAGCTTATTGAATTCCAACAAGTTTTCCTTGATTGGGGACAATGCGTTCACCGGACTCTCCCACCTGCAGTACCTGTACGGGTCACTTTTCCCTAGCCTCTACAAGGGGAGACACTGGGACAACACTTGTAGTAGGAAGAAGGGCCAGGAACAGGGGGAAAGGGGAGAGCTGATGTTTATAAGCCCTAGGAACAACAAAGGTCACACATCTTATTCCAGTTCCAGCCATGCCCATCCCCACGCATCCAGTGGAGGGCTGGCGGGGGATGGAGAGGGGTTGTCAATAACTATCAGACTTTCAAAAGCTGGTGTAATAAACATAAATCTGCCCTTGTTCCCTTATGGGGGACACAAGAGCCCTTATAGAGTCCTTTGTAGGTTCTCCATCGATCGGAGTAAATAACAGAGGCCAAACAGAGAATATTGAGAAGCAAAGCAGCTCCTAAGCCTGATCTTTATTGAACTGTTGCAACAGGGTGCTCCCCCACACGCAGGAGAAGGAGGAGGACCCAGAACAAAGGTGTGCCTGCCCTTATATAGACATTTTAAATTGCCCGCCTTGGAGTCCAAGACCACCTCCAGATACATCATACCTACATCACAGAAAGGGTGGTCTACAGCAGAAATATGAGTGCGTTGTTTACCTCCTGTCTGGCAGGTTACCTGTTAATTGATTGGATACCCTGGGGAGCCAGGCCAGTCTTTTGTAATGACAAATACTTAGTTGCTGAGCCAGGTCCCAGACTCACCCTATTCATACACAGATATACCCTTAAGACAGGATTTGTGAACAAAAAGGCAATGGGAAGGCTCCCCCACCTCTTCCCTCCTTGCAGAGAAAACATTTGGTCCATCTGGGAGCCAAAATGGTTTCAGGGTGGACCTCGTGTGCTGCTCCAGACATGTGGTCCACACATCTATGTATGCGCTTGGTTGGTACATTTATGAACATTTATTTTATATATATATATATATGACCTTATTTTTTTTATTTCACTGGTGTCAGTCAAGCTCATAGTTTTTGTTGAATTCATTAAACTAAATCTACAGTTAATGGGGGGTTTGAATCAATGTGCAATTAACTGCTAATGTTTTTAATTTTATTATCTTCCTTGGTGGGTTGTGCAAACTGCTGTTCTGAATGATGCTTTTTTAAAGGATAGGGTAGTTGGTATTATGGATGAGTTTATGGAACCAAGGCAGGGCGGTGGCCTACAAAAAGCATGGGAGTCCCTGGGTGAGAATATGTCTTTCTCTTTGCCTTCAGGTTCATCGAGAACAACGACATTCAGGCTCTGTCAAAAAACGCCTTTCGTGGGCTCAAGTCCTTGACACACCTGTGAGTTGCCACTTGGGCAGAAGCATCTGCACTGGGCCTTGCATGCTACTGACAACCTAAGATTAACTGGTGCACTCCTGGCAGCGTGGGACGCGCCTGCCAGAATAATAATGAAGTTTAGGAGTTGTTTTTTTCTTGGGGTCAAGATTTAATTTTGGAGATCTTAATTTTGCTGTTATAGAATCATAGACTTGTAGAGCTAGAAATCCCCCAAGAGGCATCTAGTCCAACCCTCTGCAATGCAGGAATCACATTATTATTGATGTTAATTTTTTGTATCTCTATTTGTGGATCTTATTATGACTTGTTTGGGGCAGGTGTTAAATTATGTTGCTTGTGTTTTGATTGTTTTTTTAATTGCTTATGACTACTTTTGTTGTATTTTTGTAATTATGCAATTCTGTTCACACTGCGTGCGCCTTGAGCATAGTTTTTAACTATGGGGAGGCAGCATACGAATGAATTATGATGATCATGAAGACATGGATCAAATGGTCAGGGATAATAATAATAATAATAATTTTATTATTTATACCCCTCCCATCTGGCTGGGTTTCCCCAGCTACTCTGGGTGGCTTACAGTACATAAAAAATGGTAAAACATTAGACATTAAAAACTTCCCGATACAAGGTTGCCTTCAGATGTCTTCTGAAAGTCAGATAGTTGTTTATTTCCTTTACATCTGATGGGAGGGCATTCCACAGGGAGGGCGCCACTACCGAGAAGGCCCTCTACCTGGTTCCCTGTAACATCACTTCTCACAGGGAGGGAACCACCAGAAGGCCCTTGGAGCTGGACCTCAGTGTCCGGGCAGAACGATGGGGGTGGAGACGCTCCTTCAGGTATACTAGATCTGTCCAGGGGGTGGGGGAGAGCTTCTGCATTGCAAAGGGCAGGATGCATTATGCCCACAGAGATATTTCAATGCCTTCCTGCAGGATTCTTGTCCATGAGAGTTGGCTGGGTCACATGGTGTCCGTAGGGGTGGTAGGGTTTGCCTTTGCATACCCTCCAACATTTCTCCAGTGGAAATAGGGACATCCAAAAGCAGGAGCTTCTGGGATCAAATCAGAAACCAGGATGGCTTCTGACATTCCAGGACTTTCCCTGGAAAATTGGGACACTGGGAGGGTCTGCCTTTGTCACAGCAGCAGCAGTAGCAGACACCAACCTGGATGGTTCTGAAAGAGGATTAGACAAATTCCTGAAAGAAAAAGCTATCAATGGCTCCTAGCCACAATGGCTATGGTTCTGAATAGCAGTTGCTGGAAATGGCAGGAGGGGAGAGTGTGGGAATGTTCAGGGATGCAGGAGAGGATATATTGTTTGATTATATTCTTTCCAACTTGTGTTAACAAGTTCTACAATTTAGCAGAGTAACATTCCCCCTTTTAAACTTGCTCAGCGGATGCATTTGCTCAGGCTCGCTATAGCCTCTAAAATGTTACCTGGTAATTTCCCCTTTAGTCCCTCATAAAAGAAATAGACACGACACAGTCTTCTATAAAAGTATAAAAGAGTTTACTCACTCACATTCTGTTCACAGATGGATCCCAGAAGGCAGACTTAAGTTACAAAAGTAATATACACCTGGAAACTATCCCATAAGGAGACAGCTCCTTTGTCCTTTTTTGGCTGCAAGCCAAGAGAGCATCTTTGGCTAAGCAGATGTTGCTTCTTTGACGAATGTAGTCAAAGAGAGAGAGATGGCGGCCTCCGCTGAGGTATTTTGTTATCTGCATAGGTGAGGTCACGCCCACATCTGGTCACATGTAGAGGAAGTCTGCCCCAGCCTAGGAGGAAACAGGAAGTTCCGACTGGCTGGTCCAGACATCTCCTTTTTATGTCCACTCTAGGGATGTTGTACTTGACTGCTCTGTGTTTCACATCCCACAGAGAGCGGTCTTGTGCTCAGGTCCTGTTGGTGGGCTCCTCACTGGGGCATCTGGTTGGCCACTGTGAGAATGGGAATCTGGACTAGATGGGCCCCTGGCCTGATCCTGCAGGCTCTTCTTACATCCTTATGTTCCTCAAAAGCAGCAAAGAGGGGAACCCCTGGCACAACCCAACATTCCCGTCTTCCTTTCTTCCAGATCTTTGGCCTACAACAATCTGCAGACGCTGCCCAGAGGCCTTCTGAAACCCCTGGACATCTTGAGCGACCTGTAAGGTTCCTTCCCACTTCGGTGCAAGTAATTCTGCTCCCTGCACCTTTTGCAATTGCAACGCCCTGGCGAGCTCTGTCCTCCCATATGTGTGGCCCAAAAGTTCATGGCAAGCTGCAAGAATTTCACCATATATGAAAGACCCACCATTGTAATTAAATTAACCACAGTCCAGCCAGTGTGGTATAGTGCTTAAGAGCGGTAGATTCGTGATCTGATGAACCGGGTTCGCGTCTCTGCTCCTCCACATGCAGCTGCTGGGTGACCTTGGGCCAGTCACACTTCTCTGAAGTCTCTCAGCCCCACTCACCTCACAGAGTGTTTGTTGTGGGGGAGGAAGGGAAAGGAGATTGTTAGCCGCTTTGAGACTCCTTTGGGTAGTGATAAAGTGGGATATCAAATCCAAACTCTTCTTCTTCTCTTCTTCAATTACTGGGAAGGGTTTGCTGAAAACGGGTGAGCCAAGCAGAATGGACCAATTTAATTTGGAGCAGCAAGAGGCACCCAGTTCAATAATTTTATTTCATTTGTGGGGAATAGGAGAGCATTAAGCCTATGTATAATTCTCCTTTTCAAGATCAGTGAGACTTAAAAGCACCAACTTCACCTTAAAGCAACATGTTCTTTACACAATAGTAGTGGATTTGGGCTACCATAATATTGCTGTCCAGAGAGATCACAGCGCAGTAAAAGTGGAACAAAACCCAGAACATTTGTGGTTATCAAATTTCAGCAGGGAGTCTCAGGGTGGGCATTGACTGGAAATGAAGCAGACATTCTTTTCACTGTCAATTTATTATTATTGTTTGTGTCCATGATGCTGTTGGGGTGATCAAACGCTATCGTACTTTCAACACTAATTTCAATACATGAAAAAGTTTTGGGGTAGTCACACTGCTTCATTTCCAATCAGGGCATAACCTGTAACTTCCAGCTGAAATTCTGTAATTTTCATAAAGCAAATATTCTAGGGTTGTTGTTTTTTTGTCTTGCTTTTCTTGCACTTGGAGCCATTCCAGGCAGCACTTGGAGCCATTCCAGGCAGCAATAATAGTTATTTGTTTATTATGTGGTAGCATTAGAGAAGACCACAGAAAAAACTAGTTAAGCAGGATAAGTCTACACTGACAAGCAAATGAATTGTCAGATCAGCATTATCATTGGTGAAGATGGACAGCAAACAAATGTTATTCAGATTTTCAAAGCACAGGGAATCTCTGTACTTAGGGAGGAGAGTGGTGGGGACAGCGGTGGTTGGAGAATGCTGGATCAGATTTGCAATCTTGCCTTTGGATTGGGTAACTGCTCTTAAATTGCCGTATTTTTCGCTCTATAGGACGCACCGGACCATAGGAGGGGGAGAACAGGGGAAAAAAATTCTCTCCCTCTCTGCTCAGCGCCCCTTCAGCAAAGCGGCAGGAGAAACGGAGCCCCTTCCATTTCTCCTCCCGGTTCGCTGAAGGGGCGCTGCGCAGCTCTCCCTCTCTGGTGAAGCCAGGAGAGTCTTGCTCTCCTGGCTTCAGCAAAAGGAACCCGAAGCCTTTGGAGCACAGCGCGAGTTCCCGCTGCGCTCCAAAGGCTTCAGGCGGCTATCCCTGAAGCCTGGAGAGCAAGAGGGGTCAGTGCGCACCGACCCCTCTTGCTCTCCAGGCTTCAGCAAAAGCAACGCAAAGCCTCCGGAGCGCGGAGGGAGCGCTCCCTCTGCGCTTCGGAGGCTTCGCGTTGCTATCGCTGAAGCCAAGGAGCCTGCATTTGCTCCATAGGACGCACACACATTTCCCCTTAATTTTTGGAGGGGAAAAAGTGTGTTCTATAGAGCGAAAAATACGGTAGCCAATTTGTGGGTGGAGGTGATTGCTCCTGAATTGCCTCTCTCTTTGACAGAGACCTCCGGGGCAACTCGTTAACCTGTGACTGCAACATCAAGTGGCTAGTGGAGTGGATGGATAGCACCAACACAAGCATCCCCGCCGTTTTCTGTGGGAGCCCCGCTCAATACCAAGGCCAGAAGATCCGGGACCTGCCCCTCAAGGACTTTGACTGCGTCACCACAGGTAGGAACAGCTGGTATTTGCATGGCCTTCTGGGAAATAGAATGGCACCCAGAAGCAGCGCTGCATCTACAGATTTTGCTGGGGGTGGGGGGAGGAACCCTGCCTTGCCATCCCTTTCTCCTGCAGATTTGTGCCCACCATGACCACGTCTGGAATACCTTGTACAGTTTTGGTTGTCTCACTACAAACCTGTGGAGGTTCAGAAAAGGGCAACCGAAAAGATCAAAGGGCTGAAGTGACTCTCGCATGGAGAAAAGTTGCACCATTTGGAACAGGCATAGGCAAACTCGACCCTCCAGATGTTTTGGGACTACAACTCCCATCATCCCTGATGGGTCCTGTTAGCTAGGGATCATGGAAGTTGTAGGCCCAAAACATCTGGAGGGCCGAGTTTGCCTATGCCTGATTTGGAACTTCTTTGTTGAGAGAAAAGGCAAATAAGAGGTGTCATGACTGACTTTATAAAACTATGCCAACCTCCGTGTCAGGATCTCTGGCAGGCACGAGCATGCTCCAATATGAATTAATGAGCCTCTGGCAGGTTTATAGTACGTTTATTTACAATTAACACAGAGAGAGCAGCACCGAGCCAGCCTCCATTAGTAACTAGTTGCTCACTCTGAATCTCCACCCCTTCTGCAGCACAAAGCACGCCAAAGTCCAGTCCTTCCTCCCTTGCACTTTCATTTCCACCTTTCCAGCCCTCCTGGTTTGGGGGGAAGGTGGGTGGACTTTCCCTCCACTCTCAAACAAAGAGCCTTCTAAACGCTGCCTCCCTTCTGGTTGCATAGCAACCCCCTGAAGGTCGTCTGATTCCCCCCCCACCTGCCGACTGTGAGCCTTCTGAGTCTACTTTTCTATCTGCGACTGGAAACTCAGGAGGAAAGGGGGTCAAACTCACCCACTCTTGCTTTATCTGTGACTGCATTCCCTCATCTTCAGAGTCAGACTCTTCCCAGGCATCCAGCTCAGTCACATCCCTGACACTCCGGTTTGGAGAAAAGGGTTAGGTACGAGGAGAGGCAAAGAGAAGGTCACATGAAAAATCATGCTCAGTGTGGAGAAAGTGAATAGAGAAACTGAAATATACTCGGAGTCAAGTGTGGATTTCATGCTCTTTATTCAGCTCATAGTAGTGAGGAATGCTAGTTCGCCCGAAATGTCTGCTTTATATACATTATTTACACAATGGGCGCCACGTGATTGGCTAATTCTGGGATTCTCCTGTAGGCCAATCAGGTTGCGGCTTCACTTCCACCTGGAGTTGGATTGGGTGGCTCCTGTGGACCAATCAGACTGCTGCATTCTGAATCCTATTGTTCTAGGACCAATGAGACTGCTGCATTCTGGACCCTATTGTTCTAGGACCAATCAGACTGCTGTATTCTGAATCCTATTGTTCTAGGACCAATCAGACTGCTGCAATTTGGATCCTATTCAACTCAGTACATAACAGAAACATTTTTCTCCCTCTTTCCTAACACTGGAACTCATGCACATCCAGTGAAGCTGAATTCGGAAGATTCGGGACAGGTCAAAGAAAGTCCTTCCTCATGCAGTGCATAGTTCAACTGTGACACTTGCTCCCACATGAGGCAGTGGTGGTCACCAAGTTAGATGGCTTTTAAAGATTAGACAGATTCATGGAAGAGGAGAGGGCTGTCGATGGCTACTAGCCAGGATGGCTCTGGGCCATTGGCCTGACCCAGCAGGTTCTTCTTACATTCTTATGTCCACACTACAGAACAATGAAATGTAACAGAACGGATGAAGCCATGGCTATAAACGACCTACATTTCACGTGGCAAAACATGGGTGGATAGGGAGGGTTACCCTGGCACTGGACTGATGTCCAGAAGGTGAGGATGCTATGTAAATAGGACATCGTAATCAAGAAGGTTTTTCCTGACCTGTGTCTAATGTCATGTGGGAATGGGAACCCATAGAGTTCAGGCAGGCTGGTGTGGTAGAATGTGGCCCTTCAGGTATCCAGGGTCCCAAGCCATTTAAGGGCTTTTTTTAAGGCAATCAGCAGGAATTGTTTGGGATACAGACAAGGTCTCTTTGTTTCTTTCCTCCATCAGATTTCGTGGTGCACCAGGTCCTGCCTTTCCAGTCTGTGTCCGCAGAGCCGTTCCTGTACTCCAGCGACCTCTACGTGGCCCTGGCCCAGCCCAGTTCCAGCAGCTGCAGCATCCTCAAGTGGGACTATGTCGAACGGAAGCTGCGGGACTTTGACCGCATCCCTGGTAAGCAGTGGATGGAGCCATAGAATTTGTAGAGTTGTGTTATAAGAATTTTAAGGTCATAATATGAATGTTTATAGCTGTATATATAAACCACATGTCTGAAACCCCAGAGAAAAGGTCCTGAACAAATTGACCTCAAATATTTTTCTGCAAGGTCAAAGTGGGAAACCTCCCCGTTGTCTCTTTCCTCACAGATTCTGTCCTCCCAAATCCTGTCTTAAGGGCACATTCAGGATATGAACAGGGTGTGAGCCTTTGACCTATGACCTAGATTCAGGAATTAAGTAGTTATAATAACAAAAGAGTGGCCAAAACCCAGATAATGCAATCAGGTAACTTGCCAGACAGGAGATAAACAACGCACTCAGATTTCTGTTGTAGACCGCCTTTTCTGTGATGTAGGTATGATGTATCTGGGGGTGGCCTTTGCAGAATGTCCACCTAAAACTGTCATGCACGTGTGCAACAGATGCATGTCTTTTGTCATGCATTTAAAAATGCCAGAGAGCAGGGGTGACTAAGGTGCATGCCCCATTCCTCATCGCAACCTGTTTGAAGCGGCTATTGCTGCATTTCCCAATCCTCTCTCCATGGTGCCTCCTTCCTTGTAGTCTGTTGCCTGCAACATTTAGCTGTGATTCCTGCATTGCAGGGCAGGGATCAAAAGAGATGACCCTTTGGGTCTCCTTCCAACTGATATAAATAAAAAAACTGCTCCTTTTCCTCTTATGGGGTATCCAAGAGCCCATATAGAGTCCTTATGTAGGTTCTCTATCGGTAGGAGAAAATAACAGATGCCAACCAGAGAATACTGAGAAGCAAAGCGGCTAGTAAGCCTGATCTTTAATAAACTGTTGCAACAGGGTCCCCCGCTCACCCCACGCAGGGAGGCGAGGAACCCAGAACATTGATGTGCAAGCTCTTATATAGACTTTTGAAATTGCCCACCCTGTAGCTCAAGACCACCCCCCAAAACATCATACATACATCACAGAAAGAGGTGGTCCCCAGTAGAAATTTGAGTGTGTTGCTTCTCTCCTGTCTGTCAGGATTGCCTTTTCTGGGTAGCCTGGCCATTCCTTTGAGATGGTAAATACTTAGTTCCTGAATCTCTTATGCATATTGATAGTGTGCTCAGCTTAACAGATACTTGCCAGACTGTATTTACAGGGAGGTGTAAGCCCCTACAGTCCAAAGACAATTGGAGAACTTTTCCCATTTCCTTCCTCCTTGCAGAGAAATATCTGAGGTCAATTTAGGAGAGTTAAAATAGCTTCAGGATTGTTCTCCTGTACTATTTCAGACACATGGTTTATATACTTATGTATGTGTTTGCCTTGTACATTTATGAACATTTATTTTATATATACATACAGTATAAGACCTTTGTTGTTGTTTAGTTGTTGAGTCGTGTCCGACTCTTCGTGACCCCATGAACCAGAGCACACAAGGCACTCCTGTCTTCCACTGCCTCCCACAGTTTGGTCAAACCCATGTTGGTAGCTTCGAGAACACTGTCCAACCATCTCGTCCTCTGTCGTCCCCTTCTCCTTGTGCCCTCCATCTTTCCCAACATCAGGGCCTTTTCCAGGGAGTCTTCTCTTCTCATGAGGTGACCAAAGTATTGGAGCCTCAGCTTCACGATCTGTCCTTCCAATGAGCACTCAGGGCTGATTTCCTTCAGAATGGATACGTTTGATCTTCTTGCAGTCCATGGGACTCTCAAGAGTCTCCTCCAGCACCATAATTCAAAAGCATATAAGACCTTAGAATTCCTATAACAGACCTATTCCTGTGTTGATGCCTCATAATGTTCTCCTGCAGCTCACTCAGCCGTTTACTGCAAGCCCATCGTGGCCGAGTCGCAGCTTTACGTCGTTGTGGCCCAGCTCTTTGGCGGCTCCTACATCTACCGCTGGGACACCAACATCGACAAGTTCATCAAGATCCAAGACATCGACAGCCAGAAGATCCGCAAGCCCAACGATATCGAGGCCTTCCAGATCGAGGGCGAGTGGTTCTTTGTCATTGCCGACAGCTCCAAAGCTGGCTCCACCAGCCTCTACCGCTGGAACCAGAACGGCTTCTACTCCCACCAGGAGCTGCACTCGTGGCACCGTGACACCGACGTGGAGTACCTGGAGATTGACGGCAAGCCCCGGCTGATCATCTCCAGCAGCTCCCAGGCCCCAATCATCTACCAGTGGAACCGCTCGCAGAAGCAGTTCCTCCACCTGGGCGATGTGGCAGACGTGATGGACGTCCAGATGGTCAAGCACTTCCGGGTCAAGAGGGACAACTTCCTGTGCCTCAGCCGCTACATTGGCGACTCCAAGGTGGTCAAGTGGGAGGGCCTGCGGTTCACGGAGCTACAGACCTTGCCCTCTCGAGGCTCCATGGTGATGGAGCCGTTCCGCGTGTCCCAGCATCAATATATGGCCCTGGGGAGTGACTTCTCCTTCACCCACATCTACCTGTGGGACGAAGAGAAGCAGAAGTTTGCAAAGTTCCAGGAACTCTCTGTGCAGGCTCCCCGCGCCTTCCGCCCCATCCCTTTGGAGGACATGGATATCCTACTGGCGCCCAGCTTCAAGGGGAACACACTGGTTTACAAGCATATCGTGGTAGATCTCAGCTTGTAGGGCAGAGGTACGTCACCGCCACCCCCTACCTGCACACACACACACACACACACACACACACACACTTCTGCTGGAGGTGGGCACCTGAGCACTGTAGTCACTTGGAGCAAAGCTGCTTACTCATCCCCCACCCTTTTTCTCTCCATGGTAAGGATATAAGCTCAGGGCCTCCTCCCAAGGTCCACTCTTGGTCAGAGAAACAAAACAGAGATGACAACAAAACACAAAAGGGACCTAACATACACTCACTCACTCCTACGTCGACCTGGATGTATATGCAATAATAATAACACACCCCTAGACCTCACGTCATTAACTCCATGCAACGCTGGCCAAGCCTGCCGGTTGAAACGCAAATCTTGTTGCCAAATTTCAGCACCGAAGTAACTCTACACACATAACAGACACATGAAGCTCCCCGGAATAATGACCACACTTGGAAATGACCTTTTGAGGTGATCCCTTGAGCGTGTAAGAGTTGAAATGTTATGTTTCTACACTTGGGATTTCCTCTGGGGTTGCCACTTTTGGTTTTTTAAAGTACACCCACACGACAACGTTGTCATCAAATCGCTGTTCTCCTGCCTTTCCTCCCGGGTTTCTTCCATTTCTTTTGAGATCTCCCAAAAGCTTAATTTTGTTTTGTATTTTTTTAAGGAATGGAATAGCATCCTGAGTGCAAACCATGATGAAAGTGCAGTAGAAATGATGTCTGGAGGCATCAGCTGGCTCCTGCCAATCCATACGAATCCATTAACAGGGAGCTCAACACAAACCAACGTCCTTTGCTCCATACTTCCTGCCTTGCAACAAATAAACCCTGATTCTGCGCGCGCGCGCACACACACACACACACACACACTTTTTATGGCTCTGCACCAGCAGCTCCCAGCTGCCTTCCAGCTGTGCCTCTAACATCCCAGTTTTTTCTGACTGGTCCATCAGCTCTTATTAACCTCTAAACCTACAGCAACTCTCATCCTAAGAAAGCCGCTTTCTAGCTGTTGCGGACAGAGAGCTAGAAAACATAATGGCGATTGGATTGGGAATCAAGTAGCAAGTAAAGAGACATAAATATTAATTACACAACCCCTACCAGAAATCCCATGATTTCTAAGCTCGTTTGCAGATTCCTGAGGGTCCACAAAACATTATTCCACATACTAAGAGGAATACGCTGGAAGATATCACAGGATCGAGACCAGACACCCATCTGGATAGTGCAACTGATGCATACGGTTTATGATTATATGAAGACAGGTACTATATGCAGCTATTTTATTATGCAACTAAAGTATGTGACTTTGGCAGCGGACGTCTCTTTATATTTTTACATATTCCCCAAAGAGTACTCAGTCCTGCTTATTGCTTCTCGTTAGGCAAAAAGTGTATTAAGAAAAGAGCAAAGCCTGCTTTCAATGTGGGGCAGAGGTGGCAGATGGGTCTCTGTGACTCCTGGTGGTGCATGGGGCAAACTCTTGCCCAGTTGGGTGGGTCAGCATTGCATGTCGCTCGCTTTGCCGGCTCAGGGTGGCTGCAACTTGACATAGCTCCCTCTTCCAAATCAAGGCTGGCTTTGAACCTCTTGGGATTGGCTCAGGAGAGATGAGGAGCAGCAGAAGGTGGGACTTGCTGTTGTCCAGTCCCAGAATAAAGTGAATGGGATTTTGATCTACTGGTGACATCTCCTGCTAGCATCATTCAATGGGCCAGATCCTCAGAACCATTTGAAGCATGGAGAAACCTCAGTCAGACTCTTGGCCTCCCAGAGTCAGGCCCCAACAGCGAGAGGGCTTCTGGAAAGGGTGGTAGAAGGAGGCTATGGAATCCTTAGAGCAAGCAGAACATCCAAGTGTGCAAACAGAAGGAGAACAGCAAAACAGGCTAAACTTGGGGCAAGAACAGGAGCCAGGGCAGGGAGAAGCCTGGTAATCTATGGCTCAGGCTTAGGAATGTGGTGCAGAGGGTTATATAAAACAGAAAGTGGTGCACCATGGATACCTGGGTTCAAGAGGGTCATGTGATTCCTGCATTGCAGGGGGTTGGCCCTTTGGGTCCTTTCCAACTCTACAGTTCTATGATTCTATGGGCGTAGGTGGAAATCCATGCACTGCCTTCCTTTAGTGGAAGGAGCAGGGCACCCAAACGCGGTCTCCTCTTTTAATTTGCAGTATTTATGAAAGCCTTCGGTGCAATTGAGACCCTTTACACCTAACGCTTGTAAAGGCAGAGTGTAGTCAATGCTATTTTTCTAGAAAAAGAGGTGCTGGAACTCACCGTGAACGCCTCCCTTGTTCTCTTATAATGGCATGCAGAACGTCCCACATCCAACCCCTAGCATCCCTTGGTAGGGCTGGGAAAGACTCCAGGCTGAAACTCAACTGACTCTCCCTGCCTTCTCTCCAGTTTTCCTTCATCACGTTGTGTTCTGGCCCTGCTTATGGGTTTCCCAGAGGCATCTGGTTGGCTACTGGATGCCAAACTTGATGGGCCATTGGCCTGATCCACCAGGATTCTTCTTCTGTCCTTATGCCTTTCCTCTCTAGACCTCGCCCTCACTCTCCACAGCCACCGTTCCCCAAGGCGATGGAGAAAAGCATCTCAAGCCATGGAGAATAGCCGTGCACAGCAACAGCAGCAGCAGGGTGGGGAAAAGGACAGTTCAACTCCCCTCGGCTCTGCATTTCTTGTGGTGTAAAATGTAGCATGCACACACATACATACACACACACACACACACCATCCTGTCCGGATTCAGGAATTTAAGGCCCAGGGATATGAAGGACACAAGTGTGATGGCCTCAGCCCTATGGTGTAAGTTGTGTTGCAATCCTAACCCCCTTACTTTGAAGTAAGCCCTATTGAATTAAATGGGGCTTACCTCTGAGTGGTTATAGTGAGGATTGCAGCCTTTCTTCTTTTTGGATGGAGACCAGGGTGCCTCTGGGCCTACACAGAGAATCTGTGTCTCACCATTCTGGAACATGAGTAGTTCTCTTGTCTTCAGCCAAGATAACCTTTGGCAGGTAGGTGTGGAGGCTGCTCAAAATTAGGAAATAACAACAGCATTTTGAATTTGCAAGGAGGATGGCCTTCAACATCTGTGCTGGGAAGAACTTGAGGGAAAATATTGGGGGGATAATTTCCAGCAGGAGGCTGTTGACTTTTCCTTCGCCTCACCTGCTCAGTGCTATCCATTTAATAATTTAAAAGGTGAAGTGAAGCTTCCATCAGGATGCTTGAACCTTTCCTAGGGAAGGCAGGATATTAAGCAGGTAGGGGAGACTCTATATGGACAGGACACTTCTCACGACAGACACTTCTGCTTAACCACATATGAAATGCACTTGGGAATGTGCATTGTGAAAAATAGTGGCACCTCCTACACCTTTTAATTTGACTTGGGAAATTTAATTCATTGTAATAAAGTTATTTATTCCCTATTTCTTCATGCTTTCTTCATTAACTGTCTGGAAGCTGGTGTTGATTTTGCCTTGAACTGTCATGTCAAGTAATGTTGTGTTCACATGGGGAAAAAACACCTCTCCCCCCTCCCCCCTGCCTTCTTTTGGGGGTCAGCATTAGGCAAAGGGTGTTGTCCTTTCTATTTGGGAGGCCTCTCCATTAGATATTCTTTTGCTGTGATTCCTGCATTGCAGGGTGTTGTGGAAGTTGGGGTTTGCTTTTACAACCTAACCCCCTCTCAAGGGATGTAGGATCTCCCAAGGTCCACTCTTGGTCAGAGAAACAAAACAGAGATGACAATCAGGTAAAAGAATGTAAGGCAGGCTCTTTAAACTTGGTCTTTATTGATCTCTTGCAGCAGTGTCTCTCCCTTCTCCAACAAAAGGAAGAAGAAGAGCCCTAAACAAAATGGGGAACAACTTTTAAAACTTCATAAAGTGTCCAGCAAAAACTGGAGCATGCAAAGGTTACATGTTTTTCCAACTTGTCCATCATGATACATTGTAAATAGCCCATCCAGGTCTGCCATTCATCTTCCTGACATACTGTATCTACTTTTTTTAGATACTGTATTTATCTGGGTTCGTTTTTCTCTTACTGATGCACAAGACCTAAGTTTGACAGGTCTCACTCATTATTTTGTTGACAAGTACCCAACCTACCAATGAATGACCTATCTGCAGCCCATTTAGGAGTTCCTGACTTCCTGACTACAAAGGTGACTGCCAAGGTCAGATATGAACCAAACATGGCCCACTTTTATGCTCACTGAGATGTTTGGGCTGATTGGCCAGCTAAACCAGGTGGGGGTAGCCGATAGGTCTCAAACCCTCAATGATTTAGAGACTTCCCCTGCATGCAAAAACAGGCTCTGGCAGATTGAGTGGACAAGACCAATAGTGGGTCCAATGGTCAAGAAGGCGGTTTCTGCACATGCTCTACAGGGAGGTGAGGGGCAGGTGGGACTTTTCAACCTGGGAAGGTTGCCCATCTAGGAGAAGGAGAAGTCTGTTCCTAAACATCTGCTGCCTTGTGGGATATCTCTAAGAGAAGAAAAGGCAGGAGTATCATTCATAAAACACATTATTCATTCATAAAATATCTTATTTACAAATATGAGAGTTATAAATTGATTCTTTCCAAGCAGCAAAACACTCCAGCAGGGGGAACTGTTGTGCATGTGAAAGCACTAATTCTAAAGTTCTTGTTTAAAGGGGAAATGTGGTCCTTTTAAACAAGGAATAATGTCTTAGAGATTGTGTACGGTGGAGCCCTATTTTCTGTAACGTGACCCACGACTCTACAACTCTATGACTTACTGACATTCTGATCCTATCTGTTGCCAAATGAGAGAGATGGAACTATGGAAACATAAACCCTCCTTTCTTAATATTGGCCTATTGAACTCTCAGAGTTCGAGATCTCCTATTATTAAGAGAAAAATAACTACCAAACTCTTAGAAGACATCTGAAGGCAGCCCTGTTTAGGGAAGCTTTTAATGTTTAATAGTTTATTGTATTTTAGTGTTTTGTTGGAAGCCGCCCAGAGTGGCTGAGGAAACCCAGCCAGATGGGCGGGGTATAAATAAATTATTATTATTATTATTATTATTATTATTATTATTATTACTACTACCTGAGTGATGACAGCCTTGACCTAGAACGCGGATTCCCAAATTTCCCTCCCTCAACAACATAGGAACCAACCTCCCAATATTTTATTCAAGTTGGCAGTCCCTGCTGAACACGGATCCCCATGAAAATTGCTGGTGGTTCTGGCTGATCAATTAATGATTTTTCTGTCTTTTGTAGCAATTGTAATGTACTTTGCTAGATGCTGCATTTTTTGGTATGCGTTCTTCTATATAAATTCTTAGAACTCCATAGAATTCAAACTGTAGTGCAAACTCTAATACAAGAAAATAAAAGAAGCAGGGATGTTTTGGACTACCACTCCCATCAGCCTCTTCCGCGGTTAGGAAACACCTGGACCGGAAGGATCGCCTCCTGGGGCTGACGGGAGTGGTAGTCCCAAAACGCCTAGAGAGGGCACCAAGCTGGCGGAAGAGGCCGGAAGGGACTCTCCCTCCTGCTACTTAGATCTCCTCAAGCCAGTCAGAGAGGGCGGAAGGGGAACAGCCGCCAGCCCCACTAAGGGGCAGCAACCGCCGTCTTCCCTCTGCCTCCTAATTCGCCCGCAAGGGGCGGGGCCCAAGGCAGCCTATCGGGAGGCAGGCAGAGCCGTTGGTGCGCGAGGGGGCCGCGCGTGCGCACCGGCACCAACATTCAAACGGCTGGCGAGGGGAGGTCGCCGCACCTGTTGCCGCCGCCGCCGCCGCGGGGTCGGGGCATCGCCAGCGGAGAGCGTCCTTGGCTGAGGCGGCCCAGGCGGAGGAAGCATGATCTCCTGGGCCCTGTACCGCGTCGTGGTGTGAGTTGGGCTGCGTTCGGGAGCTGGTGGTGGGTCGACTGGATGGCCTCTGGGGGCCCCGCGGCGTTTCCGTGAGGCGAAGCTGCGAGCGTTCAGGCCAGGGCGAAGGGGTCACGGGGAGGGGGGTCCTTTCGTCTGAGAGCAGAAGGAGCTGAGGCAGCTAATGGGACTGGAACTGCGCCTCCTTTTTAGATATGTTCATGCCTACCCACAGGACTAGAAACTTGGCGCTGGTAAATGGAGGCGCCTCGCCCCGTTGTTCTCTCCAGCTTGGCGGGTGGGGTTCGTCTCCAGAGAGAAAACGACGAGCCCTTTGAGTGGCACCCTGGCTCCCAGACGCCATGGAGCACCCCCCAAAACACATTATAATAGTACATTATTATTATTATTATTATTTATTATTTCAGTTTATTGCCTGCCCTTCCTCCTAAGGTCCCAGGGCAGGTAACAACGCTGTAAAAGACATTAAAACGCATTGCAAAAAAAAAATTAAGATTAATAAAAAGTAAGAAAAGTTCGTGCACTTCCACTTGTGGAACGCTGCTGTTTTAGATGCACTCTGATTCCGTGATGGAGTGTAACTTGGATGCATGTAGGATGCCTTTAGCGCCAGGCCAAGTGTATGCGTAACAAGGGTGCCCATTGAGGAAGTGTGTTCTGGAGGCTTGGCATGAACAACTCTCATGGAATTGAGTCAGGGCTGTAGGCAGTGTGGGAGTCGGGTGCTGTGCCAGGGGCATGGATGCCATTCAGTTGCGGATCTGTGGAAAGAACAGAGACAATGGAGCATTTTCCCATTTCTTTAGCAATAGAGATCCTTTTCCCTTTAATTTTTATTTCCTTTATAATCCTCTGGTTTGACAGAGTGGTTGGGGGATCTCTGGGCACCTAAAACTTGAAACTTGCAATGTTCCTTCAGCTCCACCGATAAACTTGGTCTTTTCTCAAAGGAGCCAAAGGAGTCCTGAATGCAAGACACAACAAGCCATATTATGCTCTTTGAGTCCTGAATGCAAGGCATGACAAGACATGCCCTCTCCTCCCTGGTTGCACAACTGGCAAAATGCTAAGGGCCGTTTTGCACTTGACTCCTGTGGTAGTTGGGTTTTCTTCTGGTGTCTCACAAGCTGCACATAGTGGTTCTGAATTGAGTCAGCACCACGAGGCCGAATTAGATGACTATTGGCTGGATTAGATGACCCAATTCCTGTAAGTCTATGATCCCCAGCTTTGCATCCTTAAGAGAGGAGTCATGCTAGTGTGGAAGGAGCCACATAATGCTGGGCTTCTCTGATGCAGAGAAACTCAGATGCACCATAAACATTACAGCTTAAATCTTGCAAGTTCTAAATCCTGGTAGGTAGCTGTGTTGGTCTGACGCAGTAGAAATATAAAATAATAATAATAATAATAATAATAATATTGTCGGCATGCACATGAAAGCTCATACCAAGACCAAACTTAGTTGGTCTCTAAGGTGCTACTGGACAATTTTTTAATTTTTTTTTTAATAAAGTTCTAAATCTTCACCCTTGTAGTTTCAAGATATTGCTTGCTCATCTTTCTCAGTAAACAATTGTTCAGCCTCCCTGCCGCTATTTTTCTTAAATATAACCTGCCTCAGTTTTGCTTAACTGCAGTCTAATGGGCCTCAGTTTCTTTCAGTCTTTGCTATTGTATGCTTCTTGAACCTGGTGCCTTCCAGGTGTCTTTTCATCAGATTCAGCCAGCGTGGCCCATAGAGTGGGAGCACAGCAGGGGGAGCCGGTGAGAGCTGTGATCCAGAACATTTCAAGGGCTCCAGATTGGGGAACTGAATCTTTTCAGGCATCCCATCAATAGTTCTAGAAGCATCCCGTGGATTCAGAATCATAGAATTGTAGAGTTGGAAGAGTCATCTAGCCCAGCCCTTTACAATTGTTGATTGGTTGTGTAGAGCTCCTTCCTCACAAATGCTGTTGCCGTATACTGAGTTGGACCATCGGTCCATCTTGTTCAGAATTGCCTGGCAGGGGATTTCAGCATCTTAGAGAAAGATCTTTCCCAAACTTCCCTGCAAATGCTGGAGAATGAACCTAGTCCCTTCTTTGCACAACCAGGTACTCTTCTACTGAGCTATGGTAACCCTGATCAAATATTCCCTGTTTCCATATATGTTATGGTGCCAGCAAGATGGTGGAATGTTCTGCACAACATTCCTGCAGTTTTGAGTCAGGGGCTGGGGAGATTCTTAGATTTCATGGGGGACTGAGCTGGACTTCCTGTCTTGGAGGCTCCTGGAGGGGCTTGAGGTTTATGTCTCCAACTGCCCTTTTGTTTACACCCAGCAGCCAAGGAAGGCCTGGCTGAGGAGCTTGTTGAGCCGGTCCCACCTCTCATTGAGCAACCCAAGGCATGTGTGTAGGAGGGAGAAGGCCCCAGAAATAATCCTTGAGAGTGCCTGAGCTGCTCAGTGCAGTCAGCTGCCTGCCTGGTGCTTGGAGGCCTCTTGCACCCTTCTTGCCATGCCCCAGGGTCAGAATAGCATATTCTCTGGGGCAGCCATGGAGGCCGCGAAGGCCAAGGTGCAGCACTATGCGAAGCAGTGGTGCCTGTGGATTCTAGCTGGATTGTACCGGTGCTGGCCTGCCTTCTTGACGCCCCCTTTCCGTTACAGGCTGGTGCTTGGGATGCTCTACCCTGCCTATGCTTCCTACAAGGCTGTGAAAACGAAAAATATCCGGGAATATGTAAGTGGTGTGGGGGCGGGGGGGGGGAGAAGAATGAAGTAACCCTCAGATTCTGAATACAGTACAGTGGACTCTCCGGATACGAATTAAATTCATTCCGGGGGTCCATACTTAACCTGAAAAGTCCGTAATTGGAGGCGCCACTTCTGTGCACACATGTGGCGCGATAGAGCGCTTCTGCGTATGCGTGTGGTGCGCAGAATGCTTCTGCACATGCGTGCATGGTGAAACCCGGAAGTATACACTTCCGTGTTTGCCGCGTTTGCCACCTGAAAGTTACGTATCCAGAGCGGTACGTAACTCAAGGGTGCACTGTAGTTGAGTCAAGCTGTGGGTTGATTCCATCTCAGTACTGTGAGTGGCTTCCAGAGTGGGCAGATTCTTCTGTAGCCACAGTGCCCAGGGCTACTGTAGAAATAAAACAAATGTATTTCCCACAGTGCCTAGCTAAAGCAGCCAGGTGCTCTGCTTTCCAGAGCCAGGGGCATTCGTGCTCAGCTGTGGCATTGAGCACCATGCACTTTTTGTGGGGCTGCCTTGAGGACTACATTTGGACATTTGGGGACTACAAGTGACACTGAATGGCTTCCCTTTGGGTTGTCTTCTCCCACATGATGCTGCTCCTCAGGGGTCCTGCTGTCTGTCCCTCTTCTTGCCTGAGGGTGCAGTGGGTGACTGGGGCAGATCCTTCTAGAACTGGTGGACATCCAATGAAGCTGAATGTTGAAAGATTCAGGACAGACAAAAGGAAGGACTTCTTAATGCAAGCACAAAGTTAGACTATGGAACTCCCTCCCACAGGAAGCAATGATGGCCACCAACGTAGATGTCTTCAAAACTGGATTAGACAAATTCATCGAGAAGTGGGCTATTAATGGCTACTAGCCATGATGGCTATGCTCTGCCTCTGCAGTTGGAGGCCACAGTGCTTCTGAATACCAGTTGCTGGAAACTGCAGGAGGGGAAAGGGCTCTTACACTCGAATCCTGCTTGGGGGTTTTCCACTGGGACATCTGGTCAGCCACTGGACTAGATGGGCCATTGGCCTGATCTAGCAGGCTCTTCTTATATGCTCCTATGTTCTTCTCAGCCCGGGGACCAGGATTGTGGCTCTCCAAATTAAAGACACTTGTGGCTTGGAGGACACACTTGTCATGATGATTAATAAAGTTAGATGGGGGACAGTCAATATTGTGACTGGTGTCTCTTTACCTTTGTTGACGTACTGTGTCTCCATGGTGCAATTCCACATCGAGAGCTGAAGATTTGGGTGCCACCTGAGACCAGTTTCTCCGTAGCAGGGCAGGGTTTCCCCAGGCATTTGCATCTCATTGACTAGGAGGGACCTAACACTTCCTGGTGACTTGGCAGGTCCGCTGGATGATGTACTGGATCGTGTTTGCCCTCTTCATGGCCACAGAGACCCTCGCAGATACTTTCATTTCCTGGTGAGTTGCCGTTCTCCCTCTCCCAACCCCCTTGTTTCAATGAACTACATAGAAATGTCATCTGTTGAACAGAAAAGATCCCAAAGCCCACCCGCTCCCTGGTCTCACAACTGTGTTTTCTTCTGAACAGGTTCCCTTTCTACTATGAGATCAAAATGGGATTTGTCATATGGCTGTTGTCTCCATACACAAGGGGGGCTAGCTGGCTGTACCGCAAATTTGTACATCCCACATTATCCCACAAAGAAAAGGTGAGAGTAATCCTGGAACAGACCGTCCGCTTCAGGGAAGGGGGGAGGCATTCAGGGGTCTGGGACCGGGTGAGCCACTCCTTCATTTTTCCGTCCAGTTCTGGATGAGCAAAGGATTTCTGGAAGCTTCTGTGTGGGAGTTACTACATGCATGGAGGTTTTGGTCACCAAAAGTTCCAGCCTTCAATGTGCTTTGCCTATTGCTTATTTAGTTCTGCCAGAGTCATGTGCATTTCATACAATCTTCCTCTTCCTCTTTCCCTGCAGGAAATTGATCAGCTCATCCTTCAGGCCCAGGAGCGTGGCTACGAAACACTCCTGAGCTTTGGGAAGAAGAGCCTCAATGTTGCAGCCACAGCTGCTGCCCAAGCTGCCGCAAAAGTAACCACGTTTCCTCTGCATATTGGCTAAGAAGGGGATGGGGTGGCGGGCTAGCCTGGGCAACAAGCAGCAGCCCTGGAGGCTTTGGGGAAGGAAGAGAAGGGCTGCCATTCCTAGGCGGTGTAATGTAGTAGCCTTGTCTGTTGCACTAAAGCCCCCTGTGGCCTTGCCAGTTCCCAGCTCAGCATTGCCAGGCCATGGAGGGTGGTTGAAGCATGCTATGCAAACCTCTCACCCCAGCTGACTGAGATGTAACCAGCCAGAAACTGGGTAGTTCTCTGGACTCAGTTGCCCTTCCCAGTTGACCAGATACTGCCTGCAATAAGCTTTGCCACCTGTGGGAAGGAGCTGGTAGGGTGACCTCATTTTAATAATCCACATGAATGTAGAACAAAATTGGGCTTACTCCCAGCTCTTACTGGGAGTGTGGCCCCGAGGCAGATGCTTAGGCCTTTGAGCAGGATTACACTTCCCAGCTTGGGCTGGTTCCTTCTCTGGATGCCTCTGAAACAGACCTCTGCTTGTGGAGGTGGTGATGTTTAGAAATATCCCTGTATGGCTGCAGCTGTGGATTGCCTCGCATTCTGCACACTCTTTAAGAAGGTCCTACCAAAGGGGATTTGAGGGAATTCTGCTTTTGGGAGTCATTTATCAGTTGTGTCCCCCTCCCTTGGCACAGGACACCCCTCTTTGTCTCATTCCTCCTTATTTATTAAATTTATTTCATAAAATGTATATACTGCTTAATTTCAGAAAACCTCAAAGCGGTTTACAAAAAGAATAAAACAGTAAAAGCAATTAAAACATCCAAAAATTAAAACCAGCAGTAAGCTAGAAACCCATCAGCATTCTAAATATCTGGGTTAGCTTATCTCATGTGACATCAGTAACAGTGGCAGTTCTCTCTGCTCAGTCCTCTCCTCTGTCAGCTCTGTTTAACCCTATGTATTCCTTTCATCTTCCCCAAACACAATTGGGGCAAGGAGCAGTGTCCATATCATGTTGGTTTCTTCTCCATAGTGGAAAAAAAATTACCTCCAGGAAAGATTTTTGGAAGCAAAGCTTTTCTTGTCATTGGGGAATGAGCTGCCCTTGAAGGTTGTCTTTTGTTTGCATACAGCTCTCTGCTTCATTCCTCCCTTTGTCTCCCCTTGTTCAGAGTCAAGGGGCCCTGGCCGGGCATTTGCGTAGCTTCAGCATGCAGGACCTGCGTTCCATCCCAGACACGGCTCCTGTGCATTACTCTGATCCCCTGTACCTGGAGGAACAGGAGCTCCGCCGGAGGCCAATAGGTGAGCAAGCCCAGAAAATGCTTGGAACTGCTGGCATCCACAATGATCAAGGGGGTGGAGGAGCAACTCCCCTCTAAGGAAAGCTTGCCATGTTTGTGACTTTTTCGTTTGGAGAAAAGGCGAGCAAGAAGTGACATGGAAGACAGTCATAGAATTATGCATGGCAGGGAGGGAGTGGACAGAGAGCTTGCCACTGATTCGGTCTCATGAACAACATATGGGAAGGGTGTTTGACCATTGGCTGTGTTGACTGGGGCAGATGACAATCCAACAATAGCTGGCGTACTAGTTTGCTCCTTTCCCTCCCATAGCTGGCAACTTTTTCCTTTTTTTAAGGGAAATTCCCTTATTCCGAATAGGATTCCAAGCAAGAAAAGGGAAAAGTTGACAGCTATGGTCCCTCCCATCAGCAATTGCAAGGGGGAAAGAAGACCACCACCCCTGTAACTTCCTGGGCTCCTGTTGAATCTGTATTTACATTTAAAAGTGCATGTTTGGTGTTAAAACAGGCATGAGAAAAACTCCAGCCTTCCTTGCCTGCCACTCTTGGTTGTTTCATAGGACACAGGGCATCTCCTCAAGAGCTGGGCTCTGACAGCAACGAAGAGGACTGCTGGTCAGACTCTGAGCTCTCTGCTGGCGTAAGGGGCCACAGCAGGAAGGCTTTGCTTTCCAAGCCGCTGGCCAGGACCCAGAGCCTCCGCATGGTGAAGAAGAAGTCGCCTGTCAAAGAGGTGAGACCCTTGGGTGGTGGGCACAGCCTGGGAAGTGCCTGGCTTGTGCTGGCAAAGGGAGAGGTTGCAACCCCGGCCCCCACCCTTTCCTCCGGAACTTCAGCTCTTGTATCCGAGGCTGGGGTCTGCATGCCAGAACACTCACACTTTGTCCTCCTCTGCAGGGCTCTGCTCGGGTCCCGCGAAGTCGCCCCAGGAAGAAGGTGGCCGATCCGATCTGTTAGGCTTGTCTGCAGGGAAGCCTTGGTTGCAAATGCTGGCACTAGGTGCTTGGGACAGCTTGTGACATCGATGACTACAGTGCTTCACAGCTTGGTTGTGGAGGGAGATGGGTTTGAAACATACCACGTCCTGGCAATGTGAAGCCTTGTGTACCCTACAGCTACCACCCACACTACAAGCCGGCTCTCAGGGCACCCTCCCCTCCTGGTCTCAAAGTGGTGCCTTGATTGTGACTGGTGGCCACCTTCCTCTCTGTACTTGCTGCCTCTCAAATATCCTGCCCACGTGATGTGCCTACAGGAAGGGGAGGTATCTCTCTCTTTCTCTTTCTCTTTCACTACACATGCCTTTTTTGACACAAGAATACTGTGCCATAAGCAGACTTGCCTTTTTAAATGCCAGGGGTGAAAGAGCTGTTTGTTGGGGGAGTATTAGACTCCAAGAATCTGGGTACCATTTTTCTTGTCCAGACGCTTGGCTGCTTTGAAGATGGGTGCCCCAGAGTGAGCTTAGTGCACTTCTACAGCACTCGCACTTCGGATTGGGGTGCAGTGGTGAGATACCAAAGAAGAAAACAGCCTCTCTCCCCCCACTTTCCTTGTAGCTGCTTACATCTCAGGTTTCTTCTTCCGCTGAAGTTCCCCCTCTCCACCACCGGTGAAAACACTGGCATGTCTACTTGAACACTATCACTAGCTAGGACCTTGACCTAAGTGCATTTGTAAGTTTTGTATATTAAATAAATGCATTTTTATTAGACCTTATATTGCTCATCTTAAAAAGCAGAATGCGTGTGTTAAGGGGAACATTAGCTTAAGAGCTAATGAAAGAAGCATTCCAGCCCAGTAATGACCTTTTAAGTAGGGGTGGAGGGTGGGGAGGCTGCTAATGTACTAGTTCAGCTCCCTACCTGCCCATCTTGATGGACTAGGAGTAGTGAAATACTGAAGGGAGGAGTGTGCTCATGTCACTGGCTCCTGTGGTGGTGAGTTTGCGAAATGGGGTTGTCAGGCCCTGCTCAGTTGCCATGCAGTTTCTAAGAGCCATTTAATGGCTGTCTAATGCTACTCACTTTCCACGTTCTCCTCTTAACTGTTTTATCTCCGCTGCATAGACCTATCAGCTGCCCCTCCCCTACAGGGGAGGTTGCCATTTTATAGAGCCTAAAATATGACAGTATACAGTGGGCTGGGGTGGCCATTCCATAAACTCAGAAATCTAAGGAAGGTGCTTTTAGTGTCTAGGGTATTTGGGCTGAGGAATTGCTATTGCTCTGAGCTAACCCTTTGTGGGAGAAAAGGTTAATGTCCAAGCTCAGCCAGGTCCTGAATTTAGGCACTATCAAGTCTCCCAAGTTGTCATTTCCCACAAAAGACCCCCAGCAGCCCTTCCTTCCTTTGAACTGGCTGTGTTTTGGTGCAACTGGAGTTTTTCCTTTGCACCTGGTGGCTGAATCCCCAGGGAGTTCTCAAAGAAGTCAGTTGTAGAATCACTGATCTAACATAAATTTGTAACTTCACCATCAGATCAGCCTCCATGTCTGAGGACTGGAAAGTAGCCAATGTAATGCTCATTTTAAAAAAGGGATCCAGGGACCATCCTGCAAATTAAAGGTCAATTAGCTTAGCGTCTGTCCTTGTGAAAACTGGTGGAAAGTATTGCTAAGCGTAATATAACCAAGCATGTAGAAGAACAAGCCCTACAGAACCATTATGGCTTCTGCAGGGGCAAGTCCGGTTTCACAAACCTATTAGAGCTCTTAGGGAGTGTCAACAGGCCATCTAGATAGAGGTCTAGAAGATGGTTGAGATACTGTACTTGGACAAAGTCCCTTACTAAATATTCCAGAGTAAGTTTAGCAGTCATGGGGTAAGAGGAGAGGACCTCTTGTGGTTCAGGAATTGGTTAGCTTGCAGGAAGCAAAGAAGGAATAAACTGATAGTTCTCTGAATGGAGAGATGCAGGAAGTAGAGTGCCCCAGGGGTCGGTATTGGGAACTGTGCTTTTTAACATAATAATAAATTATCTAGTGTTAGGAATGAGAAGTGAAGTGGGCAAGTTTGCTGATGATAATAAGTAATTCAGGGTCATTAAAAGAGATGATGAAGAGCTTCAAAAAGACCTTGCCCAACATAATGGGTGCTACATTGGCAAAAACAATGTAATGCAAACAAGTGTAAAGTAATGCATGTTGGGGCCAAAAATCTGAATTTCACATATATACCATGGGATCCGGACTGGCAGTGACTGACGAGGAATGAGACCTTTGGGTCATAGTAGACAGCGTGAGTCAGATGTTGGTGCAGGGTGAAGCGGCTAAAAAAACAAACAAGTTCTGTGCTAGGGATCATCAGCAAAGGAAATGAAAACAAAGCTGCTGATATAATGTTGACTAAATCTAAGGTGTGACTGTACTTGCAATAATGTGTACAGCTCTGGTTGCCTCACCTCAAAAAGGACACTAGAGTTGGGAAAGGTTTAGAAAAGGGCAGCCAAAATGATCCAGGGGCTTGAGAGACTCCCCTGTGCATAATGGTAGTGGCACTTGGGACTTGAGTGTTTAGAGAAAAGGCAAGTGAGATGTGACAGAGAAATTTATAAAATAATGCACGACATGGAGAAAGTTGGTAGAGAAAATGTTTTCTCCCTTTCGCATAAGGAAGGAAAGCTAGGGACTCCTGGGCATCCAGTGAAGCTGAATGTTGGAAGATTCGTGACGGATAAAATGGAAGTGCAGCAGATTACAAATTCCTTAAGGAAGAGGGCTATCGAGGGCTTGCTAGCCATGATGGCTATCCTCTGCCTCCTCGCTCATGGGCAGCAAATGCTTCTGAATGTCAATTGCTGGAAACCGCAGGAGGGAAGAGGGCTCTTGCGCTCCATTCGTGCTTGCAGGTTTGGCCACTGTGAGAACAGGGTGCTGGACTGATCCTGCAGGCTCCTCTGATGTTCGATTCCTCTGAGATGACCAGCTGAGCGAAGCCGTGTTCTTTTTTTTTGAACGTCTGACTACCAGGCGCGTCACAATGTCATCGGGCGATTGACGCTGTCCCTGTCCAACAGGAAGCGAGCGCAGCAGCCAGCTGGCGCTGCAGAGGCGGCTCCTTCCCCATCGCCTCGCCCCTCAACGGCCCGAGCAGCCGCTCTCCTTCCTTCCTGCCTTCCTTCCAGCCCGCCTCCCATGCCCCGGGAGCAGGCGCGAGCGAGCGAGCCCCTGAGCGCGTGCAGAGTTCCGCGCGCCCGCCCCGTCCTCGCGTCTTCCGCGCCCCTGGCGAGGATGTCCTCGCTGGCGGCTGGGCTTGGGGCGGCGGCGGAGGACGAGGAGGTGGCGGCGGTGCTGGGCGGCGGGGGCTGGCCGGTGGTGGCGCCGCCGCAGGGCCGCGATCTGGAGCCGGCGCGCCTGCGGAGGAACACCTGCTACATCGTCCTGGCCGTCCTGCTCAACGAGGAGGTGCGGCTGCGGGACGGGAGGAGAAATTGACGCTGCGGCTGTTCTCGGGGGTGGGGGGAGGCGCTCCCCTCTCCCCCTTTCTTTGCCCAGCGCTGCCCGCTTGCCCAGGACCCCCAGGCTGGACGCGGCTGGCTTGCCTTGGCCCCTCGACGGCGCGCCAGGCAAAGCAACGCTGCAAAGCATCCTTCCCCGCAGCCAGATTGCTTTGCAGCATCCACAAGCCCGCACGCACGGAGGCGGGGGTCCGGCAGGGAGTGGCTGAGCCCAGGGGGCCGTCCTCTTCCTCGCCCCTTCCCGACAGCCCCCCTCCCACAATATATATGTGTCTATATATCTTTCCTCGCCCCCTTCTCCAACAGGGAGAAGTGCTGATGATGCAGGAGGCCAAGCGGGAGTGCCACGGGCGGTGGTACCTGCCGGCGGGGCGGATGGAGCCCCGGGAGACCATCGTGGAGGCCATGCGGAGGGAGGTCCAAGAGGAGACGGGCTTGCAGTGCCAGCCCCTCACCCTGCTGGCCGTGGAGGAGAGGGGCCCCGCCTGGATCCGCTTCGTCTTCCTCGCCCGACCCACCGGTGCTGGCCCCGGCGCATCTCAGGGGGGCTTGGAGCTGCGCGGGTTGGGAGGTCGGGGTTATCCCCTTGGCAAGAGGTGCCCTGCTTCGATGCACGCAAGGACGATGCACCTGGGCAGACCCAGCTGGGGCTGCAACAACAGTAGAGGAATGCAGGAAGCTTGCTGGGCCTCCCTAGACCCAGGGCATGCACTTGCAAAAGTTGATTTGCATGCAGAGATGCCCATCTGTGTCGCAGTGCTTCCAAAACTACTTCAGTACTATCCCATAGAAAGCATTATCCAGAACAGCAGTTTGCACCACCCACTAAGCAAGATAATACAAAAAAATTCAGAACAGTAAGAATTAGTTAAACATTTATTCAAAAAAATAAACACATGCTCTGATCCAACATTGCAGCTTAAAATATATATACAACGAAGATTTTTGCATGAAAAGTATTTTTATACATTCTTACTAACAAAAACATACAGATGAGGGAAATTTATAGTATGAAATGTCTGCATTTATGTACTTCCCAAACATACACAAAGCTTCACAGATGTACAGTAACTATAAGAAAATTAATAGCTGTTAGCAATAATTGGCTATCTGGCGACTTGTGATAATTTAGAAACATAAAGATGAACAAATGTGACCAAAGAAAATAGCTTTGAAAGCAGTAAGAGCAGTAAATACGAGGTAAGGAAGATGTTTCACTTGAGGTGCCAGCCTGGTCAATCCTAAATAAGCCATCAGTGCCCTCAGAGGGCCCCCCTCGCCCCCCTCATTGCCTCTTAGGATCCTCCCAGGTAATCCTGTCGCCTCCCCCCCAAGGGGCATTACCACCCACTGTGGAAACCACTGGCCTGAGTTCTCGCTGGCCTTGGGCCTTTCAGCGTTATCACCAGCCCTGTAAGTCTTATTAAGAAGGGACCCAGGAGATGGGCAGGAGATCTGGGACCCAGGGCAAAAGTGCTGGGCCCTAACAGCGCCTTTGCAAACACAAATCTCTTCTCAAAGCTGGGGCTCCGTGTTTTTCCTTTCCCCAGTGAAGGACAAAGCATTAAACTGGGCAAGAAGTAGGGTGTCCCGGTGTGGCCGTGTTCCAAGGCCACTTCTGAACATCTGGAGTGTGTTTGGGGTGGGGGTGTCAGACTGGATGAGTCCCTCCTGATTCTTGGGGTCTTGGACCCAGTGAGGGCTACAATCTAATTAGAGGTTTGCTGAACAAGTTTCTCTGCAAGGTAATGGCCTTCACGTGTATCCTAAAAACACCAGTCTCCACTGAGCATTCCAAGGAAAGTGAACCCTGGATCGGGCTGGCATATAGCCGAGAAAATCCATCCTTGTGGGTGCACACACATGGCACAATTGTCTCGACTCCCACCTAACCCCAGGCATCTTCCCTCTTCCTTCCAGGTGGTGCCTTGAAGACCCTTCAGGAAGCTGACGCAGAATCCCTGCAGGCCCAGTGGTGGAACAGGGAGACGCCCTCCCTGCCTCTGCGTTCCCGGGACATCTTGCCCTTAATAGAGCTGGCTCTGCGGTACCAAGCCAGCCCGGCCCACCCGCGAACGCTGCCCGTGGAGCTGCCTTGCGCCTTCATCTGCCAGCGGCTGCTGCTTGTCTGCGTTGGCAGCAGTGGTGACTTGTGGGTGCTTCAGGGGACAGCGGGGGCTCCGGGCCTTCCTCTGGCCACAAGCGGCCTGGCTCCCTCACAGCTGGGCCACAGGCTCCTGGGGGCCATCCAGCGCCTACTCCAGGACTCCCTGCCACACCCCCAGGTGCCCGTCCGCATCCAAGGCCTGCTTGGGGTCCAGCATCTCGGGAAGGAGCCCGGGCAGAGCGATGGGATCTGCTTCAACATCATGGCGGCTGTAGGCGACAAGGGACGGTGGCTGGATGAAGCGCCCCCGGCGTTGCAGAGTGGAGCCTTCCTCTGGCGGAAGGTGGAGGATGAGGCCCTGCGGAGCCGGATCCTGCAGAGGCTTGATGAGGTGTCCTTTGTCCCCATTCACAGCTGAACCACCCCCCTGTCGAGATACGGGATGGCCCCAGGTGTGTACTTTGGGCCAGGCAAGGAACCCTGGAGGAGCCTCAGATGGGCCAAAAATGCTCGCTGTTTGCTGGAATGAGGGACGCTGGGAGTCTGTGGTGCCACAGAGGGCACCTTGCATTGTGCCTTTGCAGGAAACGACACAACAGCTGAGGGCTTGATGGCGCCTGAACTCTGGAACTGGCCAGGAGTATTAACCTTTTCTTGCTCCAGAGTGCCAGCTCACAGCTGTGATTCTTCCACCTTTCCGCACCAGGAGCATGGCAATGCCTGTGCATGCCGCCCCCCCAGTGCCCAGCTTCTGGGTTTTCCCCACAGCTGCAAGAAAAAGGACCTTGACAGGAGGAGCTTAGAGCTCTTGCCACCTTTATGGATGATTTGCAGCCTTGTTGAATCCAGCCAGGATTGGTAAAAATAAAATTAAAAAGGCCAGTTTCCCCTCGTGTTCTACTGTTTCTGCATGTTCTTGTTTGTAAATGAGAAAAGGGGGCTCAGCGACTTCCCACAGGTCCTAAACATGAGCGTGAGCAAAGCCAGGATGTTTACCACAGATTATTTATTTCAAGGCACGAGTAAGAAACCCATCAGAGTAGAAGCAGAGAATCTGTAGCTGCAGTGTGGAGACACCAAGTGCGCCCCAGCTTACGGAGGGGGGGGGCAGATTCCCTCCTCACATGTATTGCACTTGAAAAGAGTCTTTAGACCAACAATGGACTGGACGCTGTGCCTGGCCATGGTGGGTGGAGCCTGTCCCAGCCAGGGCTGCTGGTGGTGGCATTTATTTATTTACATACTGCGTATTGAAACGAATAGCTCACCTTTTCCTCCAAGGAGCTCAAGGCGGCCCATGTGGTTCTTCTCTCATATAATCCCAACCACAACAACCCTGCGAGGCCGAGAGGCAGTGACTGCCCTAAGATCACACCCAGTTAGTTTCATGATGGCTGAGTGGCGATTCGAACCCTGGCCTCCCAGGTCCTATTCCACCCTGTGACCCAGCCTCTCTCATCCTTGGGTCTCCAGGTGCTATTGGACTACAACTCCCATAATCCCTGACAACTGGTCCTGCAAGCCAAGGATGAGGAGAGCTGTAGTCCAACGCCATCTGGGGAACCAACATTGAGAGAGGCTCTTTGGGAAGGGGTTAAGTTGCAGCTGAAGACAGGAAGGCTAGCAGAAACTCTGTTAGAATAGAAAGTAAAAACGAAAGGGAAAGGGCTCTTTTCCTGAGGAGTTCAGACTGGACAGATCAATCCGGAAAGGAGCAGAAGAAAACAACGTCTGCTGTGGTTAGGAGCAAATAGTGTCTCCCCCTCTTTGGCCTGGCCTTTGCAGCCTGCAGAGAAGGTCAGAATCGAGGCAGGAGGCCCCACAACCCCTAACGCCCAGCCATGGATAGTAGGAAGATTCTTCCTTTCACAAAGCAGCTTTCGGTCACCCTGCCTGCCCCACTTTCCCATTGGGCAAACATTAAATAAAACAAGCCAGAGATTAAAAACCCAGAAAGTCCAGGAGGAGCCTTTAGTATCTTCTGTACCAGACTGCCCTGAGGTGCCACATGCAGGCTCCAGGCTCCTGCAGGGAGGAAGGGAGCCATCATGCTCTGAAATCACAACTGGAGCCAAGGCGAGAGACTTCTGAGGGAGAAGGCAGAGCACTTCTGGCTTTGTGAGGAACCACACGCTCGACCTCAGGAAGAGCTAGGTCTCGCCTTGTCACAGCCTGACTTCTGAGACTTTGGCTCTAGGGACTGGGCATGGGGCTCCTGGGCAGCCCTTCAAGCACAGGGGGCCTGCCTCTGCTCTCCCCGCATGAAGGCAACCAGCGACGGCTGCAGCCCGGTTCTCACGAGGCTGCAAAGGGCCCTCTAGGGTTGCCACAAATGCCCTTGCCAGACCCCAGCTGTGCATCTGTCCCTTGAGAAGTGTGGGATCCAAAAGGGGCAGCGCGCTCCTTGGAACGTCAGGCGGGGACCTCGCGCATGGACTTGACGAAGACGATGGCCGCCAGCTCCTTGCAGAATTCTTCGAGGACAACCACCCCCTCCAGGAGGGTACGGTGGCCGATCCTGTAAGGAAGCAGGCATGTGAGGCTGAGGAAGCGGCCTTGCCCTCATTTCCTATTGCTCACCTCCCCACTTCTGCTTCTCAAGAACGACAGCACTTTACATTTGCTAAACACCTTCATCATATATGCACTATCTGAGTCCTTTGCAACCCTAGCAGAGGAGGCCAGTGTCACGCCCAGGAGGACAGGAGCTTGCTGGAGGGGAGACTTAAACCAAAGACTGCCTCCTTTACAGGTCAGTCTCATTTCCTCCATGCAGATTGTCATTTGTCAGGGAGTCTTTAGCTGTGATTCCTGCATCACATGGGGAAGGACTAGATGACTCTTGGGGTCCCTTCCAACTCTACAAGTCTATGATTCTATGGTCTGTGCAGCTCCGTCTGATCCAGCGCTGAGGGCCTTCTGGCGGTTCCCTCGCTGCGAGAAGCCAAGTTACAGGGAACCAGGCAGAGGGCCTTCTTTGTAGTGGCACCTGCCCTGTGGAACGCCCTCCTACCAGATGTCAAAGAGAAAAACAACTACCAGACTTTTAGAAGACATCTGAAGGCAGCCCTGTTTAGGGAAGCTTTTAATGGCTGATGGACTATTGTGTTTTAATATTTTGTTGGAAGCTGCCCAGAGTGGCTGGGGAAACCCAGCCAGATGGGCAGGGTATAAATAATAAATTATTATTATTATTATTATTATTATTATTATTATTATTATTAATCAGACTGTGAAAGGAATAGATGAATATAAAAATGACAGGTCTGGTTGTGCCCCCACACCATGCCTTAGAGTTTGGAATGTGCCTGAATATAAGATGGCTCTGCTGGATCAGGCCAAAGGGGGCTCATCTAGTTCAGCATCCTGTTCTTACAGTGGCCAACCCGATGCCCATTGTGGGAAACCCGCAAGCCAAGATTCAAGCACGAGAGCCCTCTCTCCCCTCCTGTGGCTTCCAGCAACTGGTGTTCAGGGGCATTCCTGCCTCCGACTGTAGAGGCACAAAAGAGCCATCCTGGCTAGGAGCCAATGATTGCTTAATAATCCTCCATGGATTTGCCCAATCCTCTTTTAAAGCCATCCACCCCTGCCTCCTTTGGGAGCAAGCTCCAAAGTTCAACTCTGCACTGCGTGAGAAACCCTTCCTTTTAACTGTCCAGCCCTCAGCTTCATTGGATGCCCACAAGGCTGTTTTATGAGAGAGGGAGGAAAACTTTTCTCTAAATGCTTTCTCCAAGCCATGCATGATTTCGTAAACGTCTATCATGTTGCCTCGCCCCTTTCCCTGCAAAAGCCTCCTCTTTCATGGAAAACCCAGATTGCCATTTGTTCTATAAAGGTGAAGGTAAAGGGACCCCTGACCATTAGGTTGTGGGGTTGCAGCACTCATCTCGCTTTATTGGCCGAGGGAGCCGGCGTACAGCTTCCGGGTCATGTGGCCAGCATGACTAAGCCGCTCCTGGCGAACCAGAGCAGCGCACGGAAACGCCGTTTACCTTCCCGCTGGAGCGGTACCTATTTATCTACTTGCACTTTGACGTGCTTTCGAACTGCTAGGTTAGCAGGAGCTGGGACCAAGCAACGGGAGCTCACCCCGTCACAGGGATTCAAACCGCCGACCTTCTGATCGGCAAGTCCTAGACTCTGTGGTTTAACCCACAGCGCCACCCTGATTCAGCATCAAAAGCAGGTTTTCTTGGGCCATGCTGTAGGCAGGGCAAAGAAAATGGAAAAAGTGCTCAGACATGAAGCAGGAAAGTGCAGGCCTGTGCCTAGAAAGCGCAGGGCAAAAGTTACGTGTGGATGAGCCCTTACTGGCCGTTCCTTTAAACTGAAAAGTCCCTGCGCTCAACACAATAATCCAGACCTAATGACAGGGCAGAACCTTCTGGGAACAGCAGCACAACAAAGAGGGTGAAATTGCTGAGCAATTGGCCCTCCCGGGCTTGCCACTCACATGGCTAGCAGCCATCAACAGCCCTCTCCTCCTTCTTGACTTTGTCTAATCCTCTTCTAAGTCCACCCAAGTTGGTGGCTACTACTGCCTCCTGTGGAAGGGAGTTCCATAGTTTGTGCTGTGCAAAGAAGTCCTTTCTTTTATCATTCAGCTTCATTTTTCTCTATTCACTTGCTGCATGCGGTCTATCATTTCAGGGTTCCCTCATCTCATGCAGCCTCTTCTTTACCTTTCCTTTTCTCCAAACTGGAGGTCGGCACCAGCCCTTTCAACCTGTGTGTCGTGTCCCCCCAACACTCACTGTTGTTCTTCAGCAGGGACCAGCCCCATCAGCCCCCTCCGGACCAGCAGCAAGTTGGTGGGGAAGTTTGGTATCCGGTGGATCCTTTGCATTAGGTCTCCAATCACCTGGGAGGAGGAGAAACCAGTGGGGCCGCTTGTGAGTCAGGCCTCCCAAGTCAGGTGGAGAGGAGGCGCTGGGGGAGGAACGACAGGGCTCCCCTTAGCTTAGAGGCACAGGACACCCCAAAAGGCACCTTCTTCCCCAGGCAGCATTCCCCATTTCTCCCCGCCTGCCTTGCCAAGACTAGACATTACCCTGATCAGGACGGAAAAGAGGGTCCTGCAGCCGGGGGCCAGAGGCAAGTAGGGATCCAGGAGGTACTCGTGGAGGTGAGGGTGGGGAAAGAGAGCCAGGCGGGACAGCACCGACGTCACCTGCAGGTTCACCGCGTAGGGCTGCAAGGGAGGAATAAGAAGAGGAGCAGAGGGCTCAACTGTGGGGCGTCATTCACAGCCTGCATAAACAGCCAGGCATAGAGGGTCACCGGAGGGGGAGGGAAGAGAGCAGGAGAGAAGCGATTCCCCCCACCCACGACATTCTGCACTTGCTCTCTGCAACCAAGACCTTTTTGTTGTGTTATGGAATGAGCCCCAGCTGCAAGGTGGCATTTCAAGGCCTTCCCTGTAGGGATGATCGCTGGGTGTGAAGCACACTTCCGCCCACAGGCAGCCTCAGCTGTCTGAACATCATGCCACCTATCTAACCTTTTGCTTTCTTAGTGGTCTGCCATGCCCTGTCTGTGATCTTTGTCTCCTTCGTCATACACTGTGCCAGGGGAAAATGACGCGGTAGAAACAGGTGCCAGAATAACTTTGTACCACCCCATGATCTCAGGATTGGAAGATGTGTAAAGGTCACAGTCCAAAATCTGACTGGTTTTGCATATTGTGCCAATAAAAGGAGCCTCCACAGAGCTAGCCAGCAGCTTGCTTATGCACAGCTCACTTGATGATCATTATTCACTTCCCCATCCCTCTTATGTACAGTGGTACCTGGGGTTAAGTACTTAATTTGTTCCTGAGGTCCGTTCTTAACCTGAAACTGTTCATAACCTGAAGCACCACTTTAGCTAATGGGGCCTCCTGCTGCTACCACGCCACTGGAACACGATTTCTGTTCTCATCCTGAAGCAAAGTTCTTAACCCGAGGTACTATTTCTGGGTTAGCAGAGTCTGTAACCTGAAGCGTATGTAACCTGAAGCGTATGTAACCTGAGGTACCACTGTATTTATTTAGAGCATTTGGGAACCCTCCTCATCAGCCAGAGGCTCCCGGAGTGGCTTACGAGACAAGACACAACACACAAGGGGAAAAGGAAAGGGAGGGATGAGGAAAACAAAAACTCAGGCAGAGATTTCTAAATAGTTGACCAGGTGGCCCAGTTCAGGGGCAGGAGGCGGCTGATGGAGCTGGTCCTCCAGCATAGCTGATGCAATGAGCCCTGCTGCTCCCACTTTCTCTTCCCCTGAGACTGCCTGATGGAATGGCTGCATCCAGGTGACAGGTGAGGGGAGAGGAGGCCAAATGGAGCTGGCCTCTCACAGCAGAGCCCAGCTTTCCAGCTCCCCCGCTGAGGCAGTCTGGTAGAGAATCTTAGCGCTCCATCCTAGAGAAGGAAGCAGGCCCTGAAACTTGTCGCTCCCTGCTGCTTCTAGGCCACAGAAACACCAGACCAGAAGGGTCTTCGCGATGCTGGCCACTCCCAGCAAGGATCCCTTTCCCATCCTCACCTGGTCCAGGATGCGCATCAGCCGTTCAAAGAGCACTTCCAAGAAACGGCCCTCGTAGAAGCCGGTGCTGGCAGAGCAGGTCTCCAGGGGCCGAGGGGCCTTCGGCCAGTGCCAGCGAGACGCCTTGGTACAACATTCCTGGAACTGACAGAAGAGGAGGGGGTGGATGGAAGAGGGCGGGCAGGGGAAGGGGCTAAGGAGAGGCTCTTGCAGGGCCCAGCTGAGACAATAAAGGAGAATGAACTCAAATGCTGTGAATCGCAGGAGCAGGGAACAACGCCAGGTATCACACATCAGCAGAGATCAGGTAGGCAGGGAGACAAGGGACTCACCAACACACTGGCATCATGGACATAGGTGTCATACCCGGCCTCTTCCAGGTAGGCAGAGGTCTTTGCTTCACTGGGAACCAGGCAGAGGAAGCTGAGAAAGAAGGAAGGAGGATGGCAATGATGGGGGGGAAAGAAGCCTCTGAGACCCAGGACACAGGTGTGAGGGTCAGCATTAGGAAGAGAGCAGCATTAGGAAGAGGTCGGCATTAGGAAGAACCTTAACATGGCAGCAGGTGTTATATATATCATCATCCTTTATTAGGCATAGCACACCACACACTAACAAACAAACATCATATACAGACTGTATAAAATACGGGCTCAGCGAACACAATTTATCCCAGTCCTATTCTTAACTCCAAGAAATAAATCGATGTACATAGATAATATAATACAACACAACAACATCACCTACCATTAAAAACCACTAAGTCTCTTTATCATGGCCCATTCTTTCTTCATGGACAGCACTTAAAAATTCAGCTGCTATTAAAGTAATTTGATCATCGCTGTCCGCCAGCAGGTCCTGAACAGTTGGTTGTGTAAAAATCTGTCTATTAACTTTTAGGGCCTCAAATAATTGTTTTCTGGCATAACTACCAAAATCACAGGAAAAGAATATATGCTCTAGAGTATCGGGTTCCTGTTTTCTGCATTTGCAGAGACGCTCTGATTCTGGGATAGCTAAGTATCTTCCTCTCACTACCACCGAGGGAAACATGTTGAATCTGGCCAACATAAACAGCCTACACAATTCATGTTTCTTCAGATTTGTCATTTGGCAGCAGGTGTTTAGGCAGTTCCCTTTCCTTCTCTTGGGGATTTTAAGCAGAGGTTGGATGACCAGGTGTCAGGGATTATTTAGCTGTGATTCCTGCAGGGGTTTGGACCAGATAACCCATATATATATATACAGTGGTACCTTGGGTTACATACGCTTCAGGTTACAGACTCCACTCACTCATAAATAGTATCTCGGGTTAAGAACTTTGCTTCAGGATGAGAATAGAAATCGGGCTCCGGCGGCGTGGCGGCAGCAGCAGGAGGCCCCATTAGCTAAAGTGGTGCTTCAGGTTAAGAACAGTTTCAGGTTAAGAACGGACCTCTGGAACGAATTAAGTACTTAACCCGAGGTACCACTGTATATACATTGCAGAGATATAATCCAGGCAGGGTTAAAAACCGAGCTGGCTGCAGAAAGCCAAGTTGTTTGCCTAATATATCATACAAGCTCCAACCAAAATGCTCAGCCATTTTAAAAAATCCTGTAAAATGGCCAAGCCACATAGCTCCCTTGATGGCAGCCCCTGTCTACCTTGTGCCTACTACAACTCCCATCAGCAGTGGTCAGGACAGCCACACCTGGCTGGCCCTCATGGAAGTAAGAACCATAGAACTGTAGAGTTGGGGGGAGGGACCCACAGAGTTATCTAGCATGTCTGAAATGCTTGAGCCTGGCTGGGCTGGGGTGGAGGAGTCTGGCGAAGGCCTGCCTTGTGAGTTCGGTTAAGCTGTTCACGTATTGTGAGCCGGTCTCCCTGCCCTGACTTCGTACCTGCTGACCACCTCCTTCACGTCCTCCGGCTGGGCTTGCTGCTTTGGGGCAGGGACGCCCGGCTTGGTAGAGACCTGGAAGCTGGTGCCTGGGAACCCGTCTATGAAGTAGGGATCCTCCTCCAGTTCTCTACAGGGACAGAGAACAGAAGCATTGAGTGGCTGGCCTGGACGAGGACCCCGTCCCCCAACTTTCCTCTCCCGCTCTCACTTACAACCCATCCTCGCAGGGCTCCTGCTCACGAGCAAGGGACTCCTCCTGCCCAGGTGGGCTTCTCAGGAGGTAGCTGCGCTCCTCCAGGTGGTCCAGGACCAGGTGCTGCATGATACGTTGATCCGGAAGCCACAGCAGCTCCTCAAACAGCCTCAGGGTGGCCATACTGATCTGGAGGGGAAGAGGGAAGAAGGGCAAGGAGTCAGGAAAGCCCGCTAGGAGGCCCTGCTCCCAGCACTGGAAGCTGCTGAGTTCCACCACCTCCGGCCACCTGGAAAAAGGTATAGGGAGATGGAAGTCAGGGGTTGGCCATGGGAAGCCTCCCTTCTGGGAGAGAAGCTCTCACTTCAGGCAGCCTGGAGCCACCCCTTGGAGACCCGCAGAAACTCCAGGCAGCCGGCAGGGAAGGTCAGTTGGTAGCAAGACAAGCAAGAGCAGCTATTGAGGAACAAGGGCACCAAGTTGCTGGGTTTTGGGGTTGCAGACTGTCATTTCCCATCTTGATCAAGCCATGAACATAGGACGAGGCTGCCGGATCAGGCCAATGGCCCATCTAGTCCAGCATCCTGTTCTCACAGTGGCCAACCAGATGCCCCAAAGGGAAACCTGCAAGCAGGATCCAAGCAGAAGAGCAACTCTCTACAGAAGAGAGTCGCTCCTTCCCCTTGATCATTTTGGGGTTCCTTTTCTGACCTTACTAAGGGGCCTGGCAGATAATATTAATAATATTAATAATAATAAGAAGAAGTTGTTTTTATTTATATCCTGCCTTCCCCAGCCAAAGCCGGGCTCAGAGCGGCTAACAACAATAAAAGTAACACAGCATTCTAAAATCAATTCAATTTAAAATCAATTCAAAATCAAATTGATGGCAACCATTGGGCTAGAGTTCTGTGAGGATTACCAAAGGAGGGGGTCAGACTGTGCCTTGGCCAAAGGCCTGGTGGAACAGCTCTGTCTTGCAGGCCCTGCGGAAAGATGTCAAGTCCTGCAGGGCCCTAGTCTCTTGTGACAGAGTGTTCCACCAGGTCGGGGCCACGGCCAAAAAAGCCCTGGCTCTGGTTGAGGCCAGCCTAACCTCCCTGTGGCCTCTGTGGGACATACCAGGAGAGGCGGTCCCGTAGGTATGAGGGTCCTAGGCCGTATAGGGCTTTAAAGGTAAAAACAAGCACCTTAAACCTGATCCTGTACTCCACCGGGAGCCAGTGCAACTGGTATAGCCCCGGGTGAATGTGATCCCACGGTGAGGACCCCGTAAGGAGTCTCGCCGGGCCTTCTGCACCTGCTGGAGTTTCTGGGTCAGTCTCAAGGACAGCCCCACGTAGAGTAGAGATTCAACCACAGAGCTCACTGCTATCCTGGGGAAGCCTCAGCTGCTGCTGAAGGCTTCATTTCCTCCTACAGAGCTGAGCCTGATTCCTTCCCTGGGGTTCACTAAGCCTCAAAGGCACCATGAGAGTTTCCATTTTGCAAGGGAAGGTTCGGGGGGCAGGGGGAGGGCTGGAAAACCGTCCCCCATGCTGGGATCTCCTTGGCCTGCTGTGGTCTTTGGTCATCACTATCGCCCCAGGGATAAGTTCCCAACAAGTGGGGAGAAGACCTCAAGCCCAACAAAACCCATAATCCCCAACCCCGCTCTGAAACTCCTGGGAGCATGGCAGTTTTTGTGACTCAGAAAAAGTCCTCTGCACATGCTCTGAGGCTTTTGATTGCTTCCCACCAGGAAGCGCTGATGCTTGGCCTTCAAAGGCTTGAAGACCTCCGTCTTATCAAGATGAAGTCCTGAACAGCCTGAGGTCCAGCAAGCTGTTGCCCCCTAAGGGCAACCTGACCCAAGCACTGAGCCACCGCTGCGTGCTGCACCTTTCTCCCCACTGACGCTTGCAGGAATCCTGCTCAGGTGGAACCTTTCCAGCAGGATTTCAGCTCACCTCATCAGACAGGTGGTTGCAGCGCTCAATCAGTTGGGAGCAGAGGTGGTGTTGCGGCTGGTGGCCTGAATCCTTGGGCACTGCGGGTTCTTCCTTGGTTCCCAGCACAAACCCAACCAATTCCTGGAGGAGCGCAGGAGAGCGGATGTGTCTTACCAAGGCAGTCAGGACAGCTGTCGAGAGAAGGATGCCGCGTTCTGACCTGCCAAGGAAGACAGGGATGAATGAGGGGGGGTGACTCTGGCCATGGGCTTATTAGGCAGGTCTCCGAGTTCCCCCAAGCAGGACAAGGCTTGGTGCTCACCCCTCTTTCCATGTTAAGCTTGGACTCACATTTGCAGGAGCTGGGACTGCAGGACTCCCTGGAAGAACCTCTGAGCCACTGTCTCACTTACGGCACCTGCCACAACCTGGTGGGGTGAAACACCACAATGACGCATCATGATCTCCGCAGCTCCTCCTCATTCAGAAACCCGAGTCAGCTAGCAGGCCAAGGGAGAACTGACAATGCAGAAAGCTCCCTGCAACTTGGAGGGAAAGGGGCAAAGAGCCTGAGGCAGCTTCCAAAGACTTAACTAAGTGGATGTGGGTGGAGATTTCAGCAGGAGGTCTCTTCCTTTTTAAATATTTTATTAAAGTTTTCTTGGTTTACAAAGGTATGCGCAATGCCTCTTTTTTCAAGTTACATTTTCCATAGGCCAGTTTCATTTGTTGAGACATTAAGGTTACATTAGGAAGAAAAAAGGGGAGAAGAGGTGGAGGGGCCATGGTGGGTGAGGTCGGGAGGCGATATTTCTGTTTTGCTTAATGTATGTGTGGGTTTTTGTGTCAGTGTTGCTTGTGCAGGTTCTCTTTGCTATTCACTTGTGTTCCTTTGGTGGTGAGAGAAGTTGGGGTTGGCCTAGGGTGTGGTTGTTCATTTGTGGTTGGCTGGGGTGATCTTTGTTTTTGTGTCTGAGTGGGGTGGGTGGGTGTTTTGGATCAGGTTAGCCATATTGATTTGCATGCTGTTGGTAGATTCTTGTCGTTGTCTTGTTGGGCTGGGTATGTGATGAAGGGGAGCCATATTGGGGTGAAGGCATCGTCTTCTATTAGTCCCCGTGTCAGTTTCAGTTTATCGGTTAAATTTTCTAGTAGGGCTGTTTCCCATACTATTTGGTACCATTGGTCCATGCTTACTCTTGACAGGTCTCTCCAGTGTCTGGCTATGACATTTCTGGTTGCTGAGAGTAGGTGGGCTATGAGTTCTTTGTTATATGAGTGGGCATTATTGTCTTGGAATATAGTAGGGCCAGTTCTGGGGTGATTTCTAATACCTGCTTAGTTATTTTACATATTTCTTGTATGGCTATTGTCCAGAATAGTTGGATTTTGGAGCACTCCCACCACATGTGGAGGTATGTGCCTGTGGAGGTGCACCCTCTCTAGCATTTTGGTGAGGTTCCTGGGCGTATTAACTCTAGTTTCCTTGGTGTTAGGTACCACCTGTAGGTGAGTTTCAGAGTGAGTTCTCAGCAGGAGGTCTCTTACCGGGTGCGCCTCTTTCACTAGGCAATCACAGAGATCGAGCCAGGCAAAGAAAGCCTCCAGGCTGGCCTGGCCTGGGAAGGCGTTCTCCTCAATGCAGCTGCCCTGAAGCCTGGAAGGGCGAGAGGTACAGTTCAGCAATGTATGGAGCACTGATCTGTCCGAACATCTCGTCAGGCAGATTGAGAGTGAGAGGCAAAATAAGTCTAACAGCTTCAAAACAGACTAGTTTGGGTTATAGAGACACAGAATAGGGAGGGAGGTGTGTACTTTGCCTGACATTCACTGAAAGTCAGTTTTACAGTAGTACCTTGGTTCCTGAATGGCTTGGCTCCTGAATACCGCAAACCCGGAAGTGAGCATTCCGGTTTGTGAACGCTTTTCGGAAGCCGAACGTTCGACATGGCTTATGCAGCTTCCGATTGAGTGCAGGAAGCTCCTACGGCCAATTGGAAGCCGCGCCTTGGTTTTTGAACCGTTTCGGGAGTTGAATGGATTCCTGGAACGGATTAAGTTCGAGAACCAAGGTACCACTGTATCTCTGCGTATACCAGTTTTTCAATCATACGCTCTTCAGCTTTAAAGTACGGTTGCATTCTGCGTGGGGGTTAAGTTCCAGGGATCACAGATATATGCAAAAACACGTATACCTGAACTAACCCCTTCAAACCTGCCCCCACATGAGAATCCTTATCTTCCAGAGCTGGTGCACCGAACAGGACTTACTCCCCTAGCAAGGCAGAGAGCTTTGAAGATCTTGAAAGACAGAGCACTTGAAAGCTCTTTCAACGCCGGGAGAACCCGGTGCAAAAAACCACGAATTTTAAGCTCTCCACCTTGCCTGCATTTAATCTACACAATTTCAACCAGCCAGCTTTAAACCACACAAGGTTGAAATTGTGCATGTTAATTGTGCATAAGATGCTATTGTACTGTTATTTCCCTTGAAGAGTTTGGATTTGATATCCCGCTTTATCACTACCCGAAGGAGTCTCAAAGCGGCTAACATTCTCCTTCCCCTTCCTCCCCTACAACAAACACTCTGAGGTGAGTGGGGCTGAGAGACTTCAAAGAAGTGTGACTAGCCCAAGGTCACCCAGCAGCTGCATGTGGAGGAGCGGCGAAGCGAACCTGGTTCCCCATGTTACGAGTCTATTGCTCTTAACCACTACACCATACTGGCTCTCCTTGCCCATGTGAAAGTCTCTGTATTACTTTTGTGACAAAAAAAATCAATAAAAAGTTATTGAAATATACAGTGGTACCTCGGGTTAAGTACTTAATTCATTCCAGAGGTCCATTCTTAACCTGAAACTGTTCTTAACCTGAAGCACCACTTTAGCTAATGGAGCCTCCCACTGCTGCCGCACCGCCGAAGCACAATTTCTGTTCTCATCCTGAAGCAAAGTTCTTAACCCGAGGTACTATTTCTGGGTTAGCGGAGTCTATAACCTGAAGCGTATGTAACCTGAAGCATATGTAACCCGAGGTACCACTGTATATGTAAATGGGGGAATGTTTCCCCACGGTGCCAGATATCACGCAGGCACAGTTAATGCTGAAAGGAGGGCACTGGGACCCCAAGACCTATAGTGGGGGTGGGCGGGCTGTTATCCCCACTCAGTAGCAGTGCCAGGCATTGTTTGGAGGGAGGAAGAAAAGGAAACCTCCCCAGGGCCTGGCACCATCTAGAATGACTCTGGCAGTGTCTCTCCCAGTCCAAGTCTTGATAGGGAATCTAGTACCGATTCAGTACAAGCTTGAGTCTTAATGGTGCCAAATACTCTGTGCCCTCAATTAAATGTCGTTTAACATGTTGTCATATTTTCAATGTACCGTATCTTTTGCTCCATAAGACACACTTGTTTCCTCCTAAAAAGTAAGGGGAAATGTCTGTGGGTTTTATGGAGCGAATGCGTGGTCCCTGGAGCTGAATTGCCCAGGGGTAAAAAAACAGATTGCGCTTTTTTTTTTTAGAAAGAGGCAAGGGGATGTTGAAACAAAGCCGCTGAACAGCTGATCAGCAAGCGATTGGGTAGGGAGATAAGGGACTCTAGAGATAAAGGAGGCTGCCTGGGAGGGAGGAGGTAAAAGCACATGGATCCTCAGGATTTTTGCGTTGGGTCACCCCAAATTCACCATCAGATCACATAGCATGTCCATGGCTACAGCCTGTACTAAAAAAATCACATATCCACTGTTTGTGGGGCCGCAATGGCGCAAAAATGTGGTTACAAAGCATAGATCCACATGGATTCTCAGGATTTTTGCATTTGGCTACCCCAAACTCACCGTCAGATCACATATCATGTCTGTGGCCACAGCATGAACCACAAAAATCATAGATCCACTGTTTCGTTCAGAATATTTATTTTCCTTGTTTTCCTCCTCTAAAAACTAGGTGCATCTTATGGTCGGGTGTGTCTTATGGAGCGAAAAATACGGTAATTATTAATTGGCAGCATTGCATTTGGAAGCTGGTTGGTTGGTTTTTTTACAGAAGGGTGTATGGATTTATGGAGACTTGTGGGCTGGGAGGGAGAAACCTGCATCCATAAGAATGTTAAGAAGAACCCAGTGGGATCAGGCCAATGGCCCATCTAGTCCAGCATCCTCTTCTCACAGCGGCCAACCAGATTCCCAAAGGGGAAACGTGCAAGCAGGATCCAAGCACAAGCGCACCCTCCCCTCCTGGGGTGTCTAGCATCTGGTCTTCAGAAGCAATACTTCCTCCTAAACAGCCCCAATGAGGGCTCCTTGGTTCCCAGGGAACAAGCCATGCAAAACCAGCTAGGCCACTTCACTTGCTGGAGAAGGACCAAGGTCTAGGCCTCCTTGTGGCCCCAAAACTCTGGGGGTATCTTGAATGGCAGATGAAGATGATGGACTTTTCGGAGCTAGCCGACCTGACTGGAAGAGTCCGCGACCAGAAGGAGGAGGAGTACCAGAATGAATGGATGAAATTTAGTTAGATATGTTAAGATAACTTAATTGGGAAAATTTGCAAATATCAGATAGGCTTAGGATTTAAATATGTGATGTTAGAGAATAAAATGTTTAAAGTTAAAATGAAAAGAAAGAATGATGTTAAGTGGTTAAGTTAATCTTATGAGAAATTTGGTTTTGAAAAACTGTTACAAAGATATATACTGAAACTCAGCCAGAGGGATTAGAGGAAGTCACCTAAAAATGTTATGAAGAATGGATTAAGTACAGTTAAGATTTATGTTTGTTTGTTTGTTTAAAATTTTTGGAAAACCAATAAAAACTTTTTTTAAAAAAACAAACCAAACTCTGGGGGTATCTTTACCTCCAGCTGACTGGCTGAAGCGTGGTGACATCGGCAGGGTTGACAGTGGCTGGGATAGCATCGCACAGTGTGCAGAGGTGGTCAGCCACCAGGGGGCAAAGCCTGCTGTCTCGCGCCAGAGCCAGGGCAGCTGCTTGATGGTCGATGCTGGTTAGCAGCAGAAGGTTCTCCTGAGCTTTGAGGGCAACCTTCCTCTTCTGCAAGGGAGAGAAAACAACGCTCCTGAAGCCCCTCCTTGATATGAAGTCTCACCTTCTCCACCTGCCCTAGCAAGAGGCAGCGTACGCCCCACCCCACGGCCCTGTACCTTGCTCTTGCACAAGCTGATGAGGGAGGTCACCAGGTTTGGGGCAGAGGAGGCTGGTTCCACAAGCCGCACCTCGCAGGAAGCTTCCTCTGGGCAAAGTCTTCTGTCCTGCTCTACAGGGTCCAAGGCAGGCTCTGCTGTTGCTCCCTGAGGTTGGAAGGCCTGATCCAGTTTCTGCCCACTCGCCACATTCTTGCCCTTGAAAATGGGGGGAGAATCTGGCTACATTATCCCTGTTTGGCATGCTGGGCTTAAGGCGGGAAATCAAGCAAAGACACAATGCCCCAGAGGGGTCCAACCCATAGGTGGCTCCTCCACAATCAACACCAGGCACAGGAAAACTCAGCCCTTCAGATGTTTTGAGACTACAACTCCCATCATCCCTAGCTAACAGGGCCAGTGGTCAGGGATGATGGGAATTGTAGTCTCAAAACATCTGGAGGGCCGAGTTTGCCTATGCCTGATCAACACGCTTGGAATGAACCTGAGCTTTGCAGCTGAGCACCCACTGCAGAAAGCAACACCCACTGAGCCCCTTCAAATAATGAGTAAACCGCTTGATTCCAAAAACAAAATGAGTTAGCTATTTCATACAATTCATACACTGCTTGATTTGAGGACCCAGCATGAAAGGTCTGCTTGGTGTGCATGATTTGGGAGCACTGGGGATTCATTCTCTCTCTCTCTCTCTCTCTCTCTCTCTCTCTCTCTCTCTCACACACACACACACACAGAACAACTGTGGCAACAGGCAGGAAAAGAATTACCGTATTTTTCGCTCTACAGGACGCACTGGACCATAGGAGGGGGAGAACAGGGGAAAAAAATTCTCCCCCTCTCTGCTCAGCGAAGCAGCAGGAGAAATGGAGCCCCTTCCATTTCTCGTCCCGCTTCACTGAAGGGGCGCTGCGCAGAGAGGGAAAACTGTGCAGCGCCTCTCCAGCGAAGCCTGGAGAGCAAGAGGGATCGGTGTGCACCGACCCCTCTCGCTCTCCAGGCTTCAGGCGGCTATCCGCAAGCCTTCGGAGTGCAGCGGAAAGTCCCGCTGCGCTCTGGGGGCTTCAGGCGGCTATAGCGAAAGCAACGCAAAGCCTCCGGAGCGCGGGGGGAGCGCTCCCTCTGTGCTTCAGAGGCTTCGCGTTGCTATCGCTGAAGCCAAGGAGCCTGCATTCGCTCCATAGGACGCACACACATTTCCCCTTAATTTTTGGAGGGGAAAAGGTGCGTCCTATAGAGCGAAAAATACGGTAAGTGGTCTGTCAAGACTCTCAGCAATTTTTAAGTGGTCTGGCCAGGAGAGAACAGTTTGGGAACCACTGACTTAAGATAATTTCTGTTGAGTAAATGCTGTATAACTTTTGAAAATAAAGCAATAAAAGATCAGGCATGTGTATTTCTGTAATAATAATAATAATAATAATAATAAATAATTATTTATTTATACCCCGCCCATCTGGCTGGGCTTCCCCAGCCACTCTGGGTGCTTCCCAAAAAATATTAAAATACCGTAATACATCAAACATTAAAAGCTTCCCTAAACAGGGCTGCCTTCAGATGTCTTCTAAAAGTCTGGTAGTTGTTGTTCTCTTTGACATCTGGTGGGAGGGCGTTCCACAGGGCAGGTGCCACTACTGAGAAGGCCCTCTGCCTGGTTCCCTGTAACCTGACTTCTCGCAGGGAGGGAACCGTCAGAAGGCCCTCGGTGCTGGACCTCAGTGTCCGGGTAGAACAATGGGGGTGGAGATGTTCCTTCAGATATACTGGACCGAGGCCGTTTAGGGCTTTAAAGGTCATCCACGCACATACAGACCTTGCAAAAACAGAGCACTCTGCAGTCTGTCTCAGACTGTTAAAAGATGTACTGGCACCTGGGTGCAAGCAGATCCAAGAGTCCCTCACCTCTAGGACGTAGGGCAGCAGGGCCGGATCCTGTTTGATCTTGGTACACAGGGCAGCAATAAGCTGCATCATTTCCTTCTCAGGCTCAGAGCCTAGCGCGTCGTTCCCAAGGTGGAGGAGTTTCTGTAGAAGGACAGCGGGTGGGTGGGTGAGGGTAGCAGTGGCTCCAAGGAGCAAATGGGTAGAAAGATGCTTTAAGAATACAGTACAATCGCATCTTGTGGGACGTGGGTGGCGCTGTGGGTTAAACCACAGAGCTTAGAAGGTCGGCAGTTCTAATCCCCATCACGGGGTGAGCTCCCGTTGCTCGGTCCCTGCTCCTGCCAACCTAGCAGTTCGAAAGCACGTCAAAGTGCAAGTAGATAAATAGGTACCACTCCGGCGGGAAGGTAAACGGCGTTTCCGTGCGCTGCTCTGGTTCGCCAGAAAGCGGCTTAGTCATGCTGGCCACATGACCCGGAAGCTGTACGCCGGCTCCCTCGGCCAATAAATCGAGATGAGCGCCGCAACCCCAGAGTTGGCCACGACTGGACCTAATGGTCAGGGGTCCCTTTACCTTTTACAATCGCATCTTACACACATTTAAGATGCTCAATTTCAACCATACGGGGTTGAAGTCCACTGGCTGAAATCCTGCAAGTTAAATGCAAGCAAGTTGGAGAGATTAATAACTTTTTTTGCGCAGGGAAAACCCGCTGCAAAAAGAGTTTTTATACATCAAACCCACACATAAGATGCAATCTTACTGTAACCAAAAGAGTTTTGAGCCCAGGGCTCAGAATCACGCGAACCAAGAGAAAACATGCAAGTCTGCTTTGTTTTCGAAAATGGAATCCTGCAATTGTAGCAGAACTTGAGTTGCCTTGGCACAGAATTTGATTTTTCTTTGTCAGCAGAGAGTACAATGCTAATTGGAATTTTCACCAGATTTGACGGAGAGGGGAGTGCCAGAAATTGCCTTCTTTGGCATGGGCAACTCAGACGAACCCTGGCTGGCTCAGCAGAAAGGAACTCACCTGGACAGGCCTGTACACGTTCAGGTAATGCAGCAGAGGGCACTGCATTTGTCCCAGCAAGCGGCTGAAGAAGAGGAGCACGTGAGACCTCATCCCCGTGGGATACTGGGGATCAGAAGAGAGACAAGAGTACTGCTACAGAGGGTCCCTTCGGAAGATCCTGCCCTGTCCCTCCTGCCACCAGGTCTCAAGGAGCCTTGAGACTGACTCAGACAAGTCAGTGAGAACAGCAAAATAAAACACAACGCCAAAAATTAGGAGTTCAATTAAGCACCCTAAAATTGCAAACAACAACAACAACAACCCAGAAAGCATAAAATAGCCCAGCAACAGCCCTTCGAGTTATGCCTAGCTGCTGCCTCCAAACACCTACTTGAATAGATAAAGAAAAAGAAAAGGTGCCTGTGGGTTGAATTTATTCTGCAGGAGAGTTCTATGATCATCCTCATCAATAATGTTTATATACCACTTAGTACGTAAAATCTTTAAGCGGTTAACGTAAAACACGGTAAGATGATTTAAAGAAGAAAAATGTCTATACAACATTTAAAACCAAAAATAAAAAGAAATACATTGGTAAAAACAGAGAAGCCATCAATAAAACATTCAGTTAAACATCAATAAATAATCTGGTAGGATCACGTGATGACTCTTAAGAGGCCGGGAGTGCCTGCTTAAAGAGATGGATCTTTAGGAGGTGTTTAAAGCTTGCTTCTGTTTCTGCCTCATGAACAGTACATGGGAGGTACACTGGCCATGTTGGCTGGGGCGGACAATCCAACAGTACCTGGAGTGCCACAGGTTCCCCATCCTTGGCTTAAAAGATAAACCCAGCAACAGGATTTTGGGGGGCTCTCAGACCAGGCATCCTCTGTGGAACCCCTTAAACTGGGCATGCAATTCTCTTCCACTGCCTGACTCCTCCATGCAAAGTGAGAATCATGCCTGTAGCCAGTGGCACCACTGCCAAAAAGGCCCTGCTCCTATTGCATTTCAGCAAAGCAGACACTGCTTGGGCAGGAGGGACAGCAGAAAGTACAGGACTGCCTCAGAAGGGAAGCTGTGGTACCTCTGCTTTTGCCAGAGTGCTGAGGGTCTCCAGGATTTTGTGTTGAAGCAAGTACTCCAAACAGGGTCCTGTCTCCCCCGATGGCTGCTTCTTTTCCTCGTACGCTAGGATATCTAGCATCTGTTTCAAGCGCCAGGGGATGTCCGTTTCTTTTGCCGGCTTGTTTTCATCTTGAGAAAAGACAATCAGCTTGTCACAAGCATACCCACTCACCCGTTTTTCATCAGACACAGGGATCTCATTCATTCCTTTACCCAAGCACTGAAAAGATGGTTGAACAGCATCATTTAAAAACATTTTAATATGTTTTTGCTTTCTTCCTTGTTGTTTGCTCCCCTGGGCTCCTTTGGAAGGAAGGGTCTGATATTAATGTAATAAAAATAAATATCCAGAACTAATACCTGCAGGCCTCTCTGCAACTGCATGGCAAATTCTGAATAGGGCTAAAGGATCTCAACCAGACTCTGATCCCAGAAGCTCTGTAGCAGCTTTCCCCAACCTCCAGATTCCAAGTCAGCAAGACTGGAGGTCAAGGATGATGAAGTTGTAGCAGTTCATTAACATCTCGAGGACACCACACAGGTGGAGGCTGATTTATGGGCCAGGATTTGTTTTTTGCCAGTGTTAACTGGCTTTTATCCATAATTTTATTTATACAAGTATTTCTACTTGCCCTTTTGCAAAACAACAGGGTGGTTCCCTCTTGGAAAACAAGGACTGGCCCACTCTACGGCATTTTCTCATACTATCATCATATACTCCTGCCTTTCAAAGTTCTTCGGAAATGTCAGTTGGATCCAAAAGATGTCATGTATCCTTAAAAGGGGGAAATGGCAGAAAACAAAACTAGCCCATTCTGTCCCTATAGATTCCCCTTTCCTCACCTTGATTTCATCGTTTGTTTGTTTTTTTTAAAGGAAAGATTTATTATCATTTTGATAAGAGTGTCTCCAGGGTACTTTTTGGGCAGGAAGGTGGGAGATAAGCATCTCAACTCCATATATAGCCTCATTTGAATGTGTGCCACACCGGTCTGACAGGTCTGGACAACTTGGGCCACAAAGATATTATTTTCCCTTTCAGCCTACATGTCACCTGCCTTCCTTCGGTAAAGAACATTCACAGAATCATAGAATTGTGGAGTTAGAAGGGACCCAAAGTGTCATCTGGCCCAAACCCCTGCAATGCAGGAATCACAACTAACTTAATCTAAGAAACTTCCTCCACCTCCATAAAATAACTGTGTACCATAAGCTTTGCGTTTCCTTCAATCAACAGTAAGAGCAACGGTAAAGGAAGTAGCAACGGCTCAACAAGAAGAAAAGCGAGGTGTGGCTGCACACAAAAGGGAGTGAGTGCTGGCATTCATGGCCACAGGGGTTCCTACCGGTGGTCTCCAGGTAATACTGGGTGATGCCCTTCCAGTGGTCCGTGAAGGCGGCCGGGAGGTCCAGACGTGGCTCCTCCTGTGGGCGGGGGGAGAGAAGAAAGCTGCTGTGAGGGGAAAGGCCCACGCTGTTCCCTTGCTTATATGCCTCCTCAGCAGTGCTGGATTTACATATAAGCCAAACAAGCTATAGCTTAGGGCCCCACTCTCTTGCCCCCCCCCAATACTACTTCTTAATTGTATTTCAGTTCAACAATTACTTTGATAAAATACATTTTGTTATGTGCAAATGTCTTTAGATACCTATTAGGTCCATAAATTAGCATATAGCATATACAGTAGAACCTTGGCTTATGTTGCCCTCGGGTAACGTAAACTTTGGGTTGCGAAAGTGGCAAACTCGGAAGTATATTTCCGGGTTTTGCCGCTCGCGCAGAAATGCTCTATCACGTTGCGCGCATGCGCAGAAGCGGCACCTCCGGTTGCTGAAACCTCGGGATCTGACCGGAGCTCTGGAACGGATCCCGTCCACAACCAGAGGAACCACTGTATTCAACACAAAAAAACAGTGACAGTTTGTTGTTGACAAAGGACAGTTGGACATAGAAAGGGCCCTATCACCTTCGGTAGCTTAGGGCCTCATCAAACCTAAATCTGGTCCTGCTCCTCAGCCCACCCTGAAAGGACAGGCAGATGGGAACAAAGAGGGAAGTGGTTTTCTAAGGAATGAGCTCCATCCCTGACCCCACCTGAGTGGGTCGCCTGCCAGCCAGAGAGCCAACCAACATGGGCATAGCCAGGATTTTTGTTTGGGGGGGCAGGCTTTTGTTAGGGGGGCAGAACCTCAGATTTGTACCTGACTACCAATCAGGTAGTCAGGTAGCCAGCCAGGTAGCCTGACAGTCAGCTTCTTAGCCAGCCAGCCAGCCAGCCAACCAATCAATTCGTTTGCCAGGTGGCCAGCCAGCCAGATAACCAATCAGGTAGCCAGTCAGCTCCCTGATCAGTTGATTGACCAGCCGGCCAGCCAGTCAGGGAGCCAAGCGGCCAGCCCAGCTCCGCTAGCCCAGCTCCGCTCCCTCGCCCCGCCGCTCACCGTCTCCACGGCCCGTTGCAGGAGGGCTCCCAGGCGGCCCAGGAGAGCCATGGCTTCTCCGCGGGAGGAGAGAGGAGGAGCCTCCCCGCCCAGGGCCCCGTCTGCGCCCTTTCTCCCCTCCGCCCGCCCGCGGCCGTTCCTTCGCAACCGTGGAGAGGCAGGGCAGGAGGCCCTGATTGGTCCATCCGAGAACGCCTGTGGGCGGAAAGGGGCGCGGCCTCCGCAGGACGTCATCGAGACGCGACGGATTTGGCGGCGCGGGAGGCGGCGGCCTCTCTGGGAGCTGCGCTTGTCTGTCTCTCGCGGCCGCCGCTACCCTTGAGGGCCGCCATGTCCTTGGCGCCGGTGCTGCGGGCTGGCGGGGCCCGCGCGGGACTCAGCTCGCTCAGGGGGGTGAGTAGGAAGGGGGGGGAGGCTTCCCTTGTGGACCCGCCTTTTCCCTCAGAGGAGCTCAAGGTGTCGCCCGCCCTCGGTTCTCCCTCTCCCACAACAACCCTGTGAGGTAGGCTAGGCCCCCCCGGGCTCCCACCCTGCGAGGTGGGCGGGGAGGGAGGATGGCGAGCAGGCCCACCTCGGGTTGGAATTGGGGCCGCATCGCTTTGGTCGACAGAAACCACTGTAGGAATTAATGGACTGGAAGCTGCCCCAGCCCCGCCCCCAAGAGTCAATTTTCTTACCTTTTTAAAACAGCGCTTTGCAGATTGCTTGTTTTGCTTACTGTATTTATATACCGCCGCAAAGCGGTTTGGGTAAAGGTCATTGCCAAACGTAAGCATCCATCTGGAGAGTTTACAGTAGATGGCAAACATTGTCACCCAAGAGGCATTTTCTGAGGGGGTTTCAGTGTTGAGGGGATTATGTTTTTCGTTTCAGGGAAGTAGTGCTTTTAGCTAAGTGCAGATTTAGGGAATCTCTTAATGAGCTTAAGACTCATGCTTAAAAAACACACACACATACCGTGGAGTTGTAGGTTTACATAGAAAAGTCATTAAGATGCCTCAGATAAGGTTGGTAATATTGCAAGCAACCCTTGCTCTTTAATAATTGTCCTTTTTTAATATGATATGGAGAGGGGGCAAAGTAGCTGTCATCTTTGTAACTGATGTGAAAGGTGATACTGATCTCTTGTGTGACAGAAACTTGAGATTTCTAGTTGGTACCAATGGTATTGGTTTGAAATATTTATGTCCTGCTTTATCTTGAGACAAAATAAAGTGCTGTTGTCTGAAGACTGTTTGGGGCCTCTGCAGGCTTCCTTGTCAGACGTTGGTGCTCCTACTGAGAAGGCCCTGATCCTATTTAGTTCCTGTTGAACTTCAGCTATTTGGGAGCACATGTATCAGAACTTCAGTTATTGAAGAAGACAGATAAGACAGTAGATAGGGGAGAAGGTGGCCCTTAAGGTGTCCAGAACCTATAGAAAATTTTGCCTATAAAGTTGTTGCTGGCAATATTTCAGTCATTGTATGATTGTTTGAATCCATCTTAATTTGTGAATGTGACAATTGGTGACATGCTGGTATTAATGGTGGAATCTACACATATATAAAAACCGTTTTGAAAATGCTTTTTTAAAAGCGTTTTTAGAAATACAGTGGTGCCTCGCAAGACGAAATTAATCCGTTCCGCGAGTATCTTTGTCTAGCGGTTTTTTCGTCTTGCGGAGCAACCCTATTAGCGGATTAGCGCTACTAGCGGTTTAGCGGCTATTAAAGGCTTAGCGGCTTAGCTGCTAAAAGGCTATTAAAGGCTTAGCAGCTTAGAAAAAGGGGGGGGAGCGAAAAAAAATCTCAAGACTCGCAAGACATTTTCGTCTTGCGAAGCAAGCCCATAGGGAAATTCGTCCTGCGAAGTGCATTGAAAAACGGAAAACCCTTTCGTCTAGCGGGTTTTCCGTCTTGCGAGGCATTCGTCTTGCGGGGCACCACTGTACATTGAATTTTCCATAAGGCTCACCATTGCCATCTTGTGTCACATTGTATATCGCACTTAAAACACAATTAAAACGTTTTGTTTGCAGCTGTATAGCTGAGTCCAATGAAAGGAAGCTCAGTTAAAACTGGGGAGGGCTCTGTTCATTGTAAGGAGCCAGTGTGATATAGTCGTTAGAGTGCTGGACTAAGACCTGGGAGGCCAGGGATTAAATCCCCACTCAGCCTCGTAGTTTAGTGGGTGTGATCCTGGGCCTAACCTACCCCATAGGATTGTTTTACAAATTAAATGAGAAGCAGCAGAGCCATGTATGCCACCTTGAGCTCCTTGAGGGGAAAAGTTGGGATGCAATTGCAATTAATAAACAAGAAATAAATAATAGTGTTCTGTTGCATTTCTGATGAAACCAGTATAAAGCTATCTAATGACGTCTAATGTTTCTTTTTGAAAAAGTTCTGTCAGAGTTAGGTCAATACTGTGGTCCCCCCTCCAACCCCCCCCCCCCCACTGTATGGTTTTGTTGCATATAATGTTAATATGGCAGAACATTAAATCCTAAATATGGTTAATTCAATCTGATTTTCCCCTTCTAGGCAAGGCTTCATGTGAGTTCCCGGTGCAGCCTACGGTATAACTGGCTGGCATATTTTTTGGGAGAGAGAACTACTCCAAGGTTGAATGAATACAGCAAAGTCTTCACGGTGGATGGCAATCTACGAAGCGGCAAGGGCAAGCTTGCACAGCAAGTAGCAGAGAAGCTAGGCATGTACTTCTGTATTGCTGTTGGAACTCACATATAATTTGTAAACTTTTGGGTAGTGGAATGCCCTCCTTGGGGGAGGCTCACCTAGTACCACTGTTACATATCTTTAGGTTGCAGACAAAAGCATTCCTCTTAAACTAGGTCTTTGGCTATTCAAGCGGAGGTGGGGGATATTTTTTTTGCACACCCACCCTGTTTCTATTTAATTTTTGTATCGGAGCTTTGAGTGTGAGTTTCTGTTGCTGCTTCTTTGGGAAGCAGCTATGTATCAATGACAGCCCTCTTCATTCTGGTTGGCTTTTGATGGCTGGCTCTGGGTTGGAGGGTTCATTTCATCTAGGCCTATTGCACAATTAACAAAACCATAGCAAACCAGTTACAAGTTATATTTTCTGCGTCAAATCTACATACGTTTGGAGACGAAGTGGAACTATTGCATCATTGCATTTATATTCCATCTTTTTCTCCAAGGAGCTTAAGGTGCATAGTTCTTCCTCTCTTCATTTAACTCCCACAACAACCCTGTGAGGCAGTACCTGACCTGGGTCACCTAGTGAGCTTCATGGCCAAGTGGGTATTTGACTCCTGTTCTCCCAGGCCCTAGTCTGATACTCTAACCATTGTACGACACTGCCTGTCTTTGTAAACAGCAAACCATCTTTGTTTATAAATGTGTGTCTATGTTTCGGCAAGTGCTGTCTCAGAAGAGATGTTCCCTAATACAGTGGTGCCTCACAAGACGAAATTAATCCGTTCCGCGAGTCTCTTCGTCTTGCGGTTTTTTCGTCTTGCGAAGCACGGCTATTAGCAGCTTAGCGGCTATTAACGGCTTAGCGGCTTTAAGAAAAAGGAAACAAACTCGCAAGAACTCGCAAGACGTTTCGTCTTCCGAAGCAAGCCCATAGGGAAATTCGTCTTGCGGAACGACTCAAAAAACGGAAAACCCTTTCGTCTAGCGAGTTTTTCGTCTTGCGAGGCATTCGTCTTGCGGGGCACCACTGTATGTGATGGAGAAGGAGAAATGCCTTGTATGAGAAAGTATCTGTCAGCCCTGTGGAATTTTGGTTGCTTATTTTAAGCATAATTAATAACTTGAAGAATCTGTTGTTAATCAGAAACACTTTCTAAATTGACAAAAAAATTTTTTAATCAACTTCTAATAGCCTAGATAGGGACACGGGTGGCGCGGTGGGTTAAACCACAGAGCCTAGGACTTGCCGATCAGAAGATCGGCGGTTCAAATCCCCGCGACGGGGTGAGCTCCCGTTGCTCGGTCCCTGCTCCTGCCAACCTAGCAGTTCGAAAGCACGTCAAAGTGCAAGTAGAAAAATAGGTACCGCTCCGGCGGGAAGGTAAATGGTGTTTCCGTGTGCTGCTCTGGTTCGCCAGAAGCGGCTTAGTCATGCTGGCCACAACCCCAGAGTTGGTCACGACTGGACCTAATGGTCAGGGGTCCCTTTACCTTTACCTTTAATAGCCTAGATAATGGGGTCTTAGTGTTATATTACACTTTGATCCATCCTGATCCCTCAGGACATAAGGTGTATAAAATAAATAAATATACAACAGTGGCCATCTGGAGAAGATGGGATTTGAGAAGACTATTTTAAAAACAGAGACCTCCAATTGTCTTGCATTGGTTCGCTTCTGAAAAGTAGGTTTGGAATGGAACTTGGTTGAAGAGTGCTGTGTAGATAATGTAAAGAAAGTCCTTGCATGTGTATAGAGACGCAATTGAGCTTGTATTCTGGAGTGGCTTAAGATGAACATCAATATCTAGCTTTCCCTTTCAAATCTTTGATTGCTCTTTCCAGGTTTGCGATACTTTCCAGAAGCAGATATTCATTATGTGGACAGGGTCACAGGAGATGGAACAATATTGGATTCAAAATTCAGCGGAAATTGTAGCCTGGAGAAATTTTACAGCAGTCCTAAACACCCAGATGGAAACTCGTATCGGCTTCAAGCCTGGTTATTCAGTAACCGCCTCCTACAGTATTCTGATGCCCTGGAACACCTGCTGACCACAGGTAATGTAGTTCCTTTTGTTCCTAAATAAACTTACTAATTGAAATTTGGATTCTGTTTAGAGAAAATGTGGCAAAATGAAAACATAACTGGGAATTCACAGAGCAGCAGCCAGCCGTAGTTGGTTCTTCAGTCTTCTTCAACCTGGTGCCCTCCAGATGTTTTGGATTACAAGTCTCATTGGCTGCGGGCTTCCTGGACATTGCAGATACCAGGTTGATGGAGACTAGAACGTTTTAAGAAGCGGTACTTGTGCAATTGCAACTTGCATGATTGAAGACAGGCTGGTTGAAATTTAGCAAATTTAAAGGGAAGTTTTCTTTCTGCAGTTCTCTTACTGCACATAACTGTGGCATTATGGGACTATGAGAACTATTGCTTCTTTTCTCTTGCATTCTGGGAAGTCTCGCTCATAATCTTTTCTCTGCTTCTGCACAAGAGTCTGAGAATGTTCTGAACAGTTCCCATTGAGTTCATGAAACAGTGTATCCTGACCTGTTCTTAATGCATTGCTGACCACATATACGGAACGTGATTGTTGTATTCTTTCATGTTATGTTCCTTCAGTATCAATCTTTAGTTATAATTTTATTCGGAGGTTTCATGCCTGTCTAGTTCCAGCTCCGTTTCTCAGCCTTTGATCTATCAGTGATAAATGGTCATATGTAATTCCCGCCTTGTACCTATGTTAACCAATCAGCAACAAGTTGCTTTGTGTTTGTATCAACCAATCAGCCACAAGCACACCTGTGGCAATGTTTGTAATATTCAGTAAAAGAGAGTTCCCGGGGCTCGCCCCGGGGAGACGCCTCTCATATGACACCTACCACTCGTCTGTCGTGATTTCAACCCAACACAAATTAAATGCACACATGTTTTTTCAGGAGTGAATAATAATAATAATAATAATAATAATAATAATAATAATAATTTGTTTATACCCCGCCCTCCCCAGCCAAGACCGGGGAGAGAATAATAATAATAATAATAATAATAATAATAATAATAATAATAATATTTTATTTATACCCCGCCCTCCCCAGCCAAGACCGGGGAGATGATAACAACAACAACAACAACAACAACAACAACTGTTATTAAGAGCAGTTGAGTTGGAGATAAATAGGTTTGGCTCATTACTAGGCCAATGGAGTGCCATTTTGAGTAAACTCCTCTTTAGGGATAAAAATGGTTTGGTCTGGTCCTGTTCACAAGTGACACTAAAAGCACCTTGACGACTTACTTTATGCCATGATGAGTGAATGTTCTTAACACAAAGATTGCAGCTAAGTTATTTTAGAACCTGAACTTAATGCCCCCCAATAGCTGCCTATATTTGCCTATATTGACTCAAAAGCCAAGACTGGCATAGCAATGGAGATATTGCAAGAAAGTGAAATGAACTCCTTAGAGTTAAAAGAGCTTTTAAACTTTCTACCTTCCTTGCTGGGCTAGGCTTTCTTGGCGTGCTGGCTTTGGAAGCCTGGGGACAGCCCTGTGAGATCTCATGAGAGCTCGGATGGCCCTGCAGAAGCACCCCAGAGCTAACACACTGAGCTGGCCTTGCCTGCTTAAAAGTTCTCTGCCTTGCTTGGTGGGCAAGGCCTGTTTGGTACACGTTTCCAGAAGAGTAAATAGGGTGGTTTGAGTACGCATATTTTGGTGTATATATGCCACCCCTAGAACATAATTCCTGTATAAGATCCAATTGTACTGTACTTCTTCAAAGGTATTTTGAACAAATATGATCTGGAGGGTTGAGTGGTTTGCCAAAGCAGAGCACTGCACTTCCTGCCAACTTTAAGATACAATTGCAGGTTCTTCCTGTGATTAGCAGACCTTGAACATGTGGGCTTTAGGATGTAGTGTCAAGAAATTAATTATTGCATGCATAATGCTGCTTTGCAAACTGGGAGAAAATCATAAGAAGAAGCAGCGTTGAGGAGCACAAGCTTTAAATAAAGGTTGCCTAAATAAAAACTTAGCCTCGCTCTAAGCCCAAACCCCATAACTTGTATGAATAATATGTGATGGTGTTTCTCATTTTGAAGTTGTGATCCCTGTTTAACTTCAGGGCAAGGAGTGGTTCTGGAGCGCTCCCCCTACAGTGACTTCGTGTTCTTGGAGGCGATGTATAAGCAAGGCTACATCCACAAGAGGTGTAAGTCATCGTTTGAATTTTTTATTTATTTAAAAGATTTATAACCCAGCCATCATCGGTACTGCTTTGGATTATGTGGGGCGAGCAAACAAGGCCCGAATCCTGTTGGAAGAAGGTAGGACTGGAACAGGGGAGCCCAACTCTAAGGTCTCTCTCTCCACTTTTCTCCCAGACCTGAAACTTACCTCCCTCTGCTCTGCCCATGACCACTGTGGTATTTGTGTGTGTGTTGGGGGGGGGGTTGTGATATAGCATCATCATGTAAGCAGAAGGAATTTACTGTTGGGTAGGAGTCTCTCCCAACCCTCCCTGGAGATTCAGGGAATTGATCTGGGATTCCCCCCCCCCCATTTTTTTTCAATTCATTATAAATCTTTTCCCAGAAGTCTTTCACCTTGGGACACGTCCACCACATGTGAAAAAAGTACCTTCTTTCTCTCTAGATTTCCAACATGTATTATCATTCATGTGGTAGATCTTTGCCAATTTTACTGGGGTTAAGTACCATCTATACATCATTTTCATGATGTTTTCTTTTAATAAAGTACATGCAGTAAACTTAACCCCTTTCTTCCATAACCTTTCCCAATCTTCCAACATTATATTATGTCCAACATCTCTTGCCCAGTCAGTCATTACCCATTTAACTTGTTCATCCTTTGTATGCCACTCCAGCAACAAATTATACATTTTAGACAAATTCTAAACTTTAGTATCTAACAACTCCGTTTCCAATTTGGTTTTTTCCGTTGCAAAACCATTTTTCTTATCAAGCTTATACAATTCATTAATTTGATAATATTGTAACCAATCCACTTTATCTTTAATTTGATCAAATGGTTTTAATTTAAATCCTTCATTTTCTTCCAACAGTAAATCCGAATATCTCAACCATTTGTTTTCCATATTTAACTTTTTCTGGGCCTTTGTTTCTATTGGGAATATCCACCTGGGTGTTTTCCTTTCTAGGAGATCTTTGTACCTAATCCATACATTATATAGCGCAATCTGGGACTTTTTACTTGCAAGGCAGCCACACTATGACCTCTGAGCTAGGCAATGAGGGAACTCCTTGGCTTGTCCTTGTACAAAGAGTTGCTGTGTTCTTGGTGTGTACTGATCTAACCGCATAGCTTCCTGGCTCTTGGGTAGGAGAATGAGGGAGCAGAGAGAGTTGCAGCAGGAGGAAGGGGACTTGCTGGGTCATCTGCAAGCGATTTTTAATTTTTTGACTCTCCAAAGGTGGTCTCACAGGCACAATGTGATACAGGGGGACATTTCAGTACGCATCTGCTACAGAGTGGTTTGAATAGCTGGTGTAAAACTTTCCATTTTCTCTGCCTGAAACAAGATGTGCCTTTAGCTGACGAAAGCATTCTCTTGCTGGCTTTCTTTCTAGGCGTGGAGCACTACGATACAATGAAGGATCTTAGTCTTTCTGATTTCTTGCCCCCTCACCTGACCATTTATATTGACGTACCTGTCTCAGAAGTAATGAAAAGGATTGAAGAGAGAGGCAAGGTATGCTTGGTTTGGGCGGGCGAATAATATTGTGTTCAATAAGCCCGCAACTTACACACATTTAACTTGTGCACATTCAGCTTTATCACCTTGGCAAAATAACAAATAAAAGAGGTGGAAAGCAAGAGAGTGTACCGGGGGGGGGGGGATTTTGGCCATCCCACCGACCATTGAACCCAGTGTGTTTTGACTACATGCGATTTTGGCTTTAGGTGTGATCCCAGGGTTGTAACCCCCACGTGAGTTGCGGGCTTAGTGTATTAGTCTGACAAAGAGTGCTGCTTCTCCAGAAGTGTAGAACTTGTGGTGCCTACAAATCACTTTAGGGTGTGGAAGACTGCCCTCGTAGGAATATATTACGTTTTAACTCTGCAAGTCGGCTTGCTTCCTTATTTATATGAAGCATTTTTGCCAACCTCTTGGGCTGAAAAGGTTTGCAGAGTGGTTTACAGAAGGCAATAAAACAAGGCAGTCCATGCCCTAGGGGCTTATAATTAAAACATACAAGGCAAAAGGAAAAGGGGATGAGGAGGGAAGAGGAAAACAAGCAAACCCAGACACACTTTGTTAAAGTTGCACGGTTTCTTCTTACAATGGCCAGGTGGAATGGGAACATTTCAGGGTGGGGGAGAGGAGCTGATCTCAGCTGAGTGGAAGGAATGAGTGGTTCCACTTCCATCTCCTTCTGCTCTAGCAGAGTGGGGAGAACCATGTATGCCATCTTGAGTGCCTTGGAGGAAACGGTGAGGTAGGAAAGCAGTAAATAAATAATAATGTTACAGAAGCGTCTTGTGGTGTGACTTTTCGTCCCTCCCCTACTGGTATTACTAAAGGGCAAGAGGGAAGGACCTTCCTGTTCAAGTGCATCTTCTGACTTTGATCAGCACTGCATTGATACAAATACTCAACTTTATAATTCTGAAGCCTCTCTGGAATTTCTAGATGTTATAATAAAGGTGATAGTTAAATGACTTTAGCTGGTCAAATGAATAAAGCAGCAGTAGCTTCAGTCACATTGAGTTTGAATGTGTGATTTTATTTTATTTTAAAGCTGTATGAAAAGAAAGTATCACCTGCGTATCTTCAGAGCATTGAAGATGGCTACAAGAAATCTTTCCTGCCTCAGATAAGGTTAGTACGTGTTCACACGAAACAAGCACAGTTTAGTAAAACTGCTGTACATCAGCAGCTTTGTGTCATACTGTTTGTATTCTGGTTTTTAATGTACGATTGGCCTTTTAAATTACAGTGCAAATCTCAGCTTTGCTCTCTGTCAAAGAACTGAAAGAAAAGAACTGGATTGTGCTTCCCTCTTGGGTGTTTCCATTCTGATCTGTCTTAACCCTCTTTGCTCTACTTTCTATGCCTTGTGCCAACCTTGCCAGGTTCACATCTGGCTGCACTCTTTTTGCCCCATTTCAATTTGCTTCTGGACTTCTACTCCCACATCTTCAGGTGTGGCCTGTCTTAGTTGGTTCTTCATCTTCACACTGCATTTGTTTTTGCCCCCTTCTTGTCCTGTCCAAATCTACATCTTCTTAATTTTGCTTTCCAAACAACTCAATTTACACATTCTTTTCCGCCACATTATTTCAGACACTTCCACTTACCTTTGAAGAGATTAACTTAATTACTTCTTTTTTAAAAATTCTGTTTTGCTGCACCTTTCTGTTTCTGCTGTGGATCCTCCACCTTCCCAGATTCTTAACTCCTGTACTTGCTTAACCCATTTCAACAAGGGATTTCTTACTTTTAACTAATATTTTGTTTCTTGTATGTTTTTAGGCTATCGTTCTGCAAGTTGGAATTTATTTAATAAAACAATTTATATCTCGCCTTTCTGTGTTATTGAAAACATTCAAGGCATATTTAGTTGTTCTTGATTCCTGCATTGCTGGGGGTTGGACTAGATGACTCCTGGGTCCCTTCCAACTCTACAATTCTCTGATTTTGTAGCTTTTCCCTTCCGTATTTATTTCTTTATTCCTTATAAAAATGTTTATGTACCACTACGTCATAAAAAAAGTTATCACAGAAGTTAAACATAAAGCCATACAATAAAAGTCATAAAGAAGTTAAAAGCAGACATCAGTTAACCATTGTGGAGGGATGTGTTCTTAATTGCCTGCACAGGCCTGGTGGCATAGAAAAGTTTTCAACGGGCATTTAAAAGTTGGCACAGAAGGTGCTTGCTGAATCTCTAGTGGCAGGGCATTCCACAAGACTGGGCCAATGACACTAAAGGCTCAGCTTGTTGTCAAACGAGCCTCACCAAAATCTGCGATTACAGCTGTGTCTCTCAGCCGCTGCCGCCCTCCACCCCACCCTCTCCCAAGCATGTTGTTGTTGAAAGGTTGTTGTGTTACCCCAGAGGTGTCCTGCTGCCCCTCCAGAATCCATTCTCATCTCCTGCAGTTCTGGGATATGGCACATTCTGTAGCAACTCCATGACATACATGCAGTATGTGATTTGGGGGTTGCCTCTTGTTTCCCGAGACCATATAACACTGGTCCTGAAAGATCTTCATTGGCTCCCAGTACGTTTCCGAGCACAATTCAAAGTGTTGGTGCTGACCTCTAAAGCCCTAAAGATCATCGGTCCTATATACCTGAAGGAGTGTCTCCACCCCCATCATCCAGCTGAGGTCCAGCGCCGAGGGCCTTCTGGTGGTTCCCTTGCTGCGAGAAGTGAGGTTACAGGGAACCAGGCAGAGGGCCTTCTCGGCAGTGGCGCCTGCCCTGTGGAACGCCCTCCCACCAGATGTCAAGGCAATAAACAACTATCTGACTTTTAGAAGACATCTGAAGGCAGTCCTGTTTAGGGAAGTTTTTAATGTCTGACGCTGTATTGTTTTTAATATGCAGTTGGGAGCTGCCCAGAGTGGCTGGGAAAACCCATCCACATGGGCCGGGGTATAAATAATAAGTTATTATTATTACTATTACTATTACTATTACTATTACTATTACTATTACTGTTACTATTACTGTTACTGTTACTGTTACTATTATTATTTTCCTCCATATCAAATAAAGTGATTTAATGTTACCTTGTTTCCTTCTAGTGAGACTTCTGAGGTCTTGCAATATACCACAAGCGAGGCTGAACATGTGGAAAAAGTAAGTTGCCTTGAGCTGTCTCTCTCTTTGTGTGACCTCTTTTGCAGGATCCCTTCCATTGCTCTGATGGTGGTGGAGGCTGCTTGTGTGTTTATTGTCCATCTTTCCAGCTTTGCTTTGTCAGGTTCAGGAAGGATGAAATAAAGTGGGCATGTTCAGAGAAGTGCAGCTAGACTAGCAGAGCAAGCCGTTTGCAACACCCCCTGCCTGCTCGATCTAGCCAGGGCGGGTGTGTGTGTGTGTGTGTGTGTGTGTGAGTGAGAGAGAGCGAGAGCGAGAGAGATATTTCTCCTTTATTCCATTGTATTTCCTCCCTCTTGGTTTCTGTGGAAGTGGGAGTGAACTAACTGCATCAGCTGGAAGCTGACAGGTCTTTGTGCAACAAGCCTTTCAAGTAGGGAATTTCCCAGTCTGCATCTATATCAGAATTGGTTTTTGGATGTTTTTATTGTTTTATCAATCTGTCAGGGATTCTTTAGCTGTGATTCCTGCATTATAGGGGGTTGGATTAGATGACCCTTGGGGTTCCTTCCAGCTCTGCAGTTCTATGATTTTAAGAAAAGCAATGTGGCCGTCCCTGGGGGAAGGGTTGCATTAAGCTTACAAAAGGCCTTGGATTCTTGGTGTGTTTTATCACACATGCACCTTCACCTCTTCCCCTGGAGTATTGGGGGAGCTGTAGGAAGTAAGTGGCAAGAATCTGTCCCTCTGACTTCCAGTGAGGTTCAGAGGAGAGTGTCCTTTCCCCTGCAAGTGATCGAAGGGAGAGCTCATGGCTGAATGGAAGAACACCGCTTTTGCATGCTGAAGTTCTCAGATGGCTTCCTTGGTGATACTGCAGTGGCGTCTATGCTATGAAGTTATTAATATTGTGCTTTATTATTTTTCTGTGCGTGTGATTCTGAACTGTTAGCCACTTTGTGTTCCCACTGGGAAGGTAGGCAAATCACAGTATGATTGTGTCTTGTGGTGGGGGCATTCCATTCCAGGGATGGCACATAGATGCAAAAACGTATATATCTGAACTAATCCCTTGGAACTGCCCCCTACACAGACCATCCTTACCTTCTAAGCAAGGCAGAGATTTGATTGTACTGTAAACCAAAATATGGGGGGGGGGGGGTGAGTTACAGGATATTGGCTTGCTGGGAACAGGAATTGCTCAACCTCTCGTTTCCTTTCTAATCACCTTGCCTGAACTCTGCACTTAATGGAGTTCCTTGTTGCAGATTTTAGACCAGGCATCCCCAACCTTCGGCCCTCCAGATGTTTTGGACTACAATTCCCATCATCCCTGACCACTGGTCCTGCTAGCTAGGGATCATGGGAGTTGTAGGCCAAAACATCTGGAGGGCCGCAGGTTGGGGGTGCCTGTTTTAGATTTCCCACCGCATTTCATTCCAGTTCGTTCTCCAGGTTAAGCTGATTTTTAAAAACCCATCTAAACTCCGTACTTTAACGTCTGTGGTGCCGCATTTACCCCTTGGTCACCTTGGCCTTGCAGCCTTGTGGTAGCAGAGAAGCTCAGATGTCCTTGTGGAGAGCTGGCTGGTTGCATTGATGCTAATCCTTTTCTCTTGGCAGGTGATAGAAGATATTGAGTACCTGAAGTTCAACAAGGGACCTTGGCCCGAACAGGACGACGTCTCTTTTCATCACTTGAGGGTTCTGTAAGGATGGACTTTCTAACTAGTCTCCTTTCATGTTGCATCTCTTTCTACAGAAGCATCTCAGAGCCGCCTCCTGCTGTGGAGCGTGGCACAGCTTTAATGTTTCAGAATTGAATACATACAGCAGTGTTTCCTATATATTGGATTATTATTTTTTCCCCCAATGCAAAATTACAACAAAAATTACAAACATAAAATCCAAAAGAAGAAGAAGAAGAAACCCAAAACAAAACCATACCTACAAAGAAAACCATGCCATCATAATAATCTTTACGTACATATTGACTTCCTTCCTCTGTTTTGAGACCTCAAAATTTTTAATCTTTCTGAATTGTTGTCTAATGTAAATTACCTCTATCTTTATACCTTTTGCACCATTTTTCAATTTCTTTAACCCTGCAAAGCTTCATTCGTTACATACTGATATTCAATGTTTTTTCTTATATTCTTTAACACAATCCCATTCTTTTGCTAATTTTTGGTCTGATTGTCCCCTTAAGAATGCTGTGAATCTTGCCAGATTTATATATTCACAAAGTTTAATTTGCCTTTCTTTTATTGATGGGATTTCCCCCCCTCCCAGTTTTTTGCTATGAGCATCCTGGCAGCTGTTGTCGCATAGAGGAAAACTTTCCTTTGATTGCCAGGAATATCGTTTGTAATTATTCCTAAAAGGAATACCTCCTGTTTTTTACTAAAAGATATTTTAGACATCTTTTTGATTTCTTCATATATTTCATTCCAAAATTGTTTAATAGGTCGGCATTCCCACCACATGTGAAACATTGTTCCTATTTCTTTCTTGCATCTCCAACAGGTATTTGATTTATAAATTTTTGCCAATTGGATTATCAAGGCATACTCTTGATATATTTTTATTTTTTTATCTAGGATTGAAGTTGGAGGTGCTTCACAGTGGGGATTGCCTTCCCCTCAGGGGATGCTAACCTTGGTTTTTTATGCCCTCTGATTAGCAGCCAAGAGCAATGACTTGCAGAGGTGCAGTGGGCCTCTCCTATGGACAATACAGCTGCATTTCTGTGCCCTAGTTAATGGGCCACTCAGTTGCTAGGTAGAGATGCCCACCCTGTGCAGAGGCAAAGCAGAGTAGTGACTCATGCAGAGAGGCAGCAAGCACCCTTTGAAGCTGGTACTTAATTCAAGCCCAAGCCGAGAAAGGAGAAAAGCTGCCTGTCTATCCTGCTCTGTGGAACTCTGGCCTGCTTTTGGGTGAGTGGGTGGGTGGTAAACTCTGACGTTGATAGATTGAAAGGAGCATCTTATCTCCTTACCCCCCCCAAAAAAACCTGCCATTTTTCTCTCTCCTCCCCTCCCCCCCAGTGTGAATCCCCAAAGCTGCTGCCTTTTCAGTAAGCATAACCAAGTTGCTGTTGTTATTTTTTGCATGTTAGGGCACAGGACAAGTACAGTGTGATCCTTCCCACTACTCTCCCTTTCTACATACCTGAAATCACAGTGGGAGGCCTCGATGCTGACAAAGCGTTTACTGAATACAAGGAGGTAAGAGGAGAACATTCAGTGGTGGTACAGCAAAATGTAATTTTGGAAGGTGGCAGAAGAGGAACTCCCAAGAGACATCCTGCATATTTAAGGTTTAAGGTCCAGCATGCTGGTACTTTTTCATGGTGATGGGCTGTGAACCTTCATCTTGTCAATGTTCTTTTGGTTTTATGCTCGGATACTTCAGGTGCCTTGTACATACCACCCGTCTTTTTCAATTCAGCAATTTTTAAAATGAGGTTGTTTGATCCTCAGCTCAGCTTTTAGATCTGTAGCCTGAGAGAGGTGGTATTTTGCACACACAAAAATGTACAACTGGAAAAATTGGAAAAGTGGTATAATACAGAGTGGCTTGCCAAATTATTGGAGTATTACAATACATCCATATCGGAAGGATCTCAAAAGAGAAGATAGACAAGGACTGGAAGGTGTTTAAAGGATATTTGCAAAATCATATTGAAAAATCAGAACTCCTATTAGAATAAATAAGTTCCGTTATAAATACTGAAATACTAAATAAGATGGGTAACAATGTGCAACAGAAAAAGAAGTAGAAAGTTGGTTTAAAAGTGTGTGAAAGAAAGTAATAGAAGTGGAAAGAAATTGCAGTTGAGTAGATTGGAAGTCTAACACAAGGGTGGGGTGAGGGATGGTGGTGGGAAAAGTATGTGTGGGATAGAGTGTGGGTATGTATGAATATTTTTAAGGATTGTATAAAATGTATGTTTGTTTGTATATTTGTAATATGTTTTAATGTTGAATTATTTTAATAGAATGAATGTAAAAAATGTTTTTTTTAAATGTACACTGTTATGAAACAATAACTTGTGCCCAATCCCCCCCAAGAATTCTGAAACTTGCAGTTTTCTTAAAAAGGATTCTCTGGAGATCTGCAGCTGCGGTTCTTCATACAGCACTTAAACTTTGGCTGTCCCACAGGAGGCAGTGATGGCCACCAACTTAGATGGCTTTAAAAGAGGATTAGAGAATTTTCTGAAGGAAAGGACTGTTGATGGCTTGCTAGCTATGCTCTGCCTCCACAGTCAGAGACAACAATGCTTCTGAATGCCAGTTGCTGGGAACCACAGGAGGAGAAAGGGCTTTCATTCTCAGATCCTGCTTGCAGGCTTCCCATAGAGGCATCTGGCTGGCCACTGTGAAAACAGGAAGCTGGACTAGATGGGCCATTGGCCTGATCCAGTAGCCAGGCTCTTCTAATATTCTTATGAGAGAACCAGAGAGGAGAGGGAATGGCTATCAGTCCATTATAAGTTTGCGGGGTCAGTGTTTTCCACAGCCTGCTAAAAAAACATAGGGTTATGTTGAAAAACTGTGTTCAGTTCTGTTTGCCATCCTCCAAAGGGCTCTGAAAGGGCAACCAAAATATCATGAAGCTGGAACAGCTCCCTATGAAGGATGGCTACCACCTCGTGCCCACGTGGTCGGGCTTTTTCCAAGGAGAAAGGAACATTTTATTATGACAACACACTTAAGAAGTGTGTGTGTGTGTGTGATGAGAACATGGCAAGAGGTGCATAAAACCATGCATAGTATAGAGAAAGTGGAATGAGAGCAGCTTTCTCTGCCTCTCATATAATGCTAGAACCTAATGGGGTCATAAGAGATGCGGGTGGCGCTGTGGGTTAAACCACAGAGCCTAGGACTTGCCGATCAGAAGGTCGGCGGTTCGAATCCCGGCAACGGGGTGAGCTCCCGTTGCTCGGTCCCTGCTCCTGCCAACCTAGCAGTTTGAAAGCACGTCAAAGTGCAAGTAGATAAATAGGTACCGCTCCGGCGGGAAGGTAAACGGCGTTTCCGTGCGCTGTTCTGGTTCGCCAGAAGCGGCTTAGTCATGCTGGCCACATGACCCGGAAGCTGTACGCCGGCTTCCTCGGCCAATAAAGCGAGATGAGTGCCACAACCCCAGAGTCGGCCTCGACTGGACCTAATGGTCAGGGGTCCCTTTACCTTAATGGGGCCATGCAGCAAAGCTAAACTTTGGAGAAGCCGAAGGAAGAACTTTTTAATGCTGTGCCGCCACCGTGGAATTGGCTCTCACAAGATGTCGTGGCAGCCACCACCTTTGAAAAGGGAATTGTTTATGGCTACGAGCCACAGCGACAATATTCTTCTGCCTGTTTTCCTGGAGTCGGTATGCCTCTGAATGTCACTTGCCGGGAATCTAAAGTTCAGGAGAAAACGGCTGTGGCACTCGGGTCTCCCTTCCCATAGCCACCTGGCTAGCCACAGTGGGAACAGGATGCTTTGGCCTGATCCAGCAGGCCTGCTCTTATGTTTTCAGGGGAGTGATGACAAGAGTGAAGCTGTGCCCTTATCCTCATGGATCTTCTGTGCTTTCTACTGCAGCTTCCTGGACGTAAATACGAACAAGGCTACAACGCTGAGGCTGGCGACAAATGGATCTGGCTGAAATAACGGGTTGGTGGAGCTCCTGTTATCAGCCTGCCTTTTGTGGGTGATGCCTGAAGCTGGACCGACACGACCAGGTCATTGTCGAATGACCTTGAAAAGAACGAAATCTAAATCGCCTCCCATGCAAAGTAATTCTCAACTGAATCCCATTAGGAAGACTGATAAGTGATTGGCATGGCAGGTAGGCATGGCCCTGGGAATGTGGTCTTATCATCAGAATGGTGGCTGGTCCAGGAGCTTGGCTGGATTTCGATGAAATAAAACCCTTTACTCGTGCTATTTTCTTGGTGAGCATTTTTCTTTGCACAGCACATAGTTAAACTATGGAACTCGCTCCCGCAGGAAGTGGTGTTGGCTGTCAACTTGGAAGGCTTAAAAAGAGAATTAGACACATTCATGGAGCAGAGGGCTATCGATGGCAGCCAGCCACAATGCCTGCATAGTCGGAGGCAGCAATGCTTCTGAATTCCAGCTGGTGGAAACCACAGGAGGGGAAAATGTGATTGTGTTTGAATCCTGCTTGCAAGTTTCCCAGAAGAGGCATCTGGTTGGCCACTGTGAGAACAGGGTGCTAGACTAGATGGGTCCGTGGCCTGATCCAGCAGCTTCTTCTGTGTTCTTTCAGCAGGTTGTATGTGCAGTTACCTGAAGGCCCAGTCTGGCTCAGGAAGAATAGTGTGCAATCTCAGAGTAGATTGCTAGATTTCTCTTCTAGTGCCTGTGGTCTGTTGTCTTAGAAGTGGCTGGGCTGTGTCTTTTTTTTTTTTTTTTTAGGATGAATGTGCCAGGGAGGGCTTGAAAAATGACCAGTTCCCTCTATCCTCATCCAAACGTTTTCTTAGTGAGCATTTCTCACTTTTTCCTGCATTGGTTACTTCCAGACTGGAACGCTGCAATGCCCTCTGTGTGGGGCTTCCCTTGCGCTTGATCTGGAAGCTGTAGTTAATGCAGAATGCCGCAGCACGATTGCTGACAGAGTGAGGCCTTGTCAGCATAGAACACCTTTGCTCAGAGATTTGCACTACTTGCAAGATCACATTAGCGCATAGATACCCACTCAATTGACAGAACTGGCACTGTTACAGGTTCCATATAATACTCATTTCGTATTTGTAAGAAATTAATTTTTTAGTGTGGCAGCGGCTACACTCTGGGATTCCCTGCCATTTGATATCAGGCAGGTGCTTCCACTGTACTCTTTCTGGTTCTGTGCCCAGAAGATTTTTATTTAGACAAGGCTACCCAGACATGTAGAATATTGCTATATGTTTTAATCTGTTTTCAATTTATTGTTTTGCTTTAGGGTTTTTACTAGTAATTATTTTATTTCATTCTGTTTGTAAATTGCTTGGAGGTTTTGTTTTGTTTTTAATGATCAAACGGTGCATAGTTTTTATGAAATAATAAACAGAGGAGAGGCTAGAAAGGATTTAACAGTGTGTGCAGCTCTTACATCAGTCCTGACAAACAAATAACAAAGCAAGGACAAGACCTTTTTGAATAAAGCCACTTCACATTTAATTAAAAGGGGGTGGGGGTTAGAGAGGAAATCATTTTCACACAGATTCTGACATCAGCCGAAGTGGGTGGTGGAATAGGGTAGGCCGCTCTTCGCACTAGGAGGTCCTTATTTATAGATATGCTCACAGAATAGCAGTGAAAAGCAAGTAGAGGCCGGTGACTTCTAATAAATTACATTCTTTACATTTGCACAAAGTGGAGTGGCCAGGAGGGAGGAAATGTAAGGGGGGCAGCATGGCAGGGGCTGTGTGGAGGGAAAAGGCGTGAGCTGAACACTGGGCTCCTGAGCCAGGAAAGGCAGTTTCTCCCACAGCCCTGGGGAATGGCTCATTGGGCAGTCTTGGTGGCTGGATTTCAGGGCCAGGGTGCTGTCCTGCTGCTTCCCAGATGTTTGGGGCTGCAGCTCCCTTGAGCTCCAGACAGCACACTGGGAGCTGCCATCAAAAGCAGTTGGAAGGCGCCAGATGGAGGGAAAGCACCTCTCTCTTCATCTTCCTGACTCAAAAGATAAACTTGCTTGGGCCTAGGCTGCTGCTGCTGCTTTGATCCACCCCACCAAGGGCAGCGAACCCTTCCAGGCTCTTCTGCTCTCCCTCCCACAATGCAATGGCAGCACCCTTACGAGACTGAAAAGTGCCAGGACAGCATTGTGGATGGGAGGTTTTTGCTGGTGCAGTGCAGGACCCCTTAAGTGAGACAGGTAGGCCTGGCGCTGGTCTGGATTGGGGAATGTTCCTTGGAAGTGTGGCTTGAAGCACCCCTCTCCTCCTTGGCAAACTCTTCCCCCTCTTTAAATAGCCTCATGAAAAGTACCTCTGGATTTCAGTAATTTTACCAGTCAGTGAGAAGCCACCACTTAAGGGCTGGTAGATTTTGTGGAGGAAGGTGCTCACTGGGACAGTGCCCCCCTCTTGCTTTAGGGGTGTGTGTGTGTGTGTGTGTGTGTGTGTGTGTGTGAGAGTGAGTGAGAGAGAGAGAGAGAGAGAGAGAGAGAGATCTTTTCCACCCCATCTGGAAGGGGCCCAAAGGATCACGTAGTCCAACTGTGCTGACTTGTGGGCCCTGGTAGTTCAACACGCACGGGTGCTTGTGTATTGCACACAACCACTTGTGTGCTCCCTGGGGCAGGGGGAGTGTGATGGTGATGGGCAGAAAACCTCCAGGAGGAGGAGATGGGGGTGGGCAGGTGCTTCTCATCTCTTGGTGAGCAGAAATGTGTGGCAGTGTAGAGACAGCCTAGTCTCCTCGTGTCCTGGCTCTCCCTGCTCTCTCTGGGTTGAGACTGACGGTTGTTTGGCTCATAAAGAAAGCAAGCCTGTCTGGGTACGGAAAGCGACAGAGCAGCCTGGATCTTGCCCATGAAGTGGCTGCACTCCCAAGGTGATCCTTTGCAGAGCCTGGCCTCTATGCCCAAGACAGAAGGGGCCGGCTAGGAGGCTCCTGTCCCTTGGCATAAATGCAGCTGCCTTGCATGACTTAAACTACCTGTAGTAGCTTCTGAGAGACCCAGGGCTGTGGCACAGAGTTGTGGGCCTTGCGGTAGCTGAAGCAGAAGAGAGCTCTCACTCCTCCAGCTTTTAGGGTTGAAGAAGAAGAGGAGTTTGGATTTGATATCCTGCTTTATCACTACCCCAAGGAGTCTCAGGTGGCAATGTGGGTTAAACCACAGAGCCTAGGACTTGCCGATCAGAAGGTCGGCAGTTCGAATCCCGGCAACGGGGTGAGCTCCCGTTGCTCGATCCCTGCCCCTGCCAACCTAGCAGTTCGAAAGCACGTCAAAGTGCAAGTAGATAAATAGGTACTGCTCCGGCGGGAAGGTAAACGGCATTTCCGTGCGCTGCTCTGGTTCGCCAGAAGCGGCTTAGTCATGCTGGCCACATGACCCAGAAGCTGCATGCTGGCTCCCTCGGCCAATAAAGCGAGATGAGCGCTGCAACCCCAGAGTCGGCCACGACTGGACCTAATGGTCAGGGGTCCCTTTACCTTTAAAGAGTCTCAAAGTGGCTAACAATCTCCTTTCCATTCCTCCCCCACAACAAACACTGTGAGGTGAGTGGGGCTGAGAGACTTCAGAGCAGTGTGACTAGCCCAAGGTCACGCAGCAGCTGCATGTGGAGGAGCAGGGAATCGAACCCAGTTCACTAGATTACGAGTCCACCGCTCTTAACCACTACACCACACTGGTTGTGCAGGAGCAGGGGCATACCCAGGCTTTGCATCAAGCCACCTTCTCTGCAGTCCTTTCCACAGGACTAGCATGAAGCTGTGGAGACAGGGCAGGTAGATCTGTGTACGTACGAGTGCAGGGTATGTGGAGGGGGAGGCACATAGGCAGGCCTGAACCACGGGCATGACAGCAGCAGGTAAATGCATTCCTCTCTTCAGACACATCCTCAAAGTCTCACTGAGTAGAGCTTGCAGGGTAGGTGGCAGGGCCCCCCAGATTTTGGGGTGGGGGGGCAGGCAGCAGGTGCAGCACAGAAGAATGTTACAGCCTAGATGGTTGGGATGGCAGGGTAGAGGGAGAGCAGGAAACAGGTGCCACATACAGCTGGCCCAGGACCAGCTTGCAGGAAGAGTTGGGAATGCTGGGGCAGAAATGGGTAGAGGAAGCTGGCCTGGAAAGGGAGCTTTTGGCAGCGGGGAAGAAACTAGAACCATAGAGTTGGAAGTGACTCCAAGTGACCTAGTCCAACCCCCTGCAAAACGGGGGCCTGGACACATGCCTTGATTCCAAATGAAGCCCACCTCTATGCCCTTCTCCATGCCTGCGGACACCGTGGTAGTGGCTGCATTCCTCCTGTAGACAGAGTGGCCACGAAATACTTCCGTTTGTCCAGTAGGGGCAGGAGCTAGCAAAGGAAGCTTTTTTTCTTTTTGCTGGGGAGGGAGCCATCACCCTGCTGCTTGGTAGCCATTTAGATGAGAAGCAGCCCCAGGTCACGTTCACTCCAGTGGAGGCTAGGCACGTCCAGTGCAAGGGGGCGGAAATCAGTGGGAGAGTGTGGCAAGGCTGCCCCCTGTGAGAAGAGGATGCTGGGGCAGAGAGAGCCTCTTCAATCTGGTCCTGCTGCAGGGTGGGAGTTTGCCTGGTGCCATGATGCTCAGATCTGCCCGCTGGGCCAAGTCGGGGACTCATTCTTGCCCAAGTTTAGAAAACCTGATGGGTCTGTGTGCCAAAGGGGGGGAGAGGATGCATGGTCTGGGAGTAAAGCCAGCAACGGAATGAGCTTAAGGGTGGCAGCACAGAACACCTTATCTCCACCCTGGCCTCTTCCCACCCCACACATGGCTGCTGTGATTTTCACCAGGGTGGGAGTGGGGAAGGGACTTGGCACCCCCCACAGCCGCTGCCACATCCAGCACAGGGTGCTCACCACTCTTTTCCTGACCCACTTTTCCTCTGCCCCAAGAGTCAAGGCATGGCAGCCACCTCTGCAGTGAGGGTGGTTGGGTGGTGGTGGGGAGAAAGGAGCAACGTCCCTTCGAACGAGCTCGAGAGTAGCCCTAAAGCGTCTGTGATGAAAGACGGGTCGGCACACACGCACGGAGCGTCACGCCGGGCATGTCGGCTCTGCGCAGGGGCCGGGATCAGAAGAGGAAGGCTTTCTTCTTCAGCTCATTCCGCTTCCACAGGGCCAGCTTGCCAAATTCGTCCGGCGACATCTCGAACGCGCGCAGGAAATCCTCGGCTGACAGGTGGCGCTGGGATGGGGAGAGAAGGAAGAAGGCTTGCTCATTCATTCATTTGCTCATTTCATCTGATTCATGAAACCACTCGAGTGGCTTGAAGTCAAGGCATGTGAAAAGTTAAAATAACTTTTTAGAAGCAAATGAAAACCTGAACCAACTTTCTAAAGCATTTGGGTAAAGGTAAAGGGACCCCTGACCATTAGGTTGCGGCGCTCATCTCGCTCATCACCCGCATCCCATAAACATTTGGGTAGGCGCTGCAAAAGGCTACAGTGAATGTGCCTGCTTGAAATCAATCGGCAGGGAGTTCCAAAGGGTAGGTGCTGCCAGGCTGAAAGATAAGAGAGTTCTTACAAATGTGGAGCCTATAACAATGCCGAAGTGGTTGAGTGGGCACGTAGGGGGGTACGGCAAGGTGCTTGTCTGGAAAGCTGTTGTATCTCATGTCAGATTCAAAGAACATGGGAAGCTGCCTTATCTTGAGTCAAGACAAGTGGTTTGCCTAGCTCAATATTAAGCACACCAACTGGTGCCTTGCAGAAATTGGACCACAGCTCCCATCGTCCCTGCCCACTGGCCATGCGGGCTGTTGAGGATGCTGGGAGTTGAAGCCCAACAACATCTGGACCTTCTTACCCCACATGTGGCCCCTCTGCTGCTTCAATCAGCAGGACAGGCGCAGTTACAAGTGCCCCATAATACCTGTTCCACATTTGTAAGAACTTGATATTTTAGTGTAGCAGCACCCAAACTTTGGAACTTGATGCCTATTGACATCAGGCCTTTACTCGTTTCAGCACTTGCTAAAAACATTTTTCTTTAAACAAGCCTGTCCAGATGTTTAGAAAGTTGATGCGAGTCTTAATATGTTTTTAGTCTCTGGTTATCTTAACTTTTCCAATGTCTGGTTATTTCTTGCCAATTTAATTGCTTTTTCTTTTCTGTAAGCCCTTTTGAGTTTTTCTGACAATCGAGTGGCTTATACATTTTCTAAAACAACAACAACAACTACTACTACTACAACAATAATACAGTCATACCATGGTTGTCGAACAGAATCCGTTCCAGAATTCTGTTCGACTTCCGTAAAAATTCAACAACCAAAGTGCGGCTTCCGATTGGCTGCAGGGGCTTCCTGCATGCAATCGGAAGTCATATAATCCGCGGTGGATGTTTGGGTTCCAAAGAACGTTCGCAAACCGGAACCGGAACACTCGCTTCCGGGTTTGCGGCGTTCAGGCGCCAAAATGTTCAAGTCGCGAGGCATTCAGAATCCAGGGTACGACTGTAATAATGATGATGTTGATAATGATAATAGCAAGGAAGTGATTTGGAGGGTGCCAGGGTTGAGAAAGGTAGATCTGCACCGGCGCTCTTTCTTTGTACCTCTAGCCTTGTCCTGTCCACGCCTGGAGGCAGTTTCACTCTTCCCCGATTCGTCACCATCAGCATCTCGTAAGGGTAAATCTTCAGGGAGGAAGAAAAGCAAAGTTGACGAAGGGGCCACTTGGTTGCATTTCTTTGTGGGCGCATCAGGACACATTAGCCCCATGCGAAAGGACAGTGGATATTCCCCCATGGCCCCAGGGGCGATTCTCACCTTTTGCTCCAGCATACTAGGAAGGGAGTTTCCCCTGTCCATCCGCCCTCTCTGGCCGTTCTGCGGAGGGAAAATAAACCCAACACAGTTGCAGGGCCTTCTCCCACAGAAAGAGTGCTTGGCATGGCTGTGGACCCACAGGAGGCAGCCAGTTGCACCACCTTATTCCGTCCTGGCCCCCCTCTCAAACCCTCCTCAGCCTTCCTCTGGGATTTGGGTGAGACGCTGTCACTCTCCCGGGTATCCTTGAGGAAACTGGCTTGATACATCACCTCTCAGGGGGACCACCTGTGGCTGGACATGTGTGCTCACCTGTAGACCTGCAAGACAGAAGGAAAGGGGATGAAGGTGACAAGACAACAGTCCCCTGCCATCTTCTTCAGTTGGTTCATTGCTAAGTGGCCAAGACCACTTAGTGTGATTCCTGCATTGTGGGGGGTTGGAGTAGATGACCCTCTGGCAGGGTTCGAAATTAGCAGGGTGCCAGGCGCATTTCGCACCTGAAGATTCTCCGTTTGTGAGCACCTCAAAAAGTCTGGGTGCTTTATTTTCACGCCTGGCTGACACTCAAGGATTACTGAAATGTATGTGCATCGAAGTACAGTGGTACCTTGGGTTACATACGCTTCATGTTACATACACTTCAGATTACAGACTCCGCTAAGCCAGAAATAGTACCTCGGGTTAAGAACTTTGCTTCAGGATGAGAACAGAAATCATGCTCCGGCGGCACGGGGGCAGCAGGAGGCTCCACTAGCTAAAGTGGTGCTTCAGGTTATGAACAGTTTCAGGTTAAGAACGGACCTCCGGAATGAATTAAGTACTTAACCCGAGGTACCACTGTATATGTTAAGGATAGGCAATATGTTAATAAAAAGAGTGTTTTGAAAACTGAAGTATGGTACCCATATTTTTTATTGCAAACACCAAATCAAACATGTATTAGCAGTTTCTGCTTAAAATGTGATATTGACAATGTGCCACTTATGTGAATTGCTTATTATTATTTCATGCTTATCAAAATAATAAAAAGTGTTGCCAAACACTCCCCCTCCCCCAAATGGCGACTAGACATTCTGTTTTGGCTCCTGCAACCCAGGTCCCAGGAGCCATTTGGCTCCTAGCTTTTCTGTCCCAGTTTCTAACACTGCCCTTGGGGGTCCCTTCCCACTCTACAATTCTGTGAGCGGGAGGGAGGTCAGAAACAGCTCAGAAGTAGCAGAAGAGGGTCCAAGCTAGGGCAGGTGACTGATGTCAGCAGATGAGAGGTCTGCCTTTGCCCCACCCCAACCCCGTAGCTTTGCTTACCTGGGCTCCCTTTCTCGCTGCCGGCAGGACTGAACTCTGTGGACTGCAGCTGTAGAACGTGGGAAAAAGCAGGAGAAGAGTCAGGGTCACCCACAGAGACATGCCAACCTTGGTGGCATGAAGAGAGCGGGTGCTTTGATCTTTCCTAGGTCACATCCAGACCACACATCTAAAGCACACATCACTTTCCCCAAAGACTCCTGGGAACTACAGCTTTGTGGGAGAAAGGCAACCGATTCCACATGTCCATGATGTGATTGTGCCTTTATTACTCAGGTTTTCTGCTTGTGGCAGAAGGATTCCACACCCCCCCACCTCCGAATAATGGCAGGAGATGTGGGCTACTTGTGGGACCTCAGCCCCAGGCCAGCAGGTCTCTCTGCAGGGCCAATGCCAGCTGTGCGATTCTTGGTCAAAGATGGCGTGGATCAGAATTTGACAGCCATCTTCAAATACCTGAAGAGTTGCCCCATGCAAGATTGAGGGGACGACCGAAATCACAGGGATTCAAAGGGCAAGAAAGGAGATTCCAATTAAATACAGTCGCACCTTGGAAGTCGTTCCGGAAGTCCGTTTGACTTCCAAAATGTTCGGAAGCCAAATCGCTGCTTCTGATTGGCCGCAGGAAGCTCCTGCGGCCAATCAGAAGCCGCAGAAGCCCCGTCGGATGTTCAGCTTCCAAAAGAATGTTTGCAAACTGGAACAATCACGTCTGGGTTTCGGGCGTCTGGGAGCCAAAATGTCTGAGTTCCAGGGCATTCGGGATCCAAGATATTAGGAAGAACTTTCTGACTGTAAGAACAGTTTACTAGATAGCACTGTAATTCTTACAGCACAATATACATGATTTAGTAACAAATCATGTTTTTGTTACTAAATCATGTATATTATGCATTAAGAATTACAGTGCTATCTAGTATACTGGCCTGCGTGTTGCTTGTATTGTTTGTTGTGTTTAGTTTGCAACACAGGGGTTTGTTGTTCTGTATCGTAAGAACAGTTTGACAGTGGAACAGACTCTCTCGGAAGACAGTGTTGGACCCTCATTCCTTGGAGGTCCTTAGATGGCCACCTGTCAGGAATTCTTCAACTGTGGTTCCCTGCATTGCAGGGAGTTGGACTAGTCAGGGGTCAGCAAACTTTTTCAGCAGGGGGCCGGTCCACTGTCCCTCAGGCCTTGAGGGGGGCCGGACTATATTTTTTGGGGGAAATGAACAAATTCCTATGCCCCACGAATAACCCAGAGATGCATTTTAAATAAAAGGACACATGTAAAAACAGGCTGATTCCCAGACCGTCCGCGGGCCAGATTGAGAAGGCGATTGGGCCGGATCTGGGCCCCGGGCCTTAGTTTGCCTACCCATGGACTAGATTCTCCAACTCCCTGTTGTTGCTTCCCAGCTCTACAATTTTATGATTCTATGGTTTCAGAATGGAAGCAGGCACAAGAGGTACAGGCACAATTTGGAAGGGCGGCCCTTCTTGTGATCATTGAGATTATTTCCACCGCCTCAGATTAGACTGTTCTTGAGCCCTCTCTGCACCAGCAAGACAAGACTGCTTTCATAAAAAGGAAACCGAAGGACTTCTAGATGTGTGGAATATGCACATTCCCTCCAAACACCTTCACTTTTTCTACTTCCATCCAAGGGATAGAGCAGAGATGGGCAGTGTGTCTCAACTCAAGACTTGCACCATGTTGTGGATAATCTTCTCGGGTCTGCATTCAACAGAGCTCAGGGCGAGTGGCAAAACAGGTCAAAGCGGCAAATGCATTGCTCTCATTTCATAGCAGGCTACATACCGTATTTTTCCCTCTATAACACGCACCCGACCATAACACGCACATACTTTTTAGAGGAGGAAAACAAGAAAAAAAATATTCTAAACGAAACAGTGGATGTATGATTTTTGTGGTTCATGCTGTGGCCACAGACATGTGATCTGACGGTGAGTTTGGAGTAGCCCAATGCAAAAAAAGGATGCTGCTAATAATGCAGGCGAGGGGTGAGAAGGAACACGTGTGGGGTGGGTAGAGAAGGATGCTGCTAATAATGCAGGCGAGGGGTATAAGAGGAGAAGGCTCCTCTCCTCTCCCGCTTTGCTCCTTTGAAGCAAGCAGGCTCTGCTTCTCTCTCACCTCCCCGGCTTTGCGAGCTGAAAAACTTTGCTGCTATTTAGTGAGCTGAGTGGGGAGGAGAGAGGGACAGAGAGCCTGCTTGCTTTAAAGGAGCCATCCAGATAGGAGCTGCTTACACCCGTGTAAGCGGCTCCTCTCCTCTCCCGCTTTGCTCCTTTAAACCAAGCAGGCTCTCTGTCCCTCTCTCCTCCCCACTCAGCGGCTCTTCTCCCGCTTTGCTGTTTCAAAGCGAGCCACGGAGGAGGGAAGGAAGGGGAACCATGGATCCTCTGCTCACGACTGCAGCAGATCCCCCCGCCATCTGTAGGCATTCGCTCCATAACACGCACAGACATTTCCCCTTACCTTCTAGGAGGAAAAAAGTGAGTGTTATGGTGCAAAAAATACGGTACATTCCAGCAGCACAAAAGTCACACACAAACACCATCTCCAGGCAGGCAGGCAAGGGGCATTATAGCATTTCATGGGCCCAATCCAGCTCGTGAAAGCGCTTGCAGTGAGTGCAACCGTGGGTTGGGGAAAGTCCCAAGAGAAGAAAGGGGAAAGAGAAAAGTCTTTCTCTGTCACAACACTAGAACTCGTGGAAGCTGAAGGACTATGATGGACTACGCCGAAATGGCGAAACTGACTGGGAAAATCATAAGCCAGGAATTTTAAGAAGGAATGGGGAAAATTTATAATGTGCTCAAGAGAACACCGTAAACAATTTTTAAAACTTTGGCAGGATTTGAGTAATGCTTGTAACGTATGAAAAACCCTGGAAAAATGGGTTGTTATTCTTTTAACAAATTAGAGAAAATAAGATAAGCAGATTAAAATAAAATAAAAGATTGATAATGGTAACCGTGGAAGGGCAGAGGGAAGTCAAGAGATTCAGAGAATATAAATGAGGAGGTGAATGATGTGTTTGAATTTAAATTTGTTATGTAAAACTTAATAAAAATATATTATATATATATATATAAAAGGACTCATAGAAGCTGAAGGTTGGAAGGTAGAGCAGAGGCCCCTAACTGGCACCTTACCCTGGCGAGGGTGCTTCTCCCATAGGCAGGAAGGGAGGAAGATTTCGAGCTTCCGCCGTGAAGAGCTGGAAAAAGAGGAAGACCAGCGATTAATATGGCTGGGGAAAAGGCTCCTTTGAATCTGGGTTGAGCAACAGTTCAGGAACATGCACAGATGGTAGCACTGGAAGGGAGCTTGGGAAACGGGCAGGCTGTGGGGTTGCTGCTCAGGGCGGCCACATGAGGAGGAGCTCTGGCCAAGGGGCACATCTGCTGCTCTAGACCAGCCTTCCCCAACCGGACTACAGCTCCCATCAGCCCCAGGCAGCACAGCTCTTTGGTGCAGGGGCTGATGGGAGCGTGGCCAGGCTGGCAAGGACTGATGGGAGTTGTAGGCCACAGCACTTGAAGGGCACCAGGGACAGCTCTCATGGGGCCAAATGCTCAGGCACACTTGCAAGAGGGCAGCCGCCTCTGTGTCTCCTGGGCTCTTTTGGCCAAACCTGCTTCTTCACACAGCACACAGCTGAACTGTGGAACTCTCTGCCACAGGATGCAGTGACAGCCACCAACCTTTAAAAGAGGATTAGACAAATTCATGTACCCACTGCCTTGTGGGACATCTTTCAGAGAAGAAAAGGCTAAGGTGTAAATCCTACACAAATCCCAAGTCCCTAAGACTGTTGGATGGCGTATTGAATGCCTCCTTCCAGCAACTCCTGCAGCCAATCTGGTGTCAAATGCATTGGTCTACTCTCCTGTAGACCACTCCAGTGTGGCTGAGAGGGGGGTCTTGTCGTCTGGGCAGCCCAGGACCTCCAGACACACTGCCCAGGCTTGCGTCACTTTGGTGCAGCTAACACAGCAAAAACAATATAGGGGAGGCAGCAGTTATGAGTTACCAGTCTCTTCAGCCACAGCAGGCACTGTGGACACATGACCCCTGGAGGCACACTCCATTGTCTCATGGGGGAGAGGTACTATCTTTGAAGGTTCTGCTATGCCTTCACAAACAGAGGCAACTATGAGAACAGGGCGCTGGGTCTGGATGTGCCATTAACCTGATCCATCAAGCTCTTCTTATTCCCAGTCATTCATTCAGCCTGCATTGGGAATATGGGTGGGCAATTCTGGGTATGGCTTGTTCACTCAGCCACTCTCCCCAGGAGAGGACAAAGTGGTGTCCTGTTGTGTGCCAATCTCAACTTTTCCTATGGTTTCCTTCTGTAGATCACGGCAGGAGTACCGTTGGCGTAAACTTGATATAATACATATATCTGCATGCAGAAGGCCCCAGGTTCAATCTCTGCCTGAAACCCTGGAAAGCGATTGCTTCCAGTCTGTGAAGCTAGATGGACCAGGTCTTGCGTTCTTGCATCTTGTGCTGACCTTTAAAGCTCTAAGTGGCCTGAAGGAGCGTCTCCACCCCCATCGTTCAGCCCGGACACTGAGATCCAGGGCTGAGGGCCTTCTGGTGGTTCCCTCCCTGTGAGAAGCGAGGTTACAGGGAACCAGGCAGAGGGCCTTCTCGGTAGTGGCACCCGCCCTGTGCAATGCCTCCCATCAGATGTCAAGGAAATAAGCAACTATCTGACTGTTAGGAGACATCTGAAGGCAGCCCTGTTTAGGGAAGTTTTCAATGTTTGATTTTTTGGTGTGTTTTCAATATTCTGTTGGGAGCCCCCCAGAGTGGCTGGGGAAACAAATAAAATATTATTTGTACAAATAAATTATTATTACTATTATTATTATTATTATTATTATTATTAGTGGCATAGCAGTTAAGAGTGTCGGCTGCAGACCTGGGAGACCAGGGGTCAAATCCCCACTCAGCCATCATGAATCTTACAGGGTGAACTGGGTGACCTAACCTGCCTGGCAGGGTCGTTGACAGGATAAAAAAGGGAAGAAGAGAACCATGAATGTGTCAGGAGTTCAGCCTACACTCGAGTAGGACCCTGGCAGAGACACATGCCCGAATGGCATGTTCTCTCCCTCCTGGTCAATTGTTCGGAAGCTTCATAAGCTTTCTTCTGCCCAAACATCACAGTGACCGATGCCAACCGACACCGGCACACTTAGGGTTCTGCAGAGTTTGTGCACCTTGCGTGACAGACCTCAGCAACTCAGCATTTTGGCTAATCTACTTTATTTACATATAAACACACACAGAGCACTGCAACATGGCTCCCTCTCTCTCTAGCATCAGACAGCAAAGAGAAAGAACAAAGGACAATAGTCCCACTTCACGGAACACAGTAACACAAACATCCTGTCTCTGTCACTTCCCACTCTGTGGAATGAAAACATACACCATCATGTGATAGACAACAATCCCATGACTGCAATCATAGAGCAGGAATTCTAACAGAGTGCTATCTTGAGCACCTCGGAGTAAAGGGTGGATTATAAATGCAAACAAACAAACAGGGGTGCACGAAAGATGTGCCCTTCCTGTTTCAAGACAAAAAGAATGGGAAGCATGGGAAATCAGCCCCTGGTTTTAGCAGGGGGTGAGGTAGGGGTTGCTTACTCACAGGAGTGGAAGGGCGTCCGGTCTGGAAGGGAACGGGTTTTCCTCCGGATGGGGAGCGACTTCTCCATCTCCTCCTTGAGGATGAGCTTGCCGAGGTTGGAGGCCACCTGGCGGAGAGAGAGAGTGGGGACAGGGAGCTCAGCCACACAAGGAGCCACCGGCACCCAGGAGAGCCCCCCACCCGGCTTCACCTGCCCCCAAGCCCCCTGCCCACCTTGCTCAGCTCTTGCTTCTGCAACTCTCGCAGGCTCCCCAATTCTTCTGTGCTGTCCTCATCCTCGTCCTCGCCTCTTTTGGAGGCCATCCGCCGCCGCCACTCAGTCTCTGCAGAAAGACAAGGCAGGAGGGTGTCTCACATGCGGCAGACAGCTTCTTGGGCGGAGGATTTCCTCACCTTCAAAAATGATACCCTCCCTCCCCGATTTCAGAAGAGATCGTCCCCAGGTGAGTGTGCTTAGGGCCGAAACCTTGTAGTATCCATTTGGGGAGGGGAAGATGAAAGGGACCAAAGAGGGTGAAGCTAGGACTCTATAAAGCCCTTAGTAACGTGGGGCCAGTTTACCTGAGCATTCCCATGGATTACTTCGCTGCTAGATTACTGCTATGCGCTCTGTGTGGGGCTTGCCTTGCACCTGATCTGGAGGTTGCAATGAGTGTAGAATGCTGCAACACAATTGCTGAAAGGCTTTGGCAGCACAGAACACCTGCGCTGATAAATCTGCCCTGGTGGCCAGGTTCAAGGGGTTGCTATTCTTATACCAACCACCCTTAACAACATGGGACCCAAATTTTAAAAAAATAAATAAATCCTTCCAGTAGCACCTTAGAGACCAACTAAGTTTGTTCTTGGTATGAGCTTTCGTGTGCAAGTGTGCATGCACACGAAAGCTCATATCAAGAACAAACTTACTTGGTCTCTAAGGTGCTACTATGGACTGCAAGAAGATCAAACCATTCTGAAGGAAATCAGCCCTGAGTGCTCACTGGAAGGACAGATCCTGAAGCTGAGGCTCCAATACTTTGGCCACCTCAAGAGAAGAGAAGACTCCCTGGAAAAGACCCTGATGTTGGGAAAGATGGAGGGCACAAGGAGAAGGGGACGACAGAGGATGAGATGGTTGGACAGTGTTCTCGAAGCTACCAGCATGAGTTTGACCAAACTGCGGGAGGCAGTGGAAGACAGGAGTGCCTGGCGTGCTCTGGTCCAGGGGGTCACGAAGAGTCGGACACGACTAAACAACTAAACAACAACAACAAGGTGCTACTGGAAGGATTTTTTTATTATTATTTTGTTTCGACTACGGCAGACCAACATGGCTACCTACCTGGAACTAGAACATGGGACCAGTTTGCCTGCGAGATCACCTCACCCCATATACGTCTGCTCAGCCGCCACAATCTGTGCAGCTGGCATTATTACAGGGCCATATAATACCTGTTCTTCACTTGTAAGAAACTGGTCATTCAGTGTGGCGGCGCCTGCACTTTGGAACTCACTGCCTATTGAGATCAGGCAGGCGCCTTCACTGTATTCTTTTGGGTGCCTGCTGAAAACATTCTTGTTTAGACAAGCCTGCCCTGTAGAATGGTGATATATGTTTTAATCTGCTTTTATTTATTTATTTTGAAGGTTGTAAATAGCTGTTTTGGAAATGCAAAGGATCTCTCAAGGAATCGCTACCGTTTAAAACTGCTAGTACCTAAAATGGGCACAAGATATAGGACACAATATACAATTTGAAGACTGGGAAAAGTTGTGGAAGGTAGATCTGAAATTTACAGACTGTTCTCTTTTGAAAGAAAATTACATGAAAATGATGTATAGATGGTATATTACACCAGTAAAAATGGCAAAAATGTATAAAACCTGGTCAAATACATGTTGGAAATGTAAAGAAAAAGAAGGTACTTTGTATCATATGTGGTGGGAATGTAGAGAAGTTAAAAATTTTTGGGAGATGATATATAATGAATTGAAAAAAATGTTTTAAATGACATTTGTAAAAAAACCAGAAGCATTTTTGCTAGGGATTTTAGGACAAGACCTGCCAAAGAAAACAAAGAACTTATTTATGTATGCTACAACAGCGGCAAGCGTCTTGTTAGCACAAGGATGGAAGAATGAGGAAATCCCAATGAAAGAACAATGGCAAGAAAAACTGATGAGCTATGCGGAGCTGGCAAAGTTGACATATAAACTGCGGGAGAAGGACAATCGTGATTTTAAGGAAGAATGGGAACTATTTACAAACTATTTGAAAAGACAACAAAAGGATTTGGTCTCCTTGGCAGGTTTTGAATAAACACCCATAAATTCGTTAGTATTCATTAGTAGAACATATGATAGTAGTAGAACATATGATAGACAAGGAAGAAAATCTGTACAATTTTACAACATGCAGAGAATAATATGTAAAAACAAATCAGAGAGGGGAGCTGAGGGAAGTCTCTGGAGGGTGGGAAAGGGAGGGGGAAAATGTAATTGGTTATATTGGTTTATAAATTGATTTGCTAAAAGTGATTAATAAAAAATATTTTTTGTTAAAACTGCTAGTACGAAGCAGCAACCTCGTCAAAGAAAAGGAAAGCAGTATCCAGCCTCTGCTCGATTCTTTCCCTCATTATCCAACATCCTCTACGCTAATCTCTCACAAGCAAACTTGAAAGCCTTGTTATCGCCTCATTCGTTTGCCAGACAAAGGAGACCAATCGCCCTGGCACCTTGCCAGATGGCAATATTGCTCCAGTTCTGGGAAAAAAGCCCCACAGCTATGCTCCCCTGCATTCCCCCATCCACTACCCCACTGGCTGACAGAAAAACACAGCAAGGACCACCTACCCACAACTGCCAAGGAGGGCGGGCAGGGCCAGTAGTCCGTCTCAATCTTGGCCGGCTGGTTGGGGTCGGGCGGCTGGGCAGCCGGGAACTTGGAGGATTCGATGATCAGGTCCTCAATCAGGTGCTTGCTCTGTGGGGTTGGCGTCACCGACTGCTCTGCAAGGTGCAAAGGGGGGGCAGGTGACTCTGAGCCTCTGCTGTGTGTAGCCCCACCTTTGCCCACCCTAGAGGTCATCGGGGAGCACCACCTACCTCTCTGCTTGTAGATGGGGGGCTTCTTGTAGATGTTCATCTCTGCCGTGTTGGTATCTGGGGAAGGAACAGGGAAGTGCTCAGGAGACGCAGCAACTGGTTTGGGGCCACTTCTCAGGGAGACCCCCGAGGTGGTTTTCCAGCCTGCTGCTGCCCATATTTCTCCTTTTAAAGGTAAAGGGACTCCTGACCATTAGGTCCAGTCGCGGACGACTCTGGGGTTGCGGCGCTCATCTTGCTTTATTGTCCGAGGGAGCCAGCACACAGCTTCCGGGTCATGTGGCCAGCAGGACTAAGCCGCTTCTGGCGAACCAAAGCAGCGCACGGAAACGCCGTTTACCTTCCCGCCAGAGCGGTACCTATTTATCTACTTGCACCGGTGTGCTTTCGAACTGCTAGGTTGGCAGCAGCAGGGACCAAGCAATGGGAGCTCACCCCGTCGCAGGGATTCGAACCACTGACCTTCTGATCGGCAAGTCCTAGGCTCTGTGGTTTGAATCCCCGCAATGGGGTGAGCTCCCGTTGCTCGGTCCCTGCTCCTGCCAACCTAGCAGTTCGAAAGCACGTCAAAGTGCAAGTAGATAAATAGGTACCGCTCTGGCGGGAAAGAAAACGGCGTTTCCGTGCGATGCTCTGGTTCTCCAGAAGCGGCTTAGTCATGCTGACCACATGACCCGGAAGCTGTACGCCGGCTCCCTCGGCCAGTAAAGCGAGATGAACACCGCAACCCCAGAGTCGGCCACGACTGGACCTAATGGTCAGGGGTCCCTTTACCTTACCTTTACCTTGGTTTACGAACTTAATCCGTTCCGGAAGTCCGTTCTTAAACCAAAGCATTCTTAAACCAAAGCATGCTTTCCCATAGCAGCGGGAGACTCAATTTACAAATGGAACACACTCAACAGGAAGCAAAACATGTTCTTATTCCAAGGAATAGTTCACAAACCAAAATGCCTACTTCTGGGTTTGCAGTGTTCTTAATCCACGTTGTTCAAAAACTAAGCTGTTCTTAAACCAAGCTACCAGTGTATTTTTATTTTCTTCATCATCTTTTATATCCTGCCTTTTTCCCAGACTGGGACTCAAGGCGGTTTACACAAATTACAACACCACCAATTAAATAAGTTAAGAAACATATAAAAAGTAATTAAACTCTAATAGAATTAAACAATTTTAAAAACTCGTCTATTAAAATACAAATAATAAAACAGCACAGCACTTATTAAAAGCCCTTTCCTTAAAAAACAACAGTCTGTTCCCAAAGGCCTGCTGGAATAAGAAGGTCTCCGCCTGCTGGCAGAAGGACCAAAGGAGGGGGCCCGCCTGGCTTCTCCAGTCTGGGAGCAGCCACCGAGAAGGCCCTCTCCTGCGTCTCCCCACCATGTAGGCCTGTGAGGGTGGTGGAACTAGGAGAAGGACCTCCCCTCAAGATCTCAAAACCTGGGCAGGTTCTTATAAGGGAATATGGTCCTTCAGAGAGCCTGGGCCTAAGTTATATAGGGCTTTATAGGTCACGACCAGCACTTTCAATTGTGCTCAGGAACAGATGGGCAGCTAGCGGAGCTTTTCTAACAAGGGGATCAATATTCTGTCCACAGCTGTCAACTTTTCCCTTTTCTTGTGAGGAATCCTATTTGGAATAAGGGAATTTCCCTTTAAAAAAGGGAAAAGTTGACAGCTATGATTCTGTCTGGCTTAAGCTCTTTAAGCCAGCTGACGTTTCTGAGCCCTTTTCAAAGACAGCCCCATGTAGCGTATGACGGCTGCACTGCAGGGGGCTGGACTAGATGACCTTTGGGGGTCCCCTCCAACTCTCTACAGTTTTATGACTGAGACCCCCCGGAGAGGCTGCAGCTGTTGGAGGGCAGGGAAGGGTCTGGGGGAGCAGTCTAAGGCGTGGGTGGGGGTGTCAGGGAAAGTCTGAAGGCGCCTTTGGCAAGGGGGGGGGCCCTACCAGGGCGGTGGAAATGGTGGACTCCGCTGCGGCTGCTGCTGCTGGTTCGGCGGCTGCCCGGCTGGGAGGCATTGCCTGGAGACTTGCTCTCCTCCATCCAGTCGCGAGTGACCTGTGGGCAGAGCAAAGGAGGTCAGAGGAGGCCAGCAGTCTGGTTTCAGGGCCGGCCCAAGACATTTTCCCGCCTGAGGCAAAACGGGAGAAAATAGGAGGCAGGTGGCAACAGTGGCTCTGTTCTTCCTTGGTGGCAGCTGCGAGCTAAAGCACAGGGGGCAGCGGGTGGAAGGCTCCTGGGGTCCCCAGATCTGCAGCTCCCCCCAGCTGTCTCCAGCCTGCAGCCTGAGGCAGCTGCCTCATCGGCAGTAACGGGTGGGCCGGCCCCGGCCCGTATTGCCACACAGCCCTTTCCCTCCCCTTGCAGAAGACCAGCCTGCACCCTGCCCTCCACCAAGAGACTGTCAGCGGCCGAGGAGCTGTGCTGGCCTGTCGTGTGGCAAGGAGTCCTGCAAACCGGCTTGCCTCTTGGCCAGAGGGCTTCTGGAGCTGACAGGCCCCGGTGCGCTGAGCTCAATTGTTGCCCGTGCAGATGCAAGAACACATCCCTCTCCCCGCCACCCTGTCGCACTGACAGCCTTGCTCATCTCTTCCCCACTCCCTCCCTCCCACTGGCCTCTTCTCTGCTCTTGGTAACCCATCTTGGAAACCCATCTCCAAGGCAACCTTGAGTAACACTTACTTCTGGAGAAGGAGGAGGAGAGAGGGATTTGGGCGAGAGGGAGCGCTGCAGAAGGGAGTCAAGAGAGAGAGAGAGAGAAAGAACTTCACTTGATGCCGCTCACATCTGAGTCATCTATTACGTCTAAAAGGCTTTCTTACAGAAGATGGAGCAAGCTTGTTTTCTGCCTCTCTGGAGAGGAGGACCCAAACCGATAGATTCAGATTCCAGGAAAGGAGATTCTGGCTAAAGCATCGGAAGAACTTTCTGAGGGTAAGAGCCATTTGACAATGGAAGGGACTCCCTTGGAACGTGGCGAAATCTCCTTCATTGGAGAGCTTGAGTCATGTATGATCTAGTTAAGATTCCAGCATTTTAGGGGGTTAGACTAGATGAGCCTTAGTGTCCCTTCCACCCTAGTTTTCTATGATTCTGTGTCTATACTGCAAGCCACAGTGGGGCTCATGGAACACAAAAACCTCACAGTATTAATTAGCCAGCCATTACAGAACTGGCCTTACTGTTTCCTTTTTTAAAAAAAATATATTTTTATTAGTTTTTTTTAACATATCATTTCCAACATTCATGTAACATAATTTCTTATCTTATACAATATTTATGACTTCCGTCAACTCCTCTGATGATTTTCCGTTTTTATCACTTACTCTGCATTTCTTAATTTCTCTATTACCGGTACTTTTAATTATCATTAACTAATAATTCTCCAGGGATGCAGGTGGCGCTGTGGGTTAAACCCCAGAGCCTAGGACTTGCCGATCAGAAGGTTGGTGGTTTGAATCCCCGGGCTCGGTCCCTGCTGCTGCCAATCTAGCAGTTCGAAAGCACGTCAAAGTGCAAGTAGATAAATAGGTACCACTTCGGCGGGAAGGTAAACGGCGCCGCTCTGGAACCTGTACGCCGGCTCCCTCCACCAGTAAAGCGAGATGAGCGCCGCAACCCCAGAGTCGATCACAACTGGACCTAATGATCAGGGGTCCCTTTACCTTTACCTTTACTAATTCTCCTCATAGTCTTTCTTGCAATATTTCAAATAATCCTCCTTACAAAACTTCTTGCAATCCTACTAGTGTAATCTGTTTACAATTACTTTTCAAATAGTTCGTATATTTACTCCAGTCTTCTAAGAATCTCTGGTCCTAAAGGTTTCAAATCCTTCCTATTAATTTATCTAACTCTGCCTAGTCCATCAGTTTCATCCTCCATTCCTCTTTCGTCGGGACTTGCTGTTTCCTAACAACTCCTACAGAACCATAACCTCAAAATAGCTTTCGCTACGGTACTCTGGGCAAAGCAAAGGACCCACCCACCCCAGGCTCGAAAAGGGGGGTTGGGCTGGCCCACCTCTCGGCTCCTTGGCCTCTCCACGTGGTCCAGGAGGGAGTAGGTAAAGTGGGGCTCATAGATCATCAAGTCGGGGCGCTCTATGTCCAGGATCGCCTTGTCTTTGGGGATTGCTGCTAAGTCCTTGTAGACTTCATTGTCCATTTTTGCCTGGGAAGGAAGACAGAAGCATCAGCGTTCCAGGTCTTGATTCAGGAAGCATTCAAATAAACACACTCACTTACAAAACCAAACCTAAAGCTATATTACATTGCACAACATATTAATTTGTCAATGGATTTGGATATTCGAGCCGACTTAAAAGCTACAAACTTTTGAGCTTGGTTGCCTACGTTAAATAACATGGGGTACAGCTAGACCAAAGCAAACAACCTCTTTTTGATTACAAATGGGTTGAAAATATGATATGGCAGCCATCTTCAAATATCTCAAAGGCTGTCACATGGAAGATGGAGCAAGTTTCTTTTCTCCTGCTCTGGAGGGTAGGACTCGAACCAATGGCTTCAAGTTACAAGAAAGGAGATTCTGACTAAACATCAGGAAGGACTTTCTGACTGTTAAGAGCTGTTTGACAATGGAATGGATTCCCTCCTCTGCACACCTTCCAGCTTCTCAATATCCTTCTTATTATTTTTTTAAAAAAGATATTTATTAAGATTTTCAAAATATTACAAAATAAAAAAAGAAAAAAGAAAAATACAAAATAAAAATAGTTAAAAACAATTCAGTCTTTCAATCACTTATCTTTCATTTGCTTATTTCCCGGACCTCCTCACACCTCCCTTTTCTGTATTCCAATTCAGTTTGTTAGTTCAGCAAATCCCTCCCCTCTTTGTTTATTCTAATCTTCAATCTTAAAGTATTGTAACATTAGATTTTTACCTATTAATAGTCCATTTTTTCATATTCCCTTATAACATTACAGCTAGAAACCCCTTAGTTTCTATCCAACATCATTCTAACATTCATTAATTTTACAATATTTCTGTAAATAATCTTTAAACTTTTTCCAATCTTCTTCCACCGACTCTTCTCCCTGGTCTCGGATTCTGCCAGTCACTCAATATCCTTCTTAAACTGTGGTACCCAGAACTGGACACAGTTGTCCAGGTGTGGTCTGACCCAAGCAAAATAAAGCAGGACTATTACTTCCCTTGATCTGGAGACTAGACCTCTGCTGAATAGCATTAGCTTTGCTTGCTGCTGCATCACACTGTTGGGTGAGGGAGAAATGCTGTTGGGTGATCTCTCCATCTTCTCCACACAGAGGACCTAATACTTGCTGGTTCATCCTGAGCTTTGGCCCGCCTGACCTTTCTCCCTGCAGCTGTTGGCTACTCATGTATACTCTTCCTTCCTTCATAATTTCCCCTTTCTCCCCTTTCTTATTCATGCCCTTCTTAAATCTCAGCTCATCTGTAACCAGCCACATTGGTTTCCCTGCTCCAGCCACCCCACAAGTTTCTGTGGGATGTAATCCGCTGAGAGCAGTCAAGTGCAACATTCCTTGGATTGCTAGAGAAGACATGCGAAGGAATGTTTGGTCCAGCCAGTCGAAACTTCCTGTTCCTCCTGGCTGGAGCATCCTTCCTTTTGCATGTGATAGAAGGTGGGTGTGGCCTAACCTGTCCAGGTAACAGAAGGACGGAGTCACGCAGCAGACCTCTCTCTTTTTCACTTCCTTCGTCATTTGACCAGCTTTTAGCTAGGACTGCTCTGCTAGCTTCTCAGCTAGCAGAAGCACTGGGATTATTCCCCCTTATGGGGTAGATCCATATGTACATATTTGTGACTCTGCCTTCAGGGATCCAACTGTGAACTGATGTAAGTAAACTTCTTTTATTGACTTTGAATAAGATTGTGGTGTCTTTATTCTTTTAAGAGGGATTCAAGGGAACTTACCAGGAACATAATGATAGTGAGAGGCTTACACAAGCCTGCAACCAGCTGTCTGCTGTACATGTAAAAGGGGAATGTAAACTCTGCTAAGTAAAGGAACTTGCTAGTGCACATTGTGAAGGATATTAATAAACAATAGCTTCCAGCCCCAGTGTGGGTCTCAGCTTCGGCCAGGTAGGGTGTACCTGCCTTACCTGCTGCCAATGGCATGGTTTTGACTTTTTCTGGTTCTGCTCCTGCTGTAGTCTTGCATTCCTGCTATGGTGCTAAGCTTTTTAGTGTTTCGAATGAAGCCCCAGAAGGATGCTTGCTGGAGAATCATAGAAGAGTTGGAAGGGACCCTGAGAATCATCTAATACAACCCCCTGCAATGCAGGAATACGCAGCTGCCCCATACGGGGATGGAACCTGCAACCTTGGCATTGTCAGTACCACACTCTAATCAGCTGAGAGATCCATGCATGGAGGTGAGGTATCATTTAAAAGCAAAGAATCCATCTGCATGGTACTACTCACCACAACGCTGGAAGGTGACCCAGGGACGCTGGAGCCCCGGGAAGAGCAGAGGCTCCCTGGGGATGTCAGCTGGTGCTGGAGAGAGGAAAAGACACGAGTCAGAGGGGATGTGAAAAGCAAAGAACTCCTTTCTCATCTCTTAACAGCAGCAGCCCAAGGTTGTATTGCCAAATCCTGGAAGGCCTTTGATCTTAATAATTTGGATTGCTGGTGTTCAAGGATTTGGCAAACCACCCTTCTTTAAAAAAAAACTAAAAAAAAAAACATTGACTGTTTTCACATAATAAATGATTCCAGCAAATAATCGTCATTATATTCCCCCCATACCCTCCCCCCCTCCCCCCTACGACTTCCCTTAGCTCCTCTCTCTGGTTTTTTAACACATATTATTCTCTGCATGTTATAAAAATGTAAAGATCCTCAAGTTATCCATTTATTATATTAGCAACAATAAGTTTGTGTATGTTTATTCGGCAAACCGCCCTTCTTGAAAAGATATCCCCTCAACCAGTGGTGTCCAAACTTTTTCCAAAGAGGGCCAGATTTAATGAAGTGAAGGCCGACCAAAGTTGTTGACCCTTTTTTTAGAATTGAAGTTGTTGAGATTTTTCGATTTTAGCCCACCAAAGTTGTTGGTTTTTTTTAGGATTGAGGCTGTTGAGGGGTTTTTTTGGATTTTACCCCAGGGGCCGGATTAAACCTACCAGTGGGCCGGATTAGGCCCCCGAAATGGACTTTGGAAATGCCTGCCCTAAACGTACCTAAAGGGCCGAGCTCAAATAACCTTTAAAAATATACAGTCTATATATGACATGATGTTATTTCTTACACAGCGCCATCAATACATACAAGTGTCTGGCTCCCTTAAGACTAAAAAGGACCTTTGTCCTAAGGAATGGTGGAACTCACAGGTGGAGAAGGCTTATATTTTTCACAAATCTTTGCTATTTCTAAAGGGAACCTTTGTAGGAGTTAATACTTTATTATCCCTTTGGAGCTATCCTTCCAGACTGTGGTGCTTTACGGTTTAAATATTTAATTCTTTGTTGTTGTTGTTTTTCTTTCTCTTTGTTATGTTTGTAGGGTTGTTGTTTTCTTGGCTAGCAAATCAATATTATTTTAAAAAAATCGGGGACCCGACTCAGATGGGGAGGAGGCGCTTCCACTAAGGGGGCAATACTAGAGCAGGCGTTATCAACCTGATACCATGTAGGAGATTGGGGGCGGGGGGGGCGGAAGTGTTTTATGTTGAGGGATGGGAAAAAAGAATCAGGCGTCTTGCCTCTTTGCTTTGTGGAGCCCTTGGTGCACAGTCTAAATTAGTGCTCCAAAACACTCTAAAAACAATGCCATTTTAAGGAAGGGGTACTGGGTGTGGACGGGCAGGTGGAGAGTGAAGGCAGTCACCTTCTCCAGGGCAGCAGCCCATCAACAGCCACCAGGTGGCGCCGCTTCCCTAAAGGCCAGGATGTGTGGCCAAAAATTAGAACAGCTGCGTTTGCAAGGGCTTTATGGCCATTCGAGAAGCTTCTTCCTCCCATTTAAATGTCACTACACAGAGAGAGAGAGAGAGAGACAGACAGACAGACAGACAGACAGAGCGCTAGTGCATGAGAACAACACCTCTGGCCATGTATTTGTCTCCACTGAAATCCTACTGCAATCCATTGCAATTGTGGCTACCAGCAAATCCATCTGCCTGCCTCTTTCCTAGCGGCCCCATCACCAGCCCTGAGGCGTGGGAGGAGGAAGAGGAGAAGGGGAACCCCAGTTGTGGCTCATGGGGTGCCTTTTAGCCCCCCAGATATTGCTGATTAAAGGCAGCGGTTGCCCCAGCGCCCAAAGGGAAGGGACTCTTTACTTTGGGGACTCTATGAAGGGGTTGCCTTCTTCCTCTTTTCCACCTGTATTTATGGAAATGCAGGGTGGGAGGTTTCTATTGTGGAGGCTTGTGGGCAACGATTCATGTTCCCTCCCCGGGTAACGGCAGAAGGTATTGACTTCCCCTGCTCGGAAATTCTAATTTTTGTCCTCACTGCTGTTGAGTTTTGTTCCGTTTTTGATGGAACTGTTAATCTACTGATCAATCTGTGCTTGTACAGCGGTACCTCAGGTTACATACGCTTCAGGTTACAGACTCCGCTAACCCAGAAATAGTGCTTCAGGTAAAGAACTTTGCTTCAGGATGAGAACAGAAATTGTGCTCCGGTTGCGCGGCGGCAGCAGGAGGCCCCATTAGCTAAAGTGGTGCTTCAGGTTAAGAACAGTTTCAGGTTAAGAACGGACCTCCAGAACGAATTAAGTACTTAACCCGAGGTACCACTGTATATTGTTTTCCTGCATATTTTTATTGTTATTTCATTTCATTTCGCTAGGCTGTGGGGTTGAAATATTCAACGAAGATCTTTTTTTTCGCCGTTTCAGACTTTGGACTCCCATTAAACTTCCAAGGTCGGGGGGGGGGCTAATTTCACTGATGGGGTGTTAAAAATAGGTCAGTTTGGCTGCAGAAGCACCAGCACAGGGGGACATCATCACAACACACAAAGAAACAGGCCAAGCGCAATCTGCTCAGCTTCCCTCCAACTTCCAACAACAGAGACCAGGGTGGGGGCAGCAAAGGAAATTCCTGTGATGTATAATGAAGGGGAAAGAGGAGGAAGAAGGGAAGGGGTGTCTGTTATCAGAGGCCAAAAGGAGAATTTTGCAAGGGGAGGAAAGGTTAAAATTTTTTGTGTGTCTGTGTGTGTGTGTAAATTCATGCCAAATGTGCAGAACTCTATGGAAAAAATGCCGCGTGTCAGGCTAAAAGGGAACTTCTGATAAAACATTTCTGTTCCAGACACTGGAGAGACCTGTCAAGAGTAAGCATGGACCAATGGTACCAAATAGTATGAGAAACAGCCCTACTAGAAAAATTAACCAATAAACTGAAACTGACAGGGGGACAAATAGAAGAAGACCCCTTCTTTGTCACATACACAGCCCAACAAGACAACGACAAAAATCCACCAACAGCATACAAATCAATATGGCTAACCTGATCCAAAACACCCACCCACCCCACTCACACATGAAAACAAAGACCACCACAGCCAACCACAAATGAACAACCACACCCTAGGCCAACCCCAACCTCTCTCACCACCAAAGGAACACAAGTGAACAGCAAAGAACGTGCACAAGCAACGCTGACACCAAACCCTACATATAGTAAGTAAAATAGAAACATCGCCACCCAACCCCACTCATCTCCCCCCCTCCACCTCTTTCCCCCTTTTCTTCCTAATGTCTCAACAAATGAAACTGATTTGTAAAAATGTTACATGGGGGGGGGGGGAAATACGAGAGAGAGACATTGCAAACACTTTTGTAAATCAAGAAAATCTTTAATAATAATAAAAAATATATAGTAAAATGTTTCTTTTCAGTGACACGAAAGGAAGTCCTTCATGCAGTGCATGGTTAAACTATGGAACTCCCTGCCACTGGAGGCAGTGATGGTCACCAGTCTAGAGGGCTTTAAAAGAGGATTAGACCAATTCATGGAGGAGAGCGCTATCGATGGCTACTAGCCAGGATGACTGCTCTGCATCCACAGCTGGAGGCAGTAATGCTTCTGAAGACCAGTGGCTTGAAACTACAAGAGAAGCCAACACTCTTTTCTTGCATCCTGCTTGCAAGGTTTCTCACGGGCGTCTGGTCAGCCAGTATGAGAACAGGATGCTGGACTAAACTTGGCCTGATCCAGCACATTACATGGCAGAAGACTGAATGCAATCGTAGCTCCACCTTCCTGCATGGCTGCCAATAGATTAAAGGCTTGCATATGAGTTCAGTAGGTAAAGGTAAAGGGACCCCTGACCATTAGGTCCAGTCGTGGCCGACTCTGGGGTTGCGGCGCTCATCTCGCTTTATTGGCCGAGGGAGCCGGCGTACAGCTTCCGGGTCATGTGGCCAGCATGACTAAGCCGCTTCTGGTGAATCAGAGCAGCGCACGGAAATGCCGTTTACCTTCCCACCAGAGTGGTACCTATTTATCTACTTGCACTTCATGCTTTCAAACTGCTAGGTGGGCAGGAGCAGGGACCAAGCAACGGGAGCTCACCCCGTCGCGGGGATTCGAACCACCGACCTTCTGATCGGCAAGTTTTAGGCTCTGTGGTTTAACCCACAGCGCCACCCGCGTCCCTATAAGTGAATTATTATTTTTAATTTTAAAAAATCCGTTTTTGTCTTCCGTACATGCACAGCAGCAGCTGCAGGAAAGAAAGTCAATGCCATTCAACGAGGCCAAACGGAAATTTGCATTGGCCATGCAGGCAGCGTATTGAAGAGCTGTTTCCAGCAAGGATTTCCTTCCAGCAGGCACAGTAAACTCTGGCTTTGTCACAAATATACATTTGTATTCCCTCCTGCCAATCAGATGGGTTGCTGTGTGTCCCCAAAGCGCTGTTTTCTGGGCAGAGCTGCTGAATTCCAGCCCCCTTGCAAATGTGCCACCAAAGGGGACTGGAGACTGACTGATAAGATTCTTGGCTATCCAGTCGGGGACAGAAACAGAAAACCTTTCTTAGAACCGGCTACACATCACAAAGCCGAGAGCGAGCCGGCTGCCAAGTTTCACTGCCTGGATGTTAAAAAGCAGGGTGGGGAGGGGCACACTGGAGAGCCAGTCTGCGAGATGGGGCAGTCTTTTTAAAATGTTTCAAGTGAATACCTCGTCTGGCCTACCTATATTACAATATAATCCTACAAAAAGAATTGCGGAATAGATTGCTCTCTTTGGATCCAAGATATCTGGCAATGCTTCGTAGCAGTCAAATTACAAAACAGAATACCGTGGTTACATATGCTTCAGGTTACAGACTTCCCTAACCCAGAAATAGTACCTCGGGTTAAGAACTTTACCTCAGGATGAGAACAGAAATTGTGTGGCGGCAGTGGGGGGCCCCATTAGCTAAAGTGGTGCTTCAGGTTAAGAACAGTTTCAGGTTAGGGATGGACCTCCGGAATGAATTAAGTACTGAACCCGAGGTACCACTGTAAAACCCTCCACATCTGACATTTGATCAGTGACTTCCATTTCAATGCAGCCTCGGTCATTTATTTCCCTCCTTCGGCAGCAAGGCCAAGACTTGCTGCCCACGGTAGCAGGGGGCTGGACTAGATGTCCCCCAGGGTCCCTTCCAACTATTCTATGCATCACCCCCAAAAAGAGGACACCCAATTATGTAGGCTAATTTGTAAGTGTAAGTGCAAAACTATAAATAATTACTATGGCTAAGAGAAAACTGAAGGGGCATCGCCTCACCGTAGTGGAAAAGACTGTGACCTCTTTTAACTAAACATCAGGAATAACTTTTTGACTGTAAGAGCCGTTTGACAGTGGAACGGACTCCCTTGGAGGTTTCTAAACAGAGGTTGGGAGGGGAGGGCATCTGTCACAGATTATTTAGTGGTGATCGGTGCCGAATTTACATATAAGCTAAACAAGCTATAGCTTAGGGCCCCTCTCTCTTGGAGCCCCCCAAAACATTAAAGGAAAAACAACAACTGGATGTACATTTCCAAAATGTAAGATTAAAAAGAAATCAAATAAAACCTATATACAGCAACAGTGTTTTGTGTTGTGTAGGCTCCTATGATGTAAGTCATGGGCCCCGGCTGCTAGCCTGCTCCCTAAAATATCACTGGTTTGCTCCTTTCTATATATAGGGTGCCTCCATTCTGCATGGACGGGTTGCATGGCAACATGGGCAAATGGCTTTAGATACCTATTAGGCCCATAAATTACCATATAGCATATATTCAACACAAAAAACAGCAGCAATTTGTTGTTGACAAAGGACAGCTGGAGATTTAAAGGGACCCATCACCTTCAGTAGCTGAGGGCCTCATCAAACCTAAATCCAGCCCTGGTGGCGATTCCTGCATTGCAGAGAGTTGGAATAAATGAACCTTGGTCATTTTATAATTCCATCTGCCGTCCAAGTGCTGCTTACTACGAATGAGGAACTTCACACTGCTGCCACCCCCTCCACAAACACATACAGCTTCTCTCCCTTCTTTGGGTCATCTTCAAACTGAGCTTTTACCTGACAGTCCTTCAAACAGAGGACTGTCCTCTGTCCCAAAGGACACACAGCCCCTGTACTGCTACCTCACATCATTCTGCAGTCAGATTTTATTCCAATATGACAAACAGATAATTGCCTTTTCTTCCCCGAAGAGAGCTTGTGTCACAATTGCCAAGTCCCCACAGATGCTGGAGCCTGTTCCCTAACAATATAAGCCACACCTCACACCTCCCAACCCTTAAGCAGGTGTTCTTTTATTACCCCAGGGGCTTGTGATTATTATCATCGTTGCAAGTATTATTCTTGCGGCAGTTATCAAACTTCCTCCAAGATCTGTGCACATTCTCCTTACAGCATCCTCAATGTAACCTAACAGAACCCCTGCTGGACCACTACAAAATCATGGAGTATAGAGGGGTTTTTTTGCAATGCCTGGCCGATTTATAAAAATATATCTGCAGTGATCCCAACCTCTTCAACACCTCCAAGATTCTGCAGAATTTTTCCTTTCCCCCCTAGTCTGTCACAGAGAAGTGGGAAGAGGGCTTGGCAAGTGTCCCTGCTGGACTGAGCTTTTCAGTGTCCACAGAATCATGGAAAGGTGGAACTGGAAGGGATCCCAAAAGTGATCAAGTCCAAACCCCTGCGATGCAGGAATGAAGTTGCCATCTATTGTAATCCTGTCAGCCTGTGCCTGAATGAGCCAACCTGACCCCATTTCTAAAGGGACAGAGTTGCCTTTGCTTCACACCAGACACGGAATGTGTTTTGGTGCTGGCTCTGTATGTCTTACCGCCTTAAATCGTGAACCGGTGCCCCCACCCAAATGTCCTGGCTAAGCTTCCTATGAATATACAGCCAAAACTGGAGTTAGTAGCCAGCCTGACTCCATGCTTTGTTTTCTGCCACTCACTTGCTGATTATCTCAGCCATGGCAAACATTTCAAGGTAGAAGTTTATTTTTCTCTTTTCCCTTACTCCACTGCAATTCTACAGCCTTTTGTGTTTGTCAATAAGCCTATCTTCTTGATCACAGAAACCTGATCTGGGGGTATTTTAGCTGACCTTTTCTTCACGTTTTCATCTTTTTAGCCAAGCTAACCACAGAGCCTAGGGCTTGCCGATCAGAAGGTCGGCGGTTCGAATCCCTGCGATGGGGTGAGCTCCCGTTGCTCGGTCCCTGCTCCTGCCAACCTAGCAGTTCGAAAGCACATCAAAGTGCAAGTAGATAAAGAGGTACCACTCTGGTGGGAAGGAAAACTGCGTTTCCGTGTGCTGCTCTGTTTCGCCAGAAGTGGCTTAGTCATGCTGGCCACATGACCCAGAAAAACTGTCTGTGGACAAACGCCGGCTCCCTCGGCCTACAGAGCGAGATGTGCGCGCAACCCCAGAGTCATCATAGAATCATAGAGTTGGAGTAGACAACAAGGGCCATCGTCGTCCATGACTGGACCTAACGATCAGGGGTACCTTAACCTTTACCTTTACCGAGAGAGCACACGGCAGTCTTTGCCAGCTGTGTTGGTTGGGGCTGATGGGAGCTGCCATTCACAACATCTGGAGGGCACCAGGTTGGGGAAGGATGGAGCGAGCTTAACCTCAAGGGGTGTTGGGTGGCTGGAGACTGGGGCGCTCCATGCATCAGCCATCTCCCGCCTTTAATGCACCCTCCTGCGTGTGAATTCTGGAGTGAATTTAATCTCAGCAGAGACACTGGAGCCTCTGATCAAATTCAGTTCATCACGTGGAATCACAGACTTCTGGGATGTCACTAACATGCCACTTTTCTTAAAAAATCCCCTTCATCGACTTAATAAAATATCAACAGAGGGTGTTGGCTGTTTCTTCCAAAAATATTTCCAAATGGGTGTTGGAATCTGTTTTACTAGAACTGCTCCCCCATTTTGCATTTTTCTGCTGAGCAGAACAGAAACCCACTGATCATTCTGCAAATATTCTACAGCCTCCTTTTGAAGGACATGAATCCTGCCAACAGGGATTTCAAATTTCACAGAGTCCGAAGGGACCTTGCAGGCCACCCCATTCAACCACCCTGCTCAACGCAGGAAACAGAGAAGGAGATTTAGCGCCATTTAATTAGATCCCTGGTCACATCTCAGCCCTCCCTGCAGTGCTGTAACTCAGCTTCTCATTTGCAGGTACTGAAAGAACCTGATGGGTGGACTGATTATTACATTCAGTGAAGTTAAAGAGAAGATTAATACAGAGCAAGTAACCCCTTTCCCCTCAGTCAGCCTTGCAACCACATGTTTCCCTCACAAAGGCAAAAGCTGTTGCTGCCGTTGCAGATCTGCTAAGACAGTCCTTCCTCAGTCTGGAAGGCCTCAAAATGAATGGCCACCCTAATGCTAAGAGTGAAGGGGCCTGAGCTCAACCTCTCCTTAGATTAGCCATAGATTTTAAATTAAATAAAAAATAGCTTGCAGAATCTTGTCTTAGGCTTGCTTGAGAATCCGAACACAAACTTGTTACAACTAATCCAGAATGCGGCAGATAGACTGGTGACTGGGAGCGGCCACCGAGACCACATAACACCGGTCTTGAAAGACCTACATTGGCTCCCAGTATGTTTCTGAGCACAATTCAAAGTGTTGGTGCTGACCTTTAAAGCCCTAAATGGCCTCGGCCCAGTATACCTGAAGGAGCGTCTCCACCCCCATCGTTCTGCCCGGACACTGAGGTCCAACGCCGAGGGCCTTCTGGCGGTTCCCTCCCTGCGAGAAGCCAAGTTACAGGGAACCAGGCACAGGGCCTTCTTGGTAATGGTGCCTTCCCTGTGGAACGCCCTCCCACCAGATGTCAAAGAGAAGAAGTACCAGACTTTTAGAAGACATCTGAAGGCAGCCCTCTTTAGGGAAGCTTTTAATGTTTAACAGACCGCTGTATTTTAATACTTTGTTGGAAGCTGGGGGAACTTAGCCAGATGGGCGGGGTATAAATAATAAATTCTATTCTATTCTTGTTAATGTTGCATCACTTTTTAGCTGTTCCACCTCACCTATCTTCTCCTATTTATTAACAACGGCACAATGATGTTGTTGCATCGTGTCTGGGATGAAACAGGTCACTTTTAGGAGACTTCTGAGGCAGTTTGGCCCTGCCAAACTCAAAACATTGACACCCAGACAGTGGTGGATCTACATTTTGGGGGCCCTGATGCTTGCACTGTCATGGGGGGGCCCCTTCGCAACCATCGTCGAGGTCTGGATAACCCCTTCTGTCTTCTTCAGTGGGGCTGTCCCAAAACAGAACACCACACCTTTTACAACATCTGTGCTACTGAAAGCCAAGCTGATATGACAACTGCGGCTTTATCCTGAAATACTTTAATAAATATATTGGCCCAGCACTGGAGACACATTCCTGTTTCATTTCAAAGGGATGGCAGTTAGCAGCTGCAGAAAAAGTGATGCAGTAGAACATACAACTCAGAGGCATAAAATCCAAAACATCACTCTGTTATTTGGTTTCCGTTTGTCAAATTTGTTTTGGAGACCACAGGGGGCAGGCCTCCCCCACAGATCTTTATCATCTATTGTGGACTGGTATTATTCCTAAACACTTTTGGCCTTTAGGTTAAAAATGTATGAATTACCTCTTTTGGCAATTCTACATCGTGTGCTGTTTCTACATCTTATCTATTTTTGTGTCTTCTGGTTACTTCAGTTCCGCCAACACCCTCCTATTTGTCAAGAAAGCAGCACCGGAAATTAATGAATGTTAGAATGATGTTGGATTGAAGTTAAGTGGTTTCTAGCTGTACAGGTACAAAAGAATATGGAAAAATTGTTTTTTAATATGTAAAAATTTAATGTTATAATATATCAAGATTAAACATTAGGATTAAAAAGGAGGGAAAGGAATTGCTGGATTAACAAATTGAATTGGAATACAAAAGAGGGAGGTATGAGGAGGTCCGGGAAACAAGTAAATGTAAAAGAAGTGATGAAAAGATGGAATTGTTTTTAACTGTTTTTTCTTTTTTCTACTTTGTATTTTTCCTTTTTATTGGTAATCTTTTTATTAATGTGTTTTTTCTTCTTTTGAAACTTTAATAAATATTATTTAAAAAAAAAAAAAAAACAAGAAAGCAGCACCGGGACTAAGCTCACAGTGAAGTTTCGTTATGTGGGTATTTTTGTTCTTAGGTATTTTTTGTTTGCCCCGAGGAAAATTTAAATGACAATCCATTTATTTATTTTGAAATGAATAAATACAGTAAATTAATATGAAGGAGGGGCGGGAAGTAGGGAAACGTGCGTGAAAATCACTCAACTTCAAGAAGAAGCATTTTAATTCTGCTGGATCTAACTTTTGGCCTGAGCCCCTGGGAAAGGAAAGGGTGCCTGCCCACAATCTCTGCGGTGGGACCCAGTTTGCCAGGACTTGCCATGCGATGGACTCGGGAGCCATCACAATTTCTGCACCTAAGTTGTTTTGCCTGCTGCTGCCCACAACCTGGTTTCCTGGAGATAATAATAATAATAATAATAATAATAATAAATTTATTTATACCCCGCCCATCTGGCTGTGTTTCCCCAGCCACTCTGGGCGGCTCCCAATCAAGTGTTAAAAGCAATACAGCATTAAATATTAAAAACTTCCCTAAACAGGGCTGCCTTCAGATGTCTTTTAAAGACAGGATAGCTGCTTATTTCCTTCACATTCCACAGGGCGGGCGCCACTACCGAGAAGGCCCTCTGTCTGGTTCCCTGTAACCTCACTTCTCGCAAAGAGGGTATCATCAGAAGGCCCTCGGCGCTGGACTTCAGTGTCTGGGCAGAACAATGGGGGTGGAGACGCTCCTTCAGGTATACTGGGCCGAGGCCGTTTAGGGCTTTCAAGGTCAGCAGCAACACTTTGAATTGTGCTCGGAAACGTACTGAGAGCCAATGCAGATCTCTCAGGACCGGTGTTATGTGGTCCCAGCGGCCACTCCCAGTCACCAGTCTAGCTGCCGCATTCTGGATTAGTTGTAGTTTCCGGGTCACCTTCAAAGGTAGCCCCATGTAGAGCGCATTGCAGTAGTCCAAGTGGAAGATAACCAGAGCATGCACGACTCTGGCGAGACAAATCCCCTCCTCACCCCATAATGAGAGCCCCAGAGAACCCATGGAACCCGTTTCCCAGGGCAGGCCCAGACCAGACCAGCTCAGTTACCTTCTGTAGTTTCTCCATTCAGTTTCCTGCTTGAGGATCCAACTCATTCACCAAGTCCTGTCCAAGGAGAAGGAGGCAGGTTAAATTAGAAGGAGCAGATTCTCACAGGGCCAGTTTCTCCAGAAGTGCCTTGCCCAACTGGGTGCCTTCTAGATGTTTTGAACCAACTCTTATCTTCCCCAGACAGCAGGGCCTTGATGCTATCAGCCCCACAGCATCGTACGGGGCTGTTGGGAGTTGAAGTCCAAAACAGCCTGTCCTATAAGGTTCTTCTTGTCATCACTTTGGAACAGCCAAGGGGAGCAGTCTGCCTCCATCCCACCCGCCTCCGACTGACAGGACACCTCCTGGGAAATCACAGCCAAGCAGGCAGCAGCTGAAATCTCTCGGCCTCATTTTCCCATCGGTAAAATGGAACGGCAGTGACTTTCCCGAGTTATTCAGAATTATACTGGGAAAATGAACAGGATAAAAAGAGAACCAAGTCCACTACTTTGAGCTTGTGGAGAAAAAGGCGGGATGGAAATGGAATAAATAAGCAACAAATGAATAAAAGGCTCCATGTGGATTAAAGGCAATGCAAAAGCTAGGAATGACATACAGCACCTCTTCTCTCTCTTTCTCTGTTAAAGCATCCTAAAAAGGGGTCGCCATATAGCACATTTTGCATTACTGACCATCATGAGGATTTAAAGGGATGCTGTCTAGCTGAAGGCTCCAGATCATTTGTAAAGGCAAAGGTAAAGGGACCCCTGACCATTAGGTCCAGTCGTGACCGACTCTGGGGTTGCAGCGCTCATCTCGCTTTACTGGCCAAGGGAGCCGGCGTACAGCTTCCGGGTCATGTGGCCAGCATGACTAAGCCGCTTCTGGCGAACCAGAGCAGCACACGGAAATGCCGTTTACCTTCCCGCCAGAGCAGTACCTATTTATCTACTTGCACTTTGATGTGTTTTCGAACTGCTAGGTGGGCAGGAGCAGGGACCAAGCGATGGGAGCTCACCCCATCGCAGGGATTCAAACCGCCGACCTTCTGATCGGCAAGTCCTAGGCTCTGTGGTTTAACCCACAGCGCCACCCGCATCCCTCCAGATCATTTGACAATGGGGCAAAAAGCGAAGCTGGCTGGATACTCTGGCCGCATCCAGATTTCTCGTGGCCGTGTTCCCTCTCTCCCTCCCTCCCTAAATGAGCTTCATCTTTCCAGGCCCTTTGACTCCTTGACAAATTGGAGGAAAGGCAACGATTCACGGCACAGAGAAAGTGGGTAAAGAAGAGGTTTCTTCACTCTCTTGTAATGTTAGAACTGGTGGGATAAAAACAAAGCATTTCTTCACACAGCAGTGACAGCACCAAATTAAACTATGGAACTCCCCCCCACTGGAGGCAGTGGGGAGAAGACTATCGATGGCCACAGTGATCCATGCGATGGTCACCTCCAGGCTTGACTACTGTAATTTGCTCTATGCAGGGCTGCCCTTGAAGCTGTCCCAGAAACTCCAGTGGGTGCAGAATGCTGCAGCGAGGCTCCTCACGGGGTCTCTGCCATGGGAGCATATTCACCGTGCTTTTCCAGCTACACTGGCTCCCGGTGGAGTACAGGGTCAGGTTTAAGGTGCTGCTTTTGACCTTTAAAGCCCTTCACGGCCTAGGACCCTCGTACCTACGGGACCGCTTCTCCCGGTATGCCCCACGGAGAGCCTCAAGGTCCATAAATAGCAACACCCTAGAGGTCCCAGGCCCTAAGGAAGTTAGATTAGCCTCAACCAGAGCCAGGGCCTTCTCAACACTGGCTCCGGCCTGGTGAAACGCTCTGCCTCATGAGACCAGGGCCCTGCAGGATCTGCTTTCTTTCCGCAGGGCCTTTAAGACAGAGTTGTTCCGCCTGGCCTTTGGCTTGGAGCCCATTTGATTCCCTCCCCCTCTTTCTTTTTTCTTTTCCTTTCTCCTCCTGCGATGAGGCTACATTTTAATATTTTAATGTTGTATTTTAATTTTGTTTTTAAGTTGCAATCATTCAACTCGTTTTTATTATTGCTTGTTAGCCGCCCTGAGCCCGGCCTTGGCTGGGGAGGGAGGGGTATTAATAATAATAATAATAATAATAATTACTACTACTAGCCAGGATGGCTATGCTCTGCCTCCACAGTTAAAGGCAGCGTTGCTGTTGTGAGACACTTTGAAGATGATTCAGCTACCGAAAAGAGGCGTACGGATGAGGGGTCAGTCAGGAAGGCCAAGGAAGGAACCAGACGGGCAACTCCCAACAGGACTTTTTCGCCGCCACAGTCCTGCCATATCCAGGTCTCCATGGGCTTTGCCTTCCTACCCTATTAGGGGGCTGAGGTTGCCAAGCGTGGACTGTGGGCGGCAGGTGAGGAGGGGGGCGGGATGGCAGAGTGAGGGGAAGTGAAGCTAATGGAAGATGAGGGGCAGATGACAGGCACATGAAAGATTCATGGCTGAGTGGCAGGGGGCTGAGAAACCGCCTGGATGGTGGGGGTGGGGGTGGGGGTGGGGAGGGTTCAGGCCAGCATGATCTCAGGATGGCAGAGGTGAAGTTAAGAGATTCACATGGAGGTTGCCCAAGAAAAGATGTCAGACTGTTTTTGTATGCAGCTAGAATTTTGTTGGCCAAAAATTGGAAACTACAAGGAGTACCAACAGTGGAACAATGGCAGATGAAGATGATGGACTTTTCGGAGCTAGCCGACCTGACCGGAAGAGTCTGTGACCAGAAGGAGGAGGAGTACCAGGAGGAATTGAAGAAATTCAAAGACTATTTAACCAAATATGCTAAGATAATCTAAACAGAAATATTTGCAAGCACCATTGGCCTAGGATTTAAATATGTGATATTATAGAATACTATGTCTAATGTGAAAATGAAAAGAAAGAAAGATGTTAATTGCCTAAGTATATTTTATGTGAAAATAGTTTTGGAAAACTGTTGCAATGATATACACTGAAACTCAGCTTGGGGGAGTCAAGGAAGTCATCCAACAATGTAAACAAAAGTGGAATTACTGTATTTAAGATGTTTGTTTGTTTGTTTGTGTATTTGTTTATAAATATGGAAAATCAATAAAAGAATTTTTTTGGGGGGGGAAGATTCACATGGAGGGAGGCCGCAAAGAGCCAGCCTCTGTTAGAGATGGGGAAATAGGTGTGGGGACCCCCTACCTGCTCATCTGGCTGTTGCCATCCCTCCTGGCTTGGCTGGGACTTGGATCAGCGGCTCCTTCTGCAAGGAGAGACAACAACAAAATATAAGACAAAAACCAAAAAATATAATCCAGAAACAATGGAAATGTCTAAATGATTATTTCTGTAAATATTGTAAGATAAGATGCTAGAAGTTACTTGAAAGTACCAAACAGGCCTAGGACTAGAATAAGAATGAATTCTAAAAGATTATGGACTAGATTATTAAGAAAAGAGAAGAGGAAGTAAACTGAAGGAGTTAATTTTATGAGAAATATAAAATTGGAGAGCTGTTACAAAGCGATTCAATGAAATTCAGTCGGGGGAAGTCAGTTATCAATCAAAGTTAAATTGGGTATTAGAAGTAATACGTCTATTGTTTTTGTTTTATTTTTCTTTAGAATTGTAATGTATGTTTCTTTTTGTGTGTTATATACATTATGTTTGTGATAAATGTTGAAAATTAATTTAAAAAATTGGAAAAATAAATGATTATTTATGTAGACAAAGATTAAATGTAAGGTATCGGTTGTGTTTAGGATAGATTTATGAAAGATTTAGAAAACTTATTGATTAGAATATTTGTGTGAGATGATATGGGGAAAATACGGAATGACAGATACAATCTTGCTTAAAATGTATATAGGAAGTGCAGTGTAAGCGATGGAAGTCAATCAATGAAATTTTATTATTATTTTCATATTGAGATATTTGTAGAATAAATTTGGAAGAAATTATTCCAACTTTTCTTCTTCTTTTCTCTTTATTTTTTCTTCTTCTTTTCTCTTTGGTTCCTTTTTTCATATATATGTGCTTATTTGAAATATGTATGTATGTATGTATTTGCAATATTTTGCTTATATTTTTTTAACAATTACAGTGGTACCTCGGGTTACATACGCTTCAAGCTACAGACTCCGCTAACCCAGAAATAGTGCATCAGGTTAAGAACTTTGCTTCAGGCCCAGGTGCTTGATTCATTCACCTGCTGAGAATGATGGAATGCCTGATGGGACACCATCTTCACAAATCCATCCGTGGAGACAGAATCATAGAACTGTAAAGGTGGAAGGGACCCCCCGAGGGTCATCTAATCCAACCCCCCTGAAATGCAAGAATCACAGCAAAAGAACCCCTGGCAGATGGCCAGCCAAGCTCTGTTTAAAAACCTCCGAGGAAGGAGAGTCCACCACTTCCCAAGAGAGTCCGTTCCTCTGTTGAATAGCTCACACTGTCAGAAAGTTCCTCCTAACTGAGCACAAATCAGAAGACCCAGAACTGTCCCAGCAGGAAACTGTTAAGTTGTGGGTGAACATATCAGACGACACAGCGATTCTTCAAACAGCTCTTGTTTATTCACAGGCCAGGACAGAACTAAACTGAAGGGTTCAGCCAGCCTGCTTATATAGAGCTCCACTACAACGCAACAGTAACCACTTTCTGTAACTATCCAATCACTGAACGTCACTTTCAATTCCTTATTTGCATATGTGGACCTGAGTACCCTGCTGGCCCAGGGTGAGAACTTCAGTACATAACAGAAACCAAAGGAGGGACAGCATCTGAAATCAACCCAGCAGCAGCAGCACCACAAACAACTATTTACAAACTGAGTCCCTTTTTCCCAGCTGTGTTCAACTAACAGTCTCTTCCCCCCACCCATTTTCATGCGTGTTATTTGACTCTTATTCAATTTTAATGTTTTGGTTTTTTTTAAGAAAATCTTTATTATTTTTCACATAGACAAATATACATAACCTATAAAACAGAAAACGATACCAATGAGCAGAAACAACAAATGAAGAAAAGATAAA